GTTAAAGCCGTCAGCCAGCCTCGTCCGGCCGGCCGACCCGCGACTGCCTGCGGCGCGGCCGGCGGCGACCTGGGGGCGGCAGAGGCCCTCTGCCAGGGGCGCCGGCGCGGAGGGTCCCCGAGTGAAAAATTATCTCTAGAGGACAATCGCCCCGCCGGCGGCCAAGCAGGGCCAACAAAGCGCGGAGCGGGGCGAAACGGGGCGAAGCGGGGCAAAGCGGGGCAAAGCGGGCAATCGTGTGACTCGCTGGGGCGCGCTGGGGGACTCGGCGAGGGGAAGGCGGCGTTGCTAAGCGCTGCACTCCTCGGATCCAATTACAGTCCTGGAAAAGCATTTCTTATCTCCATTTGCCGAATTCGCTGCTAATGCACTGCCACGGCCAGGCGGCGACGCGACGGCCTCGGCGACGACGTGGCGTGTCAGCGTGTCGCTCGGGCGCCGCCGTCAACTCTCGATGGCGCGACACGCTTCGACACGACGGCAAAACGAACTTGGAGAGGCGTCACGGTCCTAGCCCGACTCCACTGCGAACTAAACTGACTTTGGGCGGCCACTGCGCACTTTCCAAGCCGGTCAATCGTGCCCCTCGACATGGTGGGAACACAACACAGAATGCTTTGAGTATGAGTACCCCTACGGAGCATTCATGCACACTGTTTGGTTTGTGGGGTCGGTCCGCCCTGCAGGCAGTTCCACGCTGCTCCAGCCTTGGCTCCAGCCGCTCGTTGTCGGCCTGGGCTGGCCTGGTCGGATGGCCTGGTCGGCTGGCCAGCCTGTGCGGCGCTGTGCGGCCTGGGATGGGACTCCCCAGCCGTCTCGCGGGTTATGGATGGCCGTGGCCGCGCCGAAAAAAAATTGACAAAAGTTGGTCCGGGCCGCGCGTCCGGCCGGCGGCGTGGCCGGCGCGGCGCCACCACAGTCCGGGCCGTTGGAAATAATGAGGCGATCGGGGCGCCATGGTCCGCCATGGTCCGCCATCGTCACAGCGGTCCCGGACTGCGGACGAGGGTCTTCGTCCCAACGAGCGCGAGGAAAGGAGACAACGCTCCGGCAGACGCCGCCGGACAAGTCAGCTGATGTCGCTGAAAATTTACAAAACTTTGTCATTTATCCGACGGCCGCGTGAACATAATTTGAAGGCCGTTTGGCGTGCGCCGACGAAGGTTCGAAACCGCTGGGTCGGCTGGCTTCCTCGCAAGAGTCGGATAACTGGACGCAGCGAGTCCCCAGCCTTTTTTTCCGGGCGTGGGGCGAATCCGAATGGCAGTGTGCTTTCCCTCTCTCTCGCACTCGTGGGCTACCCTTCGCCGTGCGAGAGAGACAGAGCAGCCCGCTGGCCGTTAGCCGCGCATTACGGCCACGCTGCCATTGGCTGCCGCCCGGACGGCGAGGCTCCACGCCGCGGGTGTCGCCCCCGCGTCCCGGCGACCCGGTGATGCATGCCTCTCCCCCCCCCCCTCTCCATGCCACCATTATGCCCCCGAGATAACCGCGATGAAAAAGGCGGCCGGGGTCGGCCACCGCCAGCCAAGCCATTCGGAACAGCGGCTCTGTCTCTCTCGCACTCACTAGTGTGTCACGAGAGCGACAGAGACAGAGCGACGGGACGGCCCTTCTGGATCGCTCGGGTGGGCCACCTTTGCCGCCGCCTTTCTTTGTCTCCTCCGACACACGCTCCCCCTGCGCCCTGCGGGATGCTTCCGAACAGCGTCCCGCCCTCTGTCTCTGTCGCACTCACGGGGCCTCGTCGGGTGCGACAGAGAGAAAGGCTCAGCGAGTGTGCGGAAACAGTCCCCAGATTCCCGCTACGCAGGCCGTTCCACGAAGCAGGCTAATTGGCTGGCTCTTCCAGGACAGGGACAAAGCGGGCCGCTCGGGCCGCTGTACGGTGTAGGGCTTGGTGTACGGCCCGGCTGTACTGAGTCGGGCGGCAGTCGGACTGCAAAGAGTGCAGGTTGGCCGCACGGCCCACAACCACGTCCAAAAGCACCTTTCGCCCGCCCCTCCGTCGAGCCCCGTTGCCTCGTTCAACTCGTCTCGCCATCCCGTTTCCAAAACTACCCCTACATGCCCCGCTGATGCCTCTTATGACGAAGACCCAGTGCGAAATCATTACTTTTCACCACCGGAATTTTTTCATCAAATCCCCCTGTAGAGGCCACCACCACAAGCACCAACTTCGTGCCGTGTGACACCCACTACACCGCTCGTCCCTCTCCCCTTCCCGAGAACATCATCAGCCTGCTCAGCACGGCCTTCAGAAAAGCCACCAGCCGCCACCAAGTTGGAGCTCGGCGCGCTCGGCGACCCAAGTCGGGGAACAGACAAAATTGACACCTTTAGCGAATTTGAGCGCGCAAGCCAAGTTGGGTAATCCCAGTTTGGTGCGGGTGGGGCGCTCTCACACGCGATCGGATCTCCAATATAAAGTCGCAGGCCGCGCCCCGCCGCGCCCCGCCCCACCCCGCCTCTGCGACCCCAAGAGTTCCCAAAGCCGGCGACACCCACTCGCAGTTGTCTATTTACCAGCGGCTGTGTGCCAACTTTTACAGGAGTGTGGGGCGGGCTGACGCCGAGGCTGACGCCGAGGCTGACGCCCCTCGCGCGCCTCGCCTCGCCTCCCCGCTCTGCACAATGGGAGACTGCATGGTGCCCGACGCCGCGACGCCGCGACGCCGCGACGCCGCCCCCTCTGGATCGATGCTGCAGAGAGCTGCAGGAGAAAAAGGCCGATGCCTCCCTCCGTGTTCGGTCGCGGAGAGCAGGCAGCAAAAGCCGAGAGAAGATATTAAACTGCCTCAATTTGTCTGCGAAGCACGTTCCCGCGAAGAGGCTGTAAATGGCGACATCTGCTTGCTGTGGTGGCCACTGCCTCTTATCTGGTTGGAGACCGCCAAGTCGAAGCCCAAGGACCGCCGCCGTCCTCGAAAAGTTGGTCAAAACGCTGGCGGATGTGTACCACCAATCGGCGGCTTTGCGCGGCCAGTGCTCCCGGTCTATTAATCCCGCCCCAACCCCTCGACGCGGGTGTCTGTGGTAACGACCTTCTTTTGTGCCCTGACTGTGGTGTGCGATTAACAACCTCAGTTCAGGAGCACTGCCCCCGCAAACTTGGTCGAATGGTCGACCAAATCTGCGACGCAACAAGTTGCCGGGCAAGCGGCTTCACGCCTTGCTTCACGCCGCCACCGAGGCCGCCACCGTGGCCGCCGCCGTGGCCGCCAAAGGGTTGACGCGGAACGGAACAAGGCGACCGGGGGCGGGCCGGGCCATTCGAGCAGTACATTCGGCCCATTACTCGCCGGCCTATGATTGGCCGGACGCCGAGCCGACCCAACCGCTCTCAACGCCGAGACGCCGAGGCGGAGGCGGAGCGGCCAATCAAGGGAACAATCTGCTAGTCCGCTTCCCGCGCTCCCCGGACCAGAGCGTGAAGCCATGGCGAAGCGGCGTGAAGCGAGGCAGGGGCCGCGCCTCCGCGAAGCAGGGCAAGCAGGCCGAGTCTGCCGAGCCGAGCCCAGCGCTCATGCCCATTAGCGGCGCGTAGCGGCGCACTGATAATGGTGGGGTGGGTGGAGTGACGGCAGCAGAGCGGCCAGTGCGGCGGCGGGGTTAATCCCGTGTGTTCCAAAGGGACGAGGGGGGAGGGGGAAGGAGGGGGACGATACCGCTCTGGTAATTCATTTTACGGTGGAGTTCAACGAGGGCGCGCCAGGGTGCTTGGGTCCCTGGAGCTGCCTCTCCCTGCCTCCTCTCCGTTCGAGGGTCCTGGCTGGCTCTCTCCAGGAGCCACCCCCTTCCCCCGCAGGACTCTGTCGCGTGTTTCGATCCCCGACAGCGCGGCGTCGGCGGCGTCGGATGGAACCGCGCACGTGATGCGCGATGCCCGTCGAGATACGCCGTTATGTCCAGCGCGGCGACCCGCGCGGGATTCTCTGCTGAGACATTCCAGCGAAGCCCATTCGTTTGGGGCCACCTCGGGCCCGTCCGCCCGTCCGCCCCCCGCCTGCCTGGCTGCCTGCTGAGCCTGGCCACCTTGGCGGATGCTTAAGTCGGTCTTGGGGCGGTCCGGGCCGCCGCCGCCGACGCTGCGCGTTTCGTGTTGCCAATAAGGAAGTCCCACAGGGCACGTCTTCGTCGTCGTCAGGGCCGAGTCGGTGTAGTCATGGCGCGGTGCAGTCACGGTGGAGGCACTGCCAGGCACGGCGCCGTCCCCGCGGCCTCGCGGCCACGGATTAACTTTAATGAACGTTGTGCTTCCAGCGCTTCCAGCCGGCAGGGAGCTTATAACGTCCTTGACTTTAAGCACGCATTGTGTCTGTGCGTCATACGTTGTGTGTGTGTGTGTGTGTGTGTGTGTGTGTGTGTGTGTGTGTGTGTGTGTGTGGCGGGGGCACGCTTGAGGGGATTCGGCGCTTGCCGAGGCAACCACAAGCGCGCCGTCGTCTGAGTATCGAACCGCGTCTGGTCCCGTCCGAGTCCAAGTTGTTGCCTCCAAATATTGATGTTGAGCTGCTGGGCGCCTGGGTGCGCCTGGGTCCGCCTGGGCTGCTCGGCGGCGCGAGGTGGTGCTAAGTTGCCCTCAACTTGGCCCGCCCGACCAGTCGCCCCGGCCAGGCGTGCCCATCGGCGTGCCCCGCGGCATCCCCAGGCAGGACGTCTGTTAGGCGGCTCGAGGCCCCGGGCCCTCTAGGGTGGCGGGCGACCCTTGATCTGGGACGTCGCGGTGGCCTTCGATCCGGCAGTGCCGTGCCGTGCGCAGTGCCGCCGCGGCCTTGCGCGCCGTGCGCGGGGCGACAGACGGACAGTGAGAGGCCCTCCTCGCCGTCAGAAGCATGCGTGAACACTTTTTTCCAAGGTCATTGAATCGCCTTGTGAAATTCTCAAAGAAGTTCTCGGAAATTTTTCCTCACAATTTCGCGCACTCTAAAGCTGAGCAGCCTCCCTCCCAGTTGAACACAATAAAAATGCAACCCGTGTATGTTTTGTCTTGTTGGCAGTGCCGGACCACATCCGGCCCCGGGTGTGCTCGCTGCCAGAGAAGCCGTACAATCCGCGGTCGGGCGACGACCTGTACCGCCTGCGCACCTTCTCCATCACCAACAAGGGCGGCGTCGTCAACTGCGGGGACTCCATCATCAACCGCCGGTCGCGCTCCAACACCAGCGTCAACTCCACGGCCAGCAGGTCAGTCAGACGCCTCACCGCGCGAAAAGAAAAGAAAGCAACAAACAACATCAAGGGAATAAACGGGGAAATGGCGGAGGAAGTAACGAAGCTAATACCATAACGCTTTTGCGGTGCAAGGAAAAACCCAGAGAGGGCAGGGGGTGGTGTAGGCGGCGTGGGCGTGGGCCTCCATCCCTGCCTCCAGCCCTGCCTCCAGCGGCCGGGGCGTCGAACCTGACAAGCGTGACAAATTGGCCGGCGGCGATTGATTTAACGGAAGAGAAGGGCGGATCGGGACTTACTGCGTACCATTTTTGGCCCGGCCGGCCCGCTGGTTGGTTGGCCAGCCTGCCGGAGTCCTCTGGGGAAACTGTGTGCATCCTCTATTGATTTTCAACCATCGCGCCAGTTGCGCCTCGCTCGCGTCTAATGCACTCGAAACAGAATGCGGCACGATGCCAACACACAACGTCCCGGCAGCGGCAGCTCGCCACGGCGCGGCAGGGGCGGCACGGCACGGCACGGTAAGGCACGGCACGGTGTGTAGCACGGTGTACCGCGCGGAGCTCAACAACATCGGATTCCGATGACGGCAGGGGCTGGCCGGGGCTGGCAGGGGCCGTCCTGGTTGTCAGCGCACGTCGTCTACACCCTCGCGGGCTTCGCGCGCCGACGCGTCAGCGAACCGCGGGGGAGTGATGGGCGAAGGGAAGGTCGGTGTCCGCACGGGAAAAATCCGATGGCAAGCTGCAAAACAATTCAAAACAAAAAAAAACGGCCTCTCTGTGCTGTGGAGAGCGCCTGCGGAGCGCGGGGCAGGCAACCCGGGTGCAGGCGTGTCGGGCGGGACTGCCTACCCTCGGCTTCGCGGGCGTCCAGGCCACCAGACGGAGTGCGGTTGGCTTACAGAGGGCGCGTGCGCTATGGCCCGAGCCGGTAGCGGACCCAGAAGCGGCATTTTTTTTTTGGGTGTGGGAGCACTTTTTGCCCGCTTTCAGGCAAAGAACAGACTTTTGCCCACCTTTCAGGCGGCCATCTAGGTTCCATGGGAGGCAGAAGCCGTTTGCCCTTTCCCTGTTTTCACGCCCGCTGCCCATATTGTGGCTCATTTTGTGCTCTCTGTGGGCCCAGTGCGGGGCCCAGTGGGGGGCCCGGCGCGGGGCCCAGTGGGTCCAGAGACACATATGTGAGAGGGTTCATGACGTCGGCAAAATGTGAGTCATGCGACCGAATATTATTGCCCCCTGGCAGCGACATCTTCCCATCTGCTCAAGAGGCCCCCGTGGAGTTGGAGGGTGGCGCCACGCCGCGACGGGGAAAAGGGGGGGGGGCACTTCGGTGGCCAGTTGTATCCGCCTCCCAAATTCGTATCTCTCGGTCCAGCGACTCGGCGGCCCCCGCAGCCCCCTGAGACGAGAAGGGGTCGTCGTTATTTTTCGCGGCCATCCAGCTGGGCGGGCAGGAGGCTGGGCAGGAGGCTGGCCGAAAGGCTAAGGCGGGGTCGTAAAAAGGAAGCCTGCCGCCCCGCCCCGCCGCCAAGTTAGCACCGATCGCCCTTAGTCTGTTGGCATGGGGACACCGGAAGAAACTCAAGCAGGCTTTAATGTAACTGTCAAAACGGGAAACGAACGCGGTCGTCTTTTTTGTGTTTCTGCGGTGTACTTGATGTGCCCCCGCTTGAAGCCTTTTGCGTCCCCAGACTCGATCGAATGTCACAGCCAGGTGGTCGAGATATTCTCCGTCATGTCGCTATCTCCCTGTCGGCGGTGCTGCGGGGTGCGGAGGGTGCAGAGGGTGCGGAGGGCAGAGCAACAAGTGACAGGACCGCGACGACAGGCCGCCTAACGTGCTTTCCCGCTCCACTCAGCTCAGCTTGGCAGAATGCAGCAGCCTCAAAAACAGAAAGCGTCAGCGCGCCTCGGTGCGTTGACGTTCCCCCAAGTTCACACAGCGGTCGCGATGTCACCTTGGCTCGCCTCGTCGCCCCCCTGTCACGGCCGTGCAGCTTGTGCGAGTGGGGCAGACATTTCCCCCGGTGGTAGTAAGAGAGAGGCCGTGCCCGGCCGTGCCAGAGGGTCACCCGCAGTAGTCTCGGGGGTCCCGGTCCAACCCCGGTGTACTGCCACCCCACGCTATGGCGTCACTGCGGCCCCACGTCCGATAAGCGATGTAAAGCAGCGACGTGCAAAAGAGGGAGGGAGTCATTTGCCCACTTTTTAACCGTCGTTTGTCATCCAGTGTAGCGCCGAATTCCCTCTGTGCAACAGGCGGGAGAGGAGCACCAGCTGCAAACAACCCTCTTTTTTTCGTGCGTCGCCGCACGGCCACCGGTGCTGCAGGGCGTGCATAGGGCCCGGAAAAGGGCCTGGCCGGGCCCCCTGTTTCTCACACGAGGCGGATGTACGCGGCTAGAAAGAGCGCCGCGTCAGCATCAGTTACAATATCGTTGCGAAGGGCCGCGTTTCATGTGCCCGGGATGATTTGGCGGGAAATGTATGGGCCTTTTGTCAGCTGCTGGAGTTGTAAACGTGTAAGTGACGCGGCAATAAACACACCTACATACCAAGCTGAGCAAACACCCTCGACTGTGTGTGTGTGTGCCGCCGATAAAATTTATTGCGTGCTTACGGCAGGCCCAGATCCTCCCATGGGAAATCCAATGTAAACCCCGTCGTTGCCGGCAATGTTGGCACGGAGTGGCGATGCGTGGCGAACGCGCTGCCAAGAAGCCTGCTCAGTGCTCAGCCCGCGCAAGACGCGGTAAGGCGGGGCAGCCGGCCCGAGCTGCCGCTACACTCGTAAGAGGGCATCCATAATCACAGCCCCTGTAACCGCACCACTGGCAGGCAGGGCCTGTGTCAATACTACTCCCCGAGCCAGTCATCCCAGCGCCACGCTCCAACACAACAAAGACCCCTTTTGACGCGTGATGCTCTTCTTTGGGGCTGGAGACACGAAAATGATCATTTTCTTGTGCAACGATGTGTGGTGGTGCACCATACCACCGCAGATAGATCGTTTCATTCAAAACATTCGCTTAGAATAACTGCGGGATCTTCTTGTGTGTGTGTGTGTGTGTGTGTGTGTGCGCGCGCGCGCGCGCGCGTGCGCGTTTCAAAGGGAGGAGCGTGGAAATCGGCAAAGCCACTGAGTCCCGCCGTAATCACGAGGCGACCTTTATTGCGCAAGTCTCTTTGCGTGTATTTGGCCGTTCGATTGCGCGCGTGTGTGCGTGTGTGGGTGTGTTTGTGTGAGTGAGAAAGAGATGGTGTGTGCGCATGTGAGAGTGAGGAAGAGGCTTTCCTCTGCTCCTCTCTCTTCCCTCATCTCGCTCGTCGTCCTCAGCCCTCCCCATAATGGGGCCTCCCGAAATCGCCGTCTTCTTATCGGCCCCCGAGCCATCAAACTCCATGTCCATCCAGACGAATAAAAAGAGTGATCAACGATGTTGACCGCGATAAAAAGGAAGCTAATATTTTTGCTGCTCTGCAATCCAAACATTTGTGGGAATAGGATGAGTAGTAAGGACTGCCCCAAATCACCCGCCGAAAGGATAAATTATTGACCAGGCATTTTAGAACTTTTCTGTACTTTTTACGAGTTTTGTCTATTTCCTGAAATGACCTAGCCTAGAGTATGACCGGCTCGGGCGGTGGGTGACCTGGGGTATTCAAGATGGCGGAGGATGACTCGGGGGAGTTCTTACTACGATTTCGTTTCCGTGGGCGCTGAAAGGCCTGGGGTATCCAAGATGGCGGAGGGTGACTCGGGGGAGTTCTTACTACGATTTCGTTTCCGTGAGCGCTGAAAGACCTGGGGTATCCAAGATGGCGGAGGGTGACTCGGGGGAGTTCTTACTACGATTTCGTTTCCGTGAGCGCTGAAAGCGCGGTCCATTGGTGGTGGTCGGCGCGAGTCGGCAGCGCCCCTGTCACGTTCCCCACCGGAAGTGTTCTGATTGGGGGGCCGACCCTGAGCGCCGTGGCCGCTGTGGCTGTGGTTCCAGGCCCCACCAGCACAGCCAGGACGGCCCCCAGGCAGCCCCACTGTGGTGATTTCACTCCTGTTGACACAATGCGTGACAAAATGTGTGCCATGAAAATGAGTTTTTAAACGTTCTGATTATAGGCAGTATTGAGATGCGCCATCAGAATTTCACACGCAAACTTTCAGAACTGAAGCCATCAATGCTCGACCTACCAGAATAGAATTGTGAAACGTCAGTAATCCGAGAGAGAGAGCCTGAAATGCCCGTCGATGTGCACACGAGTGTGGTCCTGACTGCCGGCTGACGGCGTGGCAGCGCTGGTCCAAAGCCAGGAAGGATTCGAGTCAGGTCTCCGACCGCGCCGACCGCGCCACGGCTCCGCGATCGATGCTCCCAGCAGTGCTGGTGCTGGGCCTGGTCTGTGCTGCCCGCCAATATACTCTCTCGTGAAAAATGAATCGTTCAACCTCTGGAGCGAAACTGTTTCGGCATTCAGAATTGAAGCAGGGTGCTTGCAGGAGGCTTCCACGCAGAGTGCATCGTCAGGGTTGTGTGCGTGCGTCTGGCGTCCGTGTGTGCCTGTGTGTGTGTGTGTGTGTGTGCGCGCGCGTGTGTGTGCACAGGCCAATCGCTGTATAATGGTGGCTGGCCGCAGCCAACAGGTGGCCTGCCACGGCAATTACGTCCCTGGCGAGCCGCGGTGTGGGGGTGCCACGGCGCGGCTCAAATAAGCGCGAATTAAAACGCGAGGAAACACCTCTTCATTATGGGGCTTGATTTAATTTGCAGGGCCGGCCGGGCGAGGCGGGGCGAGGCGGGGCGAGGCGGGGCGAGGCGGCCGCGTTGCGTGCGTGCGGACGGTTTGGAATCCGATCCGCCTGCCCGCCTGCCCGGCTGGCCCTGCTACAGTCGAAACGTGAGAAGCCCCTTCACTCCCCTTCCCCCGTTACTTGCTGGACCCCGCTCCACGCTCCCCTCGACCCCATCTGAGGCCTCGCCAGCGGGCCCAGCGCCCCGGCAGCAGGCAGTTCATTGTCCCTCCTCAGTCGGACCAAGTCGGCTGACTTTTAGCGCTCCCTGCCAGTGTTGTTGGTGATCCCTGCGGATCGAAGTTCTGGCGGCGGCGCCGCGGGAGCAGGGGGCCGTGGCGGCTGGAAGGCTGGGAGGGCCTAACGTTGGTGTAACACGCACTGCCGCGCCGACACCTGCCGGGCCACCCACGCCAGCCTGCCCAGCCACCCCTCCTTCTTGACCTCCGAAGTGGTTCGCCACCAACGTCGAGACGGCGACATCGGCGTTGTTTTCGGTGTAGTCTGAGCCCTTCTCCTTCTCGCCGTTGGTTTTTTTCCCTTTTGCGAGTTTGTTCTGGGGTCTTATCCGTCCCGCTGCGCTCTGCAAACCTAACCTAGACCTCGCCCGAACCAGACCGATGGCAATCACAGTGCCAATCTTGGCCTGGGCCGGGCCAGGCTGGGGCCCCATCTACCTGGCGACCGTTCCAGGGCCGACCTGCCGACAGGCTACTCCTCTCCACCAGGGCCTCTGCACGAGGCGGTCGCCGCGGTCGGCGGGGCGGTGCTACACAGCACCGGTTCTACCTCCGTCTTCTTCCGGAGGGTTGCGTAGAGAGAGAGTACGCAGTGTACGCTACACCTGGAGGGTCTCTTTGAATACTGTAATGCGTATGCACACACGCACACATGCAGTGCGGCCGTGCGTCCGTTGACTCATGTATAATACATGTCGTATAATGGCTCCACCCCGCCCCGCCGCGCGCCACCCCGCCGTGCTCCAGATAATTACTCGTTCGAGACCGATTCCAGGATGCCGTCGGCCTTGGAGCCCTTCGGCTGGTGGGGCGCGGCGGCGCATCAAAGGGCCCCACCGTGCCTCGCTCCAGCCGTAGAGTGCGCACGGTTTCCACACGCCGCGCCACTTAGCTCCCCGCGCGCGCCAAACATTTCCACAAACAATTATTATTTGTTCCGGTTTGTTGGCGGCGTGACCTACTTTCGGGGGACGCGCCGGCACCGAGGTCTTTAGTTTAGCGGGGCGGGTAGGGCCCAGGGGGCCTTGCCGCGCTGACATGCGGACGTCCTCAAAGGACCAGAGGACACGGTGATGTGTCGCGGTGCGGGGGCCCGGCGCGTTGGCGCGGCAGCGCGGCAGCGCGGCGAGGGGCTTAGCAGCAGGCCCCGTTGTCGCGCGGAGGAAACTTTGACGGCTCAAGTCACGCTTGGCGGCGCGGCACGCGGCCACCCGGCAGAGAGCCGATCATGGACAACACACGGACCGGCCCCTGTCTGCTGCAGCCTCCGCAGCAGGCCCAAGCACCAGGACGTCGCGCCAACAGTGAGCGAGCTTCGGGTCGCCTGGGTTTTCGAGTGTGCCTGCCAAAAGTGGGCCGGCGAAGTGGCTGCCGCCTGACGGCTGCCTGCGACTCGGGGATCAAGGCTCAAGGGGCTGAACAGGGCGGCAGATTAGTGCGCGACGAGGGGAGGAGGCGGGGAGGGGAGGGGAGGGGGCGGGGAGGGGAGGGGCGGCTTACTGCGAACGACGACGTGACTGTCACCGGGGCGGACGAAAGACCCGCTCCAGATATTTTAATGAGAATAAACGCGGACAAGCGGGGGGGGGGGGGCATGGTGGCAGACAGTGTGAGTGAGGCCCGGCCCAGTGCGGTGGCGGCCAGGGCGGCCTGGGCGCAGAGGGACACTCCGGTTGATGGGGTATTGATTGGCAGCCCTCGTATTGTTTTCACCGAGGCCCCTGCCTGGCGGTCCAGCCCGTCCAGCCGCGAATCGAGGTGCCCCTAATGGGGCAATGGGGCGGCCACTGGGGCGGCATTGGGGCCCACTCCCGCCGCGGCTCGTTGGCCGCGTGCACGGCCAATCAAGGAGCCGGCCATCTCGCGCGGCAGTAGCCTCGCTTCCACCCATACGAGACGCCCCGTGAGTTTGAGAGGGACAGAGAGATGAAAACGACTCCCGGAATCAGTCTGCAGGCCACGGGCTGGCCGTTCAGGTAGTCCGGGACCTGGCCGGCGAGCCTTGCCGGCGGCAGGGGGCCGACCGCTATTATTCGCGCCACCCTGAAAAGAAAATTAATTAGCCCATTTTTAGCGCGGTAGCAGCTTGTACCTACCTGGCCTGGATTGGCCCGCTTGCCGCCCCGCTTGCCGCCCGGCGCCTCGGAGACGGATTGCTCCGCTCTCGTGCCTAAGTGTTCCAGCCCTTGATTACCTCGAGGACCGGGCCGGGCCGTGTGCAGGCCCCGAGGGGAGGGGGCAAGGAGGGGGCTGCGGAGGGATTACCGTGCCGACTTTTGGGGGTGCGAGTGGAGTGCCGAGTTGTGAGCGATGGCCCGAACGGCTCGCTGCGTGCGGCCGAATGCGGCGGCCGGGCGTTCATTCACCGCTCGCACCTCGCCACTCGCACTCGCGCACCAATCCAGACGGATTGCGCCAATTGCGAGCTCGGCGGCCTAGCGACAGGATCCCGACGCAGGATCCCCCGGGACGGGATGAGGGCCGCAACGGGGGCTTAGCGCTGGGGGGAGGTACACGTGGATGGGGCCCACGGGGGGCTCACACCGTCTCCCTCATAATCCCCTCCCCACCCCCCGACTCACACACTCCCAGACATTATCATGAGCAGAAGAAGGAGACTCTGGTTCGAGATCCGGCCGGTCGATTTCCACTTGTCTGCTTTGCCGGCTTTGCCCGAATCTGCCCCATTCTTCCCAGAGGCCGCTCCGAACTCGACTCATCGTCAGCAGAGCAGAGCCGAGCAGAGCGCAGCCATGGCGAGGCCGAGAGCGCGGCAGTGCAGCAACGCGGCGGGCGAAGGAGGCGGGAAACTAGAGCGGCTTGCACGATTCAGCAGCCTGTCGTCGCCAGGCGCGCAGTGCCGCGCAGGGCGCACAGCGGCGGGGGTATCGAACGCACAGGGGCAGATTGTCACTGCCAGAAACTGGTCTCTAAGTTCAAACGGATGTGGTGTGTGTGTGTGTGTGTGTGTGTGTGTGTGTGTGTGTGTGTGTGTGTGTGTGTGTGTGTGTGTGTGTGTGTGGAGGTAAACTGATTGGACCGGGTCTGTTGCAGGGCGTCGGGGCTGAGCGGCGAGCGGTCCCCGTTCGAGGGCTCCTGCTGCGGCTCGTCGTACAACAACGTGTCCTCGGACACGGCCAGCCAGGAGGAGCAGATCAACAAGTTCCGCGTCGTGCTGCTGGGCGAGTCCGGCGTGGGCAAGACGGCGCTCGTGTCGCAGTTCATGACGTCGGAGTACATCCACACCTACGACGCCTCGCTGGGTGAGTCTGCTGGAGGTCTTCGGCGCGGCCACCCTCCGCCCCCCGCCACGCCCCCCGCCCATCGCACAGCCTGGGCGGGCTGCTGCAGCGAATGAAGGACGGCCTGCAATACCTCACCTGGCTTGGTGGCGGCGGCGGCGGCGGCGGCGGGGAAAGGATGGTCGCGGTAATGAAATTGAGAGAGCGCTGAAACATTCCCGGCGGCCCCGGCGTGGTTGTGGGGGCAGAAGCCAGGCGGCGCAGCCCGGCAGCGCCTCTCTCCGGACGAAAGTCACCTCCTTGACCCGGCCCCTCCCCTTCCCCCGCCAACAAGCCCCCCTGATGGAATTCAAACACAGCCAAAGTCGCGCCGTCGGCGGCCGGGCTGCAGCAGCGTGACTTGGCCCCATCCCCGTCGCGTCGCTTCGAGTCGCTCCGAGCCGCTTCGAGTGGCGGCCATGGCTTTCATTTTTGCGCGTGCGTGTCTCGCCGCGGTCTCGGGAATCACTTTGAGGAGGCCGCCATCCTCGCGGTCGTCGTCGTCGTCCTCGTCGTCCTCGTCCCCCGCACTGTGACTGCGACCGCCAAAGGGCCCTCAGCGGATCTAGCGGGCCTCGGCGCACTCATGTTCGCCGCCCCGTGGAGAGCCACTCCACTGCCGCGGCCCTGGGCCTCGGCACTGCCAGCCACTGCGAGCCACCGCCCTGATTGGACCGCCCCGCCCCGCGTGCCTACTCCTACGACTCCTGCTGGCGGCATTCGTTGCAACTCTTTCGTCCGCCGCCATTGCGTGGTGCGCAGCGTGCTGCCCTGGCTCCGGCGGCTCCGGCCAGGTCGGGCTCGGCTCGCTTTTGCAATAACTTGGGCGTGGGTCGGTCGGAGCAGGGCCGAAAAATATGGCGCACTTAAACCGGGTCTGTGTGGGCACTCCGCTCCGCCCCACCCCGCTCCCGCCCCGGCCCGAGGAGGTAGCCACTCCCCCGGGGCGTGTTCGGCCGCCAGCGTGTGGCCGCGGCGCTCTGCCCTGCCAAGCCTCGCCAAGCCCCGGCAGTCCACGTGGCCGATTTCGTTATTCCCCGCATATATTCGACGCACTTTGCGGAGGGCAGGTACACGCCCCTTTTTCTCTGAAAGTGTAGCCGCGGTGTCCCCTTCATCTCGGCGGACATGGAAAAGTTGGCGGCGATTCTGCGATTAGCGCGGCGCCGAATGAGGTTGCCGACTCCCCCGAGGCCTGCCGGGGCCGGGGCCGGGGCCCGCTGCTGCTCGACAAGACCGTCTTCTCCCAGACCGCCGCGCCGACCGCCGCCGCTCCCGCCGTGGGCCCCGCCCCCCGCAAGGCGCCCCGCAAGGCCCCCCTCAAGGCCCCCCTCTCGAAGATAACCCGATAGAGCATGCAAACCGCCGCCGCCTGGATGCTGGATCCCTTCCCTATGCCCCTGGAGGGGCCTGATGGAAAGGGGGAGGGGGGAGGAAGGCGGAGGGGGGGGGGGCTCCGACTTCCTTCCGGATCTACATTCAGAGAAAAGCAGGAACGCCGCGGGGAACTTCCACCCAACATCGTGTTGTTGTTGTTTTTGTTGTTGGCTTATTTTATCTCCGAGATGAACTGGCGACTCACGGGGTTGGCGGCTCATTCTGAGGGTGGCGGGTGTGGTCCAGCCACCGCGACGGTGCGAACGAAAGGGCGTGGTTGCGGAGTCCAGCCAGTTTCGAAAGGCTTTCACCCGCGATGAAAAACGCAGCAAAATGAAAATCTCACGGACAAAAGCGATTAGTTGGATCAATCGATCTCTCGGTTGGTTTTCGCCCAGGCAAGAAAAGCAGCTGTCGGAACGGAGCCAAGAACGGGGTATGGATTCGGCAAAAAAGGGGATGTAGGAAAAAATTTCGAGGGGTCGCGGCGAGGTGGTTGGGGTCGCCTGGGGTTGCGGCTGTTTCCCGGCTGGCAGAATTGTTCAAAACGGTCGAAAATGCCTTTGAAAATTCGGGTTTTAGGCCGACTTTAAGCAGCAACTGCGTCTGATCCGACATGGTATTTCGTCCTTCCTTAGCGGGCATTTGGTCTTTGGACCTTCCTTTAGCATGCCTTTGTTACGGAGTGCGATTATCGGCCTTAGTTTGGGAGCAGTATTGTCTCAAAGTGGATCAAAATGGCATGCAAAGGCATTTTTTACTGTTTTCATCAACTTTGAGACAATACTGCTCCCAATTTAAGGCCGATAATCACACTCCGTAACAAAGGCATGCTAAAGGAAGGTCCAAAGACCAATTGCCCGTTGAGGGAGCAAAATGCCCGCCTCGGATCAGACGCAGTGGCTGCTTAAAATCGGCCCAAAACACGATTTTTCATAGACATTTCTGAGCGTTTCGGCCAACTTTGAGACAATACTGCTCCCAATTTAAGGCCGATAATCACACTCCGTAACAAAGGCATGCTAAAGGAAGGTCCAAAGACCAATTGCCCGTTGAGGGAGCAAAATGCCCGCCTCGGATCAGACGCAGTGGCTGCTTAAAATCGGCCCAAAACACGATTTTTCATAGACATTTCTGAGCGTTTCGGCCAACTTTGAGACAATACTGCTCCCAAACTAAGACTGATAATTGCACTACGTAACAAAGGCATGCTAAAGGAAGGTCCAAAGACCAACTGCCCGTTGAGGGAGCAAAATGCCCGCCTCGGATCAGACGCAGTGGCTGCTTAAAATCGGCCCAAAACACGATTTTTCAAAGACACTGCTGACCGTTTCGGCCAACTTTGAGACAACACTGCTCCCAAACTAAGACTGATAATCGCACTCCGTAACAGAGGCATGCTAAAGGAAGGTCCAAAGACCAAATGCCCGTCGAGGGAGGACGAAATACCTTGTCGGATCAGACGCAGTAGCTGCTCAAAGTCGGCCCAAAACACGATTTTTTAAAGACATTTCTGAGCGTTTTGATCAACTTTGTGGCAATACTGCTCCCAAACTAAGGCCGATAATCACACTCCGTAACAAAGGCATGCTAAAGGAGGGGTCGCGTGGGGTCGCGTGGGGTCGCGAAATTTTTCCTGGGGGTCGCGGAAATTTTTTGTTACAAATTTGGGGTCGCGAACCGAAGAAGGTTGGGAACCGCTGGACTATACGAACCACTGCTCCGCGCAGGGTAGCCTCGCCAGCACAGCGCGGCATTGCGGCCCTTGGCTTATTTCGCCTCGAACAACAAGTCGACTTGCCGGGGCGCGGCAGCCGCGCCAGCACCGCCAGGTATGCCCGCCGCCCGCGCCTCCTCCAGGCCAACCAGGCCGCCTCGCCTCGTCGAAACCAAGTGGAGCGAGGGCGAGGCGCATAGTTGATCCCGTAGGCTGGATTCCACCACACTGCGCCGCGCTGCGCAGAGGGCAGAGCAAGGCCGGACTCGAAAGCAAAACCAAATTGCCTCCCAGTCATCGACAGCAATCTCGTCATCGATCGAGGACAATCGAAGCAGCAACCCTCGAGGAAATCCGTCAACGCTTCACCGTGTCGCGTTGCGACGAATCACAGAGCCACGCAGAGCCGGCAGCCCGCCGCAGCGCAACGCGAGTCCGGGGCCGGCGAAATGACTGGGGTCGCTTTGTGATTTTTGCAGTGCAGGCGAAAGGAAAGGGACTTGGCGAGAAGGTTGCGTGCATACTGCGGGACACTGAGGGGCCGTGGCGAGGGCCGTGGCGAGGGCTTGGCGTGGGTGGCGCCACCGACACGAGGGGCAGCACCGTGCCTCAAGACTTTATTACCGCCAGGCCCCTAAAATTACAGCTCTGCACTCCCCCCCCCCCCCTCCACGCGGAACTCATTGGTCCCATTACCGGTCCACACGACCCTCCGACTGCTCGCACTCACACACGCGTCCTGGAAAAACGGCGAATGGCATCGCGGCTGGAATATTTCTGCGGAAAGGGTTCCGTTTTGCCCCCCCCCCCGGGCGAGGCGAGGCCGCGCACTGTACTACGCGTCGAGATTAAAAAGCAGAGGCCCTCGCTGTCCGTCGGCCGGCCAGACGAGTTTAATTAGTGGTCCACGATGAATGCGATCAACGGTTCTGTCTGCCTCCGGCCGGCCTCTGGCCTCTGGCTTCCGACGCGTGTGCCTGCCCGCCTTCCTGTCTGCCTGCCTGCCTGCCTGTCTGCCTGTCTGCCCGGGACTCAGCACAGTGGACCAGACAAAATTTTGCGCCACGTTCTCCCCCCCATTCGGATTCACTCTACTGGCCTTCACGAGGTGAGTCATATCAGCCTCGCCGCGCCGCCGCCACCCCACCTGGGCCGAGGGCTTGATGGGCTTAAACGGGCCGCAAATTCTATTAAAAATGTTGACGGTAGTTAGCGGGCTTATTAAATTGACGGGCAGCGGCGTTATAGGCATGGCAGAGGGGTGTGTGTCTGTGTGCGCGCGCGTGGGTGTGAGCGAGTGTAGATGAGTAGGTGTGGTGGTTGGGTGGGTGTGTAGGTGCGAGCGTAGCACTGTACACGTGGCCTGTGCCCCGTGGTGGTGGCGTCGGAGGCGTGGTGGAGTATATTGCCCCGCGAACAATGCTTATATACACCCAATGCTTTATCAACAGAGCTGTCGTCGGCAAGCCAAGCCAACGCATCTTGCTGTTCTGCCCCCCCCCCCCCCCCCCCCGCCCCGCCCGGCCACGCCCCACACTGCGGCGAGGGCATGTCCTTGGACGCTGCCCAAAGCGAGCGCATCAGTGTGGGACACGTTTTGGCGGCGCAAGGCTGCTACCCTTTCATTTCACGGCTGTTTAAAATTTTCACTCCTGTCTTTGCTGCTGTTCCAGACGACGAGTTCGGGGAGAAATCGGTCTCGGTTCTGATGGAGGACGAGGAGTCCGAGATGGTCTTCATCGACCACCCAGCCAGCGAGATGTCGGTACGTACAAGGACATGCATGTGTGCACAGGCGCAAGGGAACTCCCTATTATAAATTAAAGAAACCACGTGAGGACAAAGGACAATGTTTTCAGGCTCGGGCTGGCCAGAGCAGACAGGAAGAAAAATCTGCCGGGGCCTTCTTCGGGTTTGGGACCAGTAACGTCACAAAGTTGGTCAAAGAGTGACTGAATCTCCGAAAGTAGCCGTTTTCGCTGATTTTGGGCGGCCACTGCGTCCGACCTAGTTGCGGCCAACGGCCTACCTCGACGCCCTAGTATCCTTAAGACCCTACTCTTTCATGCCCTGTATCGGGGAGATGTTGACCACAACGATTTTGGCTTTGACCGCAACGATTTTCCGACCAAGTTGGTCAAAAAGTGGTTGAATCTCGGAAATTTGCTGATTTTGCTGACTTTGGGTGGCCACTGTGTCCAATCTAGTCGCCGTAAAAGGCCTCCCTCGACGTCCTAGTATTCTTCAGACCCTACTCTTTCATGCCCTGCATCAGGGAGACGTTGACCACAACGATTTTGGCTTTGACCGCAACGATTTTCCGACCAAGTTGGTCAAAAAGTGGTCGAATCTCGGAAATTTGCTGATTTTGCTGACTTTGGGTGGCCACTGTGTCCAATCTAGTCGCCGTAAAAGGCCTCCCTCGACGTCCTAGTATTCTTAAGACCCTTCTCTTTCATGCCCTGAATCGGAAAGACGTTGACCACAACGATTTTGGCTTTGACCGCAACGATTTTCCGACCAAGTTGGTCAAAAAGTGGTCGAATCTCGAAAATTTAGCGAACGAACACGACTCTCTGACCAGTTCAGAGAGGGAACCAGAGAGAGGTCGGGGGCGTGCAGAGCGGTGCGGCCTGGCGTACGGCGTACGGAGTACGGAGCAAGCCGCCATCGGAATGGACGTGTCGAACGCAGACGATGTTAATTTGACGTGGAAGACCGGCGGCCCGACCGGAGGGGCGCGACGCCACCAGATAATTAAAATGCAATAACAAGGAGCACTTTTTAGAAATCGAGTCAGCGGACTTGTTCGTTTCCTTCCGTCTGCCCGCGGCGCTGCCAGGGCACTGCCAAGGCGCTGCAAAGGCGCCGCCGTGGCCTCGGCCGGGGCACTGCAAGCCTCCGGCGTCGTCTCCGTGCTGATACGCTGATGCAGGCAAAATGGGGCGTTATTCCGCGCCAGAGATCAAGAAGGCAAACGGAGCGGCCGGCGGACGGGCCGGCGGCGGAAGGCGGTACCCCCTCCCCTCCCCCCTCCCCTCCCCTCCGCCGCTCCTCCGGGCCGATCTTCTCACCGTCGCTCTAATTAAATTCAAAGTGCTGGCGGGAGTCGGCGAGCCCCATGTTTACCTCGGCATAACACGGACCGCGAGGCCGGGGCCGCCCGGGGCCGCCCGGGGCCGCCAGAGGCCGCAGCCGTTGTGGCACGCCACGCCACGCCACGGCACGGCACGCCACGCCACGGCCCAAGTCGTCATTACCGCGGTGGGTTTTTCAGCCGGTTTATGTTTCCTCGGCCTCCGCAGCATAATGAGTGGGGCCGGCAGCCCTCTGTTTGTCTGTCGAGACGGGGTTTGCAGGTGAGGCGATGGAAGAAGTCGAATTCGCCACAAGTGCCCAGTGCTGGCCAGGGCCAAAGCAACGGGGAAAAAAATCTTTCGCTTTATCGTCGGTGCCCGTGGCTGAGGCGCGTGGAAAAGTCGACGGAATTCATATCGAGGGTGAAACCCAAATGAAACCAAAAGCTTGCGGAGCCCGAGTCCTGCCCGTTCCATTTGAATGAAGCGCGCCCAGCAGGAAAGAACAGAGAGAGGCAGGAGACGGAGAGTGAAAGAGAGAGAGAGCCTCCCTTTTATCTGTCTCCGCGCCATTTGCTCATCCCCGGGCACAAAGATTATTGCGCTGGGAAACGCTTTCTCTCTCTTTCTCGTTCTCGCTGGCGCGGACCTGCCGAGCCGAGCCGAGCCGGGCCGGCCTGTGCCACTTTTCCAGGCCCTTGCATGCCTTCGCTGCCTTCACCCAGGGGCCCTCCCCACCCCCACCCCCAACTCCCCAGGCGGCCTGCACCCCGTCCCTGCATAATGGACCCATGGAGGGGAGGGGGGGGGGCTGCGGTCGGCGCGGCGGACTTGGACGGCCGGCCGAATTGATGTTGTCGCTAATTAAGGGCGGCCCGGCCCAGGAGGGAGCGAGAGGGAGCGAGACAGAGAGAGAGAGACGGAGTCACACAATGGCAATGGCTGGGCGCAGCAGACGCGGAACGGCTGCGGGATACGAACCAAGAATCCAACGGCCACTGCGAGTTTGAGGGCAGCAGTTTGTGGACCGGGTCGAGTGGCGGGCAGGCAGCCAGCCCCGCAGCCAGCCCCGCAGCCAGGCAGCCATGCTGGGGAGCGGGCAGCGTGAAATATTGTGTTTCGTCGTCGTGCTGCGCCGCTGCGCGCAGATCGTGTTCAAACAGTGCAGCGCGCGCGGCGTATTGTGTGCCAAAAGGCGCTGCAGCAACAGAGAACAAAGTGAGCGGCGCTAGAAAAGCAAGTGGTAAACCGAGCGCGTTCCGCGTGTCGCGTGTCGCCGCTTCGTTACCGAACCACGCACGCGGCGCGCGGCCAACCGCTTTGCCTGTTTCGCGCTGCGCGGCCAGCCTCGCTCCGCCATCTCCGCCGGCATAACGTGTCGCCCTAGTAAGGACGACTTTGTCTCGTTTAGAGTTTCTATTTTTCCGGAAAAATAAAATGGTGGAAATATTTCCGAAATATTTCCGAAATATTTCGGAAAAATAGGGAAACATTGGAAATATTGACTTTTCTTTTAAGTTCAGGCGTTTTTAGTTGGAATCTTGAGTGTTCTACTGGAATTAAGAAAAACAAATCTGGAACAAATAAATTAAAGTTTATTCTTGAATTATACAGATTTTCGAGTTACAGACAGTCTGGAATTACAAAGTTTTAGTTTTTGGAGGACCTGGTCACCCATTGTTCCTCAGCTGAAGTCATGAACTCATAAACGGAAGGATTCTTCCTCAAATCTTGGCTTGCTTTGTCTCGCCTCGCTCCCGCTACACCACACACACACTCCTCCCTCCTCCTTCACCTCCCTCCTCCCCGCACCCCGCGCTGCGCCCTCTCGTACTCGACTTCAGACGACTCTGAGTAGTATTCGCGCCATTTTCATTTAAATTTGAAAAGAGTCCTGACCATTGGAAAAACATGATCCGTGCATTTCTAAATGTTCTTCCTACGTTTATGTACTTACAGACGTTAGATGAGTCAAGATACACAACACTGACATTCATTTAGCCCGTAAATGAGTCGTAAGTTATGCAAGTGTCGTAAATAATGCATGATATTGGGTTAAACCGCTAATACAACAATAAAAATCAATATTTCCAATTTTTCCAATTTTTCCGAGGCCTTAGAAATATTTCCGAAATAAATCCGAAATATTTCCAATTTTTCCGGAAATATTTCCGTACCCCGAATCTCTAGTCTCGTTTTGCAGTGCAGGCGAGCATGTGTCGGACCCGAAATGGCATCCGATCATGTGTGGTCTGGCCCTTAATGGCAATGGCAACGGAGCGCCCGTGCAGTAGGCAACGCCCTGCGCTCCACGCGCCGCTGTGCCGCGGGACTGCCTACCCTCGCTCCGTCGGGCGCTCCGTGGCGCGGTCGCTTGGTTCACGGTGTGCGCCCTGGTCCACAGATGGCGAGGGGCGTGAAAACGACACCGAGGGGCCGAGGGGCCGTCCGTAAGGGCCGACCAACACCCTCCGAGGCGCTGCCCCAACCCCCGCAGCGCTGGCACGGCCGGCACGGTACAGGTGCATTAGCAAGCCATTAGCCCGTATCGTTACCGCGGCCCCTCGCCTGGCCTGGCCTCGCCTGGCTTGGCCGCCGTGGCGCCTGACAGATGGGGACGGCCCAGCCCAGCCCTTGGCCCCGCCAGCACGCCACCCCCACTTCTCGGGGCCACGGCGCAACTCACTCGTCCACAAACTCCAGTAACTTTTTCCACCGACTGTACCCGCCACCACCTCCTTTTTCTCCCTCTCTCTCCGTGCGGCACGCCAGGGCCGCGCCAGCAGCACGACCGTAGCACGGCGAGCCTGCGTCACCGCCTCTTCGTCGCGGCCATTCGCGGGTGACGTCACCCTGCAGCCTGGCCTGCCTGGCCCTCCGACCGGGCCTGCACGTGAAGGCTGGAACAATGCCACGCCGTGGCTTCCAGGAACGCGCCACGCCGCGGCGAGGCTGCCCTCGGGCTGCCCTCGGGCTGCGCGGCGTGCTCGGCGATGCTCTGCGTCGCAGGGGCTTTAACCGGGCACACTTTGGCCTGTCCCGCGCGGGGGTCGGCGCCGCTTGCGCAACGCGGAGGATGGCGACGTCGATACCCCACGCCCGGGAGACACCCCCCACACGGATGGCATAAAAAGTCGCTCGGGTTGGGGGTGTCGCGTAGAGGGCTAGATTAGTGCTCTAGCCTTCGTCGGGCGGCATGAACGCGGTCCTCGCCATCTGGAAGGGGACAGGTTGGGGCGGGGCGGGGCGGGGCGGGGCGGGGCGGGGTGGGGGCCGTAAAGGCTGCCGATAAAAACGACTGTCAAACACGCCGAAACTTTACAAAGTGTAAGGGACCCCCTGCTCTTGGCTGCTCTTGGTCCAGATGTGGCCCTGCGCTGCCGGTGCAACAGGTGCGTGGGAAGCTTGCCCCCCCCCTCTCTCTCTCTTTACCTCCCAAAGCACGACTGCTGGGCTCCTCCTAGGGGCCCAAAGAAACGGATCCTCACTGTAGGATTTCCTTAACAGTGCGGCCCTTTTCAGGTGGGAGAGTGTGTGCACACTGTGTGCAAGCCGTTTCGCCCTTTGACCGCAACCCTTCTTGATTGCAGGCGGAGAACTCGCTGTCGACGTACGAGCCGCACGCCTGCGTCGTGGTCTACAGCATCACCAGCAAGGAGTCCTTCCGCACGGCCGAGGACATCCTCAACTACCTGTGGCGCGAGCGCTACACCCAGGACAAGACGGTCATCCTGGTGGCCAACAAGGTGGACCTGGCGCGCTCCAGAGCCATCTCCACCAACGGTGAGCACCCCAAGGCCTGCCGTGTGGGCCACCACACACACGCGCGCGCGCGTTCAAATTGATTTCACGCCGTAAGTGCGAAGTGAGAGCGACAGAACCCTCACCAGAACAGCAACAAAACACGCGAACTATGTAAATTTATTCATAGCGCCCCAACTTGGTATTTTAGCGCTTTTGTTTACGGCCCTGCACGTCGCGCCGCGTCCGCCGTCCGCAGTGTCCGCCTCGGACCGCCTCGGACCGCCCCGCCAGCAGCATCACGCTCGCTGCCTCTCCTCGGCGACCCCATTGAGGCCGTTCCAATATTCTTTCTGCCTTCTCCCTCTGCCTGAGCGTCGCTCTCTCTCTCTCTCTCTCTCTCTATTAGGCGTCGCCGCGCCGGCGATTCCGTTTTCGTTTTCGCGTTTTCGATTTCGCGTTTTCGTTTTCGCGTTTTCGTTTTCGCGTTTTCGTTTGTTTTTGCTGACTTGGAAAGGGTGCAGGGACGCGCCAGTATAACTTTGTCGCCCCCAGATGGGGCTGTTTTGGCGCTGCATGACGGACGCCGCGTCACGGACGTGATCTCCAAATCGAAAAAATAAACGCAAACAGGAAAAGGGTCCCCGGCTTATTGGAGGAAAGAAATAAATCGCTGCCCCGCCCCGTGCTGCCCCGCCACGCCCCGCCACGCCCCGCCACGCCCCGAACAAATTGTGTCGTGTCCACGGACCTGACGCTCGGCGCCTAGCGGCGCCTAGCGGCGCCAAGGCTGCCGGGGCGAGGCAGGGAGGCAGAGAAAGCCTCCCCCGAATATCGTCTTTTCTTTTCCCCTTGACGTTGTACTGTTGCGCGATAAGAAAGAAAGGCACAACTTTAAAAAGCGAGTGGAAGGGGGCGTTCGGCACACTGCCGGCAAACGCGGCGCGTCCAGGGGGGCGGTGCTTCGTCGCTCCGTCTCTCTCGCGCTCCTCCGGGACGCCCCATGAGAGCGAGGGAGACAGAGCGACGCAACCAGTGGCGGCCCATCGGTCGGCCCGTACAATTGGGGGAATTGAATCTGTCGCGCGGACTGCCAGGCTGCCAGGCACTGTCAGGACAAGTTGAAACTTTCAAGTAGTCTCGCGGCCCCGGGGAGGTGGGGACCGTGCGGACGGAGAGGGCAGGCTACAGGCTTGCTACAGGCTTGCTACAGGCTTGCTACAGGCTTGCTACAGGCTTGCTACAGGCTCAGGCTCCTCCGCGCCGAGACAATGGCCTGCCGGCGGTCGTGCGGGGGCTGTGGGGGAAGGCAGGGTGACATCATTCCGAAAAGATAAGAGAAAAATGGGAAGTCGGCGAGCTCCTCTCGGGGCCACGCACGGCACGCACGGCACGCACGGCGCAGGCCGCGCAGGGCACCGTGACAAAGGGTTGGCCTTGGACCGCGCCGAGCCGCGCCACGGTCACGGCGCACAATGGAGGTGTGGGGGTTGCGCCGCGCCGTGCCGCGCCGTGCCGCGCCGTGCCCTACGTTATGGTGGGCAAACCTCATCCTCGCGCTCCCTTATCCCCGGCTCCTGCCCGCCCCCCGCCCGCCCCCTGCCCGCCCCCGGCCCCGGGACGCAGCCAAGCGAGCGGGCCGGAGCGGCGGAAGCAGGCAGGCGGGCCTGGGCGGGCCGGGCCTCGGCCGGACTAGCCGGACCAGCCTCCAGCCCATGGGCTGCGCCATGGCTGCGCGCTGCGGGCTCAGCCCCTGTAAGCCCCGTGCTCTGGAAGAATAACATTGGGGCGCCGTTCTGCTGCCGCCGGCGGTTCTTCGCCTCACAGGCGTGTTCTGCGCCCTTTTAATATATTCCCTTTCCGCCTTAATTGATATTGTGGCTCGCAGCGCCACCTTAGCGCCCGACTCCCAACCAGGTAGCCTTGCCTCCGCTGCCTCCGCTGCCTCCGCTGCCTCCGCTGCCTCCGCCCACTACCAACAAAATATGCAGAGAAGTGGGCTGGGAAACTGGTGAACACGTCGGAATCCTACCGCCGCTCGTCAATACGTGGATTCTTTTTTGATTGTTTGTTTTTCAGTTCTATCTTTTTTGTGCCCCTTCCTCCGCCTTCTGCGGGGCTGGTACTTTCCCGGTGCGTCACGCGGTGAATGTTTAATGGTGCTCTAACCAGCGCCGGCCTGCAGCCCGCTTGGCAGCCTGCTGCTTCGCGCTTCGCCCGGGCCGTGGCGCCGTGACGTCGTGACGCCGTGACGTTTTGACGGCCAGGTCCCCAGGTGGCCGAGCCTGCCGTCCGCCGGGCCGGGGCCGATGCCCTGTCTCTCTCGCACCCTGCGGGATCCCTACGGGACACCCTATGAGTACGACAGAGACAGAGCGACCAAGTGGCTTCGCAGGGCGGGGCCGCTGCCACGGCCGCTGCGCTGCGACGCTGCGAGGCACCGGGGGACGCTCGGCCGCCGGGGGACGAACAACCCCGAGGCCTCGCCACTCGCCCCGCCAGGCAGAGGCAGCAACCCTCTCTAGGTGATTACCGCCACCCCGACACGCGCTGCGCCGCGCTTGGCCACGGAGGCCGTCCCCCTCTCCCTGCGCGCCGGGGTGGCCGAGCGAGGCTCCGATTCGGGCCCGGTGCGCGGGGTGCGCGCGGTGCGCTTTTGCCCCCATCGAGGCTTCGCATTGCTTCGCATTGGACGGCATTGGGCGGCGCGTTTTGTGGCGTCCAACAGCGCGCCGTGTTCGCCCCCAATTGGAGGCAATGACAGGCGCGCGCGCGCACACATTCACAGACACACACACACTTGCACATACCTGCACACGCATGACGCGAGGCCGCATGGACTACAGTCTGTCTCAGGTCGGAACGAGCCTGGAGACGGTCGCGTTGTTGCAGCGGTAGTGCGGCTACCTGCTATTGAGGGTGGCAGCGGCCTGTGCCGGACCCCCGCTGCGAAGGGTCTGTCCCTTTTCATTTCAGAGGTGTTGCTGCAGTTGCTGAGGAGGCAAGTGAACCTCGCCAGGCTCGTTCCGACCTGAGACAGACTATAGTCCCATCGCACGTGTACAGTGTGGGCGCCAGGCTGACTCGCTGCCTCGCCCGCAAGGGTCAAGGCTATGTCGCAGTGCCGTGGCAATGCTGAGGGAGTCCGTGCGCAATTATTTTCAATCTTTACGGCATTCTCGGTGGCGAGGTTGCGAGGCTTCGAGGCTGTCCGCCCGTCGGTCGGTGGCGCAACACTGCCCACCGCTCTAGAATTGTGTTTGAAGCTTGTTGCATGGCGGCGCGAGGCGTCCACTGAGCGCGCTCTTCTCCTCTGTTGCAGACGGCAAGGCGCTGGCGGCGTCGCGGGACTGCAAGTACATCGAGACGTCGTCCGGCATCCAGCACAACGTGGACGAGCTGCTGGTGGGCGTGCTCAAGCAGATCCGGCTGCGGGCGACGCGCGAGCGCAAGCGGCAGCGGCGCGGCTCCACGGCCAGCCGCCTGCACGGCTCCAGGACGTCGCTGTCGCTCAACATCGCGCGCGAGATCCTGCACAAGATCTGCCTCAACGACTCCAAGTCCAAGTCCTGCGAGAACCTCCACGTGCTTTGAGAATCACCGTCCGCCCTCGGCGCGGCCCTCGGCGACCTGCAGGACGTCCCCGAAGACGCCTCCGTCGAGGTGTTCGTCTGACTGCGGCCCCGGGCCGGGGGCCTGGGGGGCGTGGAACCGTCGACGGCGACCTGGGTGTAGAGTGTAGGTCCCACGGCGAGCCCGCGCCTCCGCGTCCTCGCACGCACGCCCTCGGCCCGGCGCCGCCCGCCCCACCCACGGCCCCGCCCATGGCCCGGCCCACGGCCCGCCCGCGGCCCTGCCTGGCGACATAGCCGCCTCGGGTTGAGCGTCTCCTTTCGGCCTTTCGGGCCCCTCGCCCTTGTACTCCGAACTGAAACCTGTCGAACCCGCCGCCAGCCATGCTGCCAGCGGTGAGTCTCCTCGACAGCAAGAGGCGCAAGCGGGACCCGACAGGGCTCGTCTTACACTTTCAACAACCAACAGGCAGACAACCCTGACTCGAAACGGCAAGTGGTTTACAGTGCCTCTCTGCTGTAGTTCGCCGGAAGCGCTATTGCCCAAAAAATAAATCTAGAAATAGCCTTGTTGACAGGATAGAAATAATTGGTTGAAGCGCCGCGAGTCGAGCCTAAAGAATCACGACCCAACGGTCCATCCGAGTGGCACGTTTTCGGTCTTTTAGAGAAAGAAGCGCTGGACCTGCTTGGCGGTCCTCTCTTGGCACTACGCATGGTCTTTTTTAGATATTTCTTTTGTGTGCCGTAGCAGTGGTTCATTATTGGGCTTGGGTAGGTCTGACTATCCATTCGATTTCACTCTTCTCTCAGTATATTGAATATCGAGAAACCGGAGGAGAAACACGAGTTTCGTGCCATCCATCTCGAATAACTCCATTGGCATTTTGTTGTTGTAAATATTTGAGTATCGTGGAAGTGAACTCCTTGCCTAGAAAAAAGGGACGTGCCTTGTGTGGAGTTTTACTGTTTAGTTTTTGTGTATAGTTGATGATGTGCTTCTGAAGGGGTCCATTTCCACGCATGGGCCGTTAGGGTGTCTGTCTTTAGCTTAAGTTAGAATTAAGACTCTCGTCAAACGACACGGTGATACGAAGCAGTAGTGGCTGACCTACGAGTGTTGTAGTCTCTTCATAGAGTCTTCATATACCTGGTTAGTGGGGGTGTTTATCTACAAACATGAGTGTTACGTACGACTTTTGTATGCATATCGCTGCGGGCGACTGCGTCGGGTCACAGCTTTTTCGAGTGCATACCCCTTCGCTCTGAAGTATGTCGCGTCGATCGGCTTGTTGATGGGGTTTGGCTCGCACACTGTGTGACTTGTTCGCAACCATCTTTGTCGCGGTCTTCCCCTTCATGTATACTGCTCTAGCAGTGCAGAGCACTCCCTGCAGGGAATGACCTTCGGGGTCATCCTCCCTTCTGCGAGGCTAGTGTCTTTGGCTTGTATCGCAGCCAAATCTCTTCCCTGTGCTTCTCTATCGGACTGATATTTATTTTCTAATGGACGTACCTTTTGTGTGTTTTACTGACTGTCGGAGCTTCTCGGGGCGGTACGCTGTGCGCCGCCGTTGGTTTCATTGGCCTATTCTGTAGCGTTGTAAGAACTGATTCAACTCTCTTTGTACATACATTTAGTATTACGCCGTTACGGTCGATCGACCTAACTATACGTAAATAACGTGACGTAATGTCTGTGAGCATCTATCTTGCTTTGTGTGTGCTTTCTGTGATGTTTGTAGATGTTGTTTTTGAAGGGTGACCGGCACAACATCCTAGGCCCCTCCCGCCAAAATAAATCATGTTTTATTTTTACCCGGGAGAACGGATCGTAACGGTCGGTCACGTTCTCCTTGGGTCTAATTAAAAAATAACTTCTTGCATAGTAAAATAAACGGTGAAAATGATTTAAAACTTGTACGTAGACATAAGATTGAAAAGAAGAAAAAAATTAGAATTCATTTTCCTGCGTGCGCTGCGGCGTGCTCCTTTTTGCAAAGTGGCAGGTTGGCCGGACGATCTGGTTCCTCCTGGTGACGTTTGACGTGAAGTGGCGGACTTGGCTTGTGGTCTTTCGGGTCACCCTCGTCACCCTTCGGGTCCCCTCCCCCTCCCCCTGCCGGGCTACCGGACACTCTGACTCTGGAGGCCGGGGTGCCGGTTGGAGAGAGCCCCGCGGAGCTCCGCCTTCTCCGTGTCTCGCCGCGCTCGGTTCAGTCTAGCATAGTGTATTTTTCTACTTGAAACAATTTCTATACTTTTAGGATTACTCTCTGTATCGACCTCCTCGTCTAGGGCCGCTGCGGCTCGAGTGGGTTGAACTTAGGCGTGGGCGCATGGTGGGCGCGATGCACGTGCGATGGCCATTTTCGTTCCTTCGAAAAATAATATATGCTGGCCGTATGGATGCTGCTGCTGGTCAGTGCCACACATGCGGATTCGAGTTTTTGTTCTGTAGATTTGCCAGCAGTACTCTCTTACTTTCTTAATTCAAAGAGGAAGGGTCAGGCTCCGAGGTCAAATTCGCTGGTCGAGCTGACGCTGATCTCTGACCCTGAGAGATGTGATGAAAAAAATGTGCAAAGGAATTTTCCAAAAGAGAGTTTCTAGGTCATCAATGTTCCACCTCTTTTGTATCTTTTTTTTAAGTCTCTTCTGTCTGTCTTATGTACAGGTATGATAAATAATAAATAATTTATGTGTACTTATACGTGTAGAGAGTCGCATTCATAGTGCTAACGTGAATTGCCCCCGAAAAAAATCTGCTATACTATTTTAACAGTGATACAAATCGAACTCTTCTATATTTATTGTACTTAGAAACTGAATAAAATGCTCTAAAACATAAAGTGCTCTGAGTTGCTGTGTCTTGTGATTTCCTCAGTTCCAACCATATGTTCATGAGTTTATGACTCAAGGCCAACCCAGATATACTGAAGAACCCGGAGCACAATACTCACTGAAATGGAGAGGGGCTGGTCGGACCACCGAAAATGTAAAATGAGTAACATGACAAGTATTTGCAAAACAAAACAAAAATGACCTGAGGGAAGGCCACAGAGGAGTCGATCCCCCCCTCCCCTCTTTCCCATGTCCTCTCTTCTACCTGAAAGGATTTTTTCATGAGGCAAAACGTCAACTGTGGAATTGCGTGACTGCTGAAAATAGTCGTAAATCAAAGCTGCAGAATTGAGACTTAATTAACTTAAAATTTGTGTTCTTTCCCGTTGTCAGGTTGGCAGCAGCCTGTTTTCTTGTTTTCTTTTTACTTCACTCCCCCTCCCCTTCCCCCTTGCCCTGTCATCATGTGATGTGACGTCGTAAACCTACCGCTGCTTGTGTCCGCTAAATCGTCAGTGCCCAGCCGCTTTAACCTTTGTTTTTCTGTGGAGTTTCTACTTTATTTAACGCGTTTCCGCCCCAAATCGTTCCAATTTTCTCCAGCCGTTATGCAGCCTGCTCGCGTAAGGATATAGATGTATTAGTCTCGTCATTGTGTACATTATTGCCCAGGATTGAAGGTTAGGATTCGGTCTTAGCGGTTCTGCAGGTGTTACATTAGCATGGTTAAAGGGATTATACAAACTTAAACTGCTCCTGAAAGTAACTCTCATTGAATTTGTTCTTAATTTTGGTGATAGTTTATTTCTAACCATTTTCTTGGGCTGATTCAACTTCGGGCAGGAATATTCAATATCCACCAGGAGACTAGCCTGTTTCCAGTTTTATTTATTTCATTGTTGTTTCTTTCATTGCAGGATACGGATCTGTCCATCTTTGGAGTAGTTCTCTACTATTCTTTGTTAATCATTGTAAGTCCCGTGGTTACATTCTTCTCATCCAAATATGTCTTTGAGGGTAAGTTTTTTCATTAATAACGTCTTTTCTGTGCAGTTTGTAGAATTGCATGTCTTCACTTTACATTGTTGGAATATCTTAGCTGTTCAAGGTTTGTGCTTCATTCTTGAGAGTTTTTTTCAATATTTGTTTAATTTTTCAGATATACTAAGCCTTGCAAGTACCACGGCTAACATTAGTGCTGCTCTGTGTGCAGTAGTAATGCTTCACGTTGCTCTGGGAATGTACATTTTCAAGGCGTATTCTAAACCAACTGAAGTGCCTGACAAACCTGCCAAGCAAGATTAAATAGTTTTTGTGTAAGATACCAACTTTAACTACCAGTCTAGTTTTAAAACTATAGTTACTGTGGGTTTAAAAATTGATTAGTGTACCTGTTCTGTTCCTCTTAGCTTTTAGGTTTGTATGAACAATAAGATGGCTGTAAACAATGAATTTCCTGAGTTTGTTAAAGGCCAAAAACTATTTATTACACTGAAAGACAACCGAAGTCTTGAAGGGACATTCAGCCGTTCAAATTCAGTCAGGAAGGCAATAATACTTACAAACGTATCATTCATTCCACATCATGGAACACCATTTGAGCAACTTGAATTCAAACATGCAGAAATTTTACAAAGTAAGTTGTGGTTTATGTTATGCTGGAGAGCACTCTTATTTCTCCCAGAGACTTAACATTTCTCCCTCTGTTAGTTGCCAGCCTGGAGGAGGAAAATCATATGATAAATACAGCAGATCAAGCAGTTGCACCAAGCAGCCCTATAACAAAGCAAGACGGGGTTTTGTACGAGAAAGTTAAAGAAACTGTCAAAGACTTAGTGTTTGTAAATCAAATTGATGGAGCATTCTCTGAAATGGTGTGTAACTGACTTGTTCCTACATGTGCAATGTTTTAAAATTTGTTGGTTTGTGGTGTTTCTTGTGTTTGCTATTATTGAACCACTTTTTTGTTGCAGGTGAGAACCATTGAAAGAGTTGACTGCGTTGCTGTGACAGGAGAGGGATCAAATCAAGGCCGTTTTGGACATATAACAGTTTTGGGTGTTGCCACTAACAGCACAGTCTTTTTAGTAGACATTGTGAATCTGGGGTCAACTGTTTTCAAGGCAGCTGGCTCTTTTCTTAAGAAAACTCTTGAATCCAACAGAATCTTGAAAGTCGTGCACAATTGTAGCTTGCTTTCTGACTGTTTAAAACACAAGTATTCCATAAATCTAAGAAATGTTTTTGACACTCATGTTAGTATTTGTGCATTTGATTCTTTTAAACCTTTCTAACGAGTTTGGACATTTAATGATTTTTCTTATCTTATCCTTAGGCATGCCATTTTATTGTAGTTAAAAATAGTTCTGGTCACCCTCCATCATCTGCCAATTTTGAGGACCTCGTTTCTATTTATTTAAACTTACCTAAAGCTGTTTGTGAAACTCAGGTGAGTGTGAGAGCTTATGTGTTCTTTTGTTGTTGTTTTTTTAAGACTATTATTTTTTTCAAGAGTCATCCCTGTGATAGGCAATTCATTATAGTTTTCACTAAGCCAATGTTACTGATGTGGAAATTTTTGATCTTAGGTTGCTGATTTGGATCGTTGGCGCCGACGACCTCTTGAAGAAGGCCTGGCAGAAGCTGCTGCTTGGAAAGTTGCCTTACTTCGAAAGCTGAAGCCACGTCTGGATGATGCCTTATATGGTCCTTTTGACTCATTATGCAAGACATATTTAAACACAGTGAGGAGCCTTGATGATGACTTACAAGTACGCATTGCTCTGGTATGTGTTGTTCTCATATATTTTCTTCTTAAGTTTGTTTTATAGTGGTTAAATAGAGTTTTCATTGGGCACTGTCTGTTCTAGACTCGACAAGATAAATTTCCACAAGAAATGCAGTCATTGAATGGCACATTATGAGTTCTGTTCAAAATTTACTTGCTCCACCTCCATCATTTTGTTTTCCTTTCCCTTGAACCAGATAAAAGTGATTATCTAATTATATTTTAAATTCCTTCTCCCATGAAATAGAGGTTTTAAACATTCCACAATCATGTAAAACAAGATTATTGTAATAAATTGAACAGCTCAGTGCTTGCATTTTATTTGTTAGTTCTTGATTCTTAAAGCTGTCCTTGCACTTCCAGACCATCGTCTATTGGTCTGTTAGGGAGTAGGGTTAAATGAAGCTTCAGTATACTATAAAGTCAGAGTCAACATAAATTTTAATGGACTTGCAATCATAATTGTTGTACAAGGGGACTTTGAAAGAACCAGGTGCTTTATTGCTGTGTGTGATCTATTGAACAATACTATCTTCTGACGGTTGTCATTGCAGTATTTTGTTTTCTTATCCTTATGCCTGGTAATGAACAGCATAGTAAAGCAGCATGAAAATACTGCAGATATGAAGCTTGATATCTAGGGAGGTGAGAAATGGCTGTAGCCATGATTTAGCTGTGCGTTACATTTACAAATGGTTCCATAATGCCTATTACACCTGACACTTTTTTCTCTCTGGTTTGCTTTAACTCAATTAACATTCTAAACAATCAAGCAGAAAGGAAACATTACACAACAAAAGCATTTAGTTTAGCATGAATAATATATTGTTTTTATCAAATTATTTTCCCACTGAATTAGAGACCCTGCGTCATAGAGGAACCTGCGTACTCGGATGGGACAGACAGCAGCAGCAGACTTTATAAATAGATCATTAGTTGAACTGAGATATGCTCCAGAGAAAAAGACAGCATTATTGAATAGAAAAATGGTGCGAACATTGAAGCTTTGAGTTTTCTGCAGTCTTTAGAATGGATATCCCCCCTCCCTCTTGGTTGAAAGATTAACTTAAAAATAACAACAAAAACCTTTCAAGATGAAGTTAGGAATAGATGCAATTTTCCACATAAATTATTAAGCAGTTCACCATTTTCTGATGAGGTGCTTAAATATTACAGCTAGACCTTCCAGGTCACTTAGTGTGTCCAGTGTTGCTGGACAGGACCACTCACAGGAAAAAAAATATTTGTACTGTTCAAACACAACCATAGTAAGTGCTTAAAATTGCAAAAAGCAAATGGCTAAAAATATCACATAGCTTTATCTTAGAGAAGCTAACAATAAAAATAGCATATTTACAACTTTCTCTGAAGCTGCTGTGAGAGATTTAGAAGCTGCACATCAGAAGAGAAAGACCTAAATGTTTGTAGGCCTTGTACAATAAAATACATACAAATACACAATAAGGCCAAACAGTTACACACAGCAATGTTGGGGTAATCAAACACTACAAACTGATGGTGACTTCGAGAGCACATCAAAAATAAAAGATAATGCTTTAATTGGAAAGACCAAACAACTTTCAGTTAAAACCTTTCATTGCAGATAGCAACTATATGAACAAACTAAGAAACAGTATTAACAAATTTCTTAACAAGATTTTAAAAGACTAAGACATTGCATGCAACAAAAACAAAACAATAATGTGTAGATACCAGTGGTGCCAAAACACATGGCTTACACAGCCTCCATTTGCACAGGCCTTGTTTTTACAAAAGAAATTGTGTTTAAACATCATGTCTTGATGGTTAAAATTTGCATACTCCCTAGAACGGGGCACTAAAAGCAAATATGTCACACAATATTCTTTTCTGAAAAGATCTCATAAACGACGTCAAGCATCAAAGAGACAGTAACAATTGGAACCTTAAGGCATTAAGATGTACGGCAGGTGAGCAATTAATAGTAATATTTGGAGGATGAAACAAACAGTCATTGTTGAGAATCTGAGTGAAGTGAACCAATGTAATGAAATTAATGGAAGACTGTTAGGTCATTGAGATTCAAGCTAAAATTTAAACTTTGCAAAGTTCTACTGGAACATAACAATGATATGAAACATTATTTAACTCATGCAAAGATGTTATAATGAATATGAGAAATGGGTTGTGACACAAAATTTGATAAACCCATACATTTAAAAGAAAATTAAAATTATTTGAAACTCTTTTACAAACAGCAGCATGTTCCCATCATAGCACAAGGAAAAATATTTAAGTTTAGGGCCTATGAAAGAAGAAACTATACTTGGCTGGACGGCAGAATAAATGCTGCTCTTCCTAAAGACTGTCTTTGCGTATAAACACTGAGTGATAGGAAGAAATAGAAGAGATTCAGTAGTCAAAGTCTTAAATCTTGAAGAAGAGCTAAAATCGTCGCTTATCATTGTAAATGGACCAGGAATCTGAGCAACAACCAAATACACCACAACTAATATATTTGTTTTGGAAACCATCTCTAAAATGGGCATGTCAAACCAAAGATTTAATAAAGAAAGGAACATAATATAGCTCTTAAGTTTGAAAGCACATACAATTAATATGTAAGAGATCTCATCATATGTAATACTTTGAGGATGATAGAAAGAAACACATGTTTAGTAAATAAGGGAAAATATTAGTCCTAAGACTCACCTGAGTCATAGAAAAGATTGGTAGGTGTGAGCACTTAGTATGAGTATGAAGAAAAATATCATACATTGAAACACACAAGATTCGTCTGGCTTTAAACAAGCTCATCAAAATACATGAACAGATGAAGGCATTGAAAAAATTCTTCAATCTGCTCTTAATACAGTTTCACAAGATCCTTTTTTTTTTTTTTTTTTTTTTTTTTTGTGTGTGTGTGTATATATTTTAGTACATCTTACAATATGCAAGACTCACAGGAAACATGAGTGCATGTCAGGGAATATGACTAAGGAACAAAATAAAGTTAGAGACATGGTAACTACAAAGATGAATAAATCATTAATTGGGCTTTTCAATAATTAAGTTGCAACTTCTTAGGAACGGTCAATACTTCCCTGGGGAGAAGACTCATCTTCTACTTCTTCAATAACAAAATCAGCCTCAGCTCGCTGTCGTTCCAACAACAATTCCTGACGTTTCTAAACACAGAACAAAACCAAAAATGTTAAGAGTATCTATCTAATAAAATTACCAGCCATCAAATGAAAATACTGTTCAAAGTTCTTATATTCTTACCTCTTCAGTTAACTTAACAATTCTGCCTTCTATCCTTGGACAAAGCTCACAGCTCTCTTGTTCCAGATCCTCTAAGGAAGCTCTTCGTACAAGATGACTGCGAGGGGACCTTCTATCTGGATGGACATGTAAGGGACCATGACACATGCCATGGGTAGAATGAGAGGAGTGGTTTGTGTGTCCATGTTCTCCAATTGTACTTGATCGCCGTAATGGTGTTGGACCATCTAAATCACCATCTAGCGTTTTTACCAAACTATGTCTGCAAAAGGGGAAGGGGGACAAAAAAAAGTTTAACATAAGAATAGATTTGGGTATTTACACAATGTCAGATTAGAAATTACGGCGCACCTTCGGGAAAGTGTCACAAGACTCTGCCGATGTTTAGAGTGTCGATTAGTTTTCCCCAGGCGCATATTAATGGCTTGAAAATGATTCTGGATAGCCAGACCAAGCTCTGGGCACTCCTCCTCATCCATCTAAAGATTTTATTAAAAAATTTGAATTTAGAAATAAAAGTTTAATTTTGTGTGAAAGTAATCAGCATAAAAATGTTTAAATATACAGTAAACTCACAATTGCTTTGGCATCTTTCAGCATAGTGTATCCATCACTACCACCATGCAAGTACATTTTTGTAGCAAGAGCGTAGGTTTGGGTTGGTTGCAGGTATTCATCACCTATCCTCACAAGCTCAGGATCCACCTATAAATTAAATCAAAGAAACACAACAGGGACTCAGTAAAATTATGTAAGTACTAGGCATCACATAAAATGAAAAGTAATGATCTATTTGATTAAAATCATTACAAAAATTACCAAATAAAGAAACAGTGAAACTTACCCGGCTACCAGGGGGTTTGGATGGGTCAAAGGCAAAAGATACACCAGCAACTTGAGGAAATCGGCCCTCTAGTTTTGGATAAGCCGATACAGAGTTTTCTAGAGCATCTAATAAAACTTGTCCTGAAAGGCAATTATTAAATGAGCTCAAGATGAATTTTAAGTAAACCTTAAGCTATTTTCATAATTATTACGGTCAAAACTTGCCTGTTACTTCCAAAACAACAAGGGGGTCTCTCATAGGGACAATACTTGTAAGAGTTCCAAGAGTGAATGCGCCAGGTTCATGTATCATATCAGAACGCAACGTTCCTGAGTTTATGATAACCAAGTCAGCTCCAGTGGCCGCAAGAACCACATCACATACCCAATTGCCCAGATTAGTTTCCCGGGTGCGAACGCTGGAAAAGCGTCCATCTAATTCCACTGAAAAGTTGCCTAATACCTCCTCCATTTTCCCCTCAATTTGACCTGAAGAATAAGACAGCAAAATGAACAAATTGGCCATGTTGAAATAGTGAAAAAGTGTATCTTTCTTATTTGTTCTCACTCACTTATGAATTTCTCCAGCCCTTCTTTCACCACAGGATCTTCCTCAAAAGCAGATGTAACATTAACTTCCTCAGTTGTAACAACCACACCACTACCTTCAAAATTTAGAGTAATCTTGGAAAATTGACGAAAATCTGTACCACTCTTGATAACATATCGTCCATTGACCTGTGAACAAATGTAAAAAGGTCGCCATCAATAAATTATAAAATGCCTCGTAAATTACTGTTCAGCTTAAAATCAGTACCTGAAGAATTTCATAAACATGGTCATGACCGCCAAGAATGAGGTCTATCTCATCCACATTTTCAGCCAACTTCTTGTCATTTGGTGTGCGCATGTGAGTTAAAGCAATGACATAGTCACATCCCTGAATAAATAAGAGTATGGATATTGAACTTGGTTAAAAGGTATATATATTTATATCATTAGACACAGAATTTAACTTGATATCAAACAGCACACCTCTTGCTTTAACTGCGATCCTAGTCTTCTACCTGCTTCCACAAAGTCAATGAATGTGATTTCTTCAATGTTGATAGTAGCAATAGTATCTAACCATTCATGCTCCACCAAGCCAATCTGTAAACCATCACAGAAAAAATAAAGCCATAGCCTACTTTATTGCTTTTAGAATTTTTAAGAAATAGTAACCAAAAAAAGTACAAACCAGACCAATACGCTTGTTATTCCAGTCAATGACATGAGTAATTTTACCGTCTCCAAGCGGTCTACCTGTTTCATTGTCAATGACATTGGACATCAACCAGGGAAACTTAGTCCTTGCCACCCACTGAGAAAGGACATCCAGTCCAAAATCTGTCAGATCAAATTACAATGTTATTATGGCAAGGATTGAAGAATTTATTTTACAAGGGATATTTAAAAGAAACTCACCAAATTCGTGATTACCAAATACAGAGCAGAGGACACCACATTCATTCAGCACATCAATCATTTGCTCTCCTTTTGTGTAAGTACTCACTGAAATGATGAATAATATAAGAAATGTGAATGTTCAATAGAAAAGAACAAATCATTGATTCCCATAACATCTACTTACACATACTGGGAGAGAAACAATCTCCACTGAACAATACAAGAGGTTGCAAATGCGAGAAAGATTTGACAGCTGTGCAAAATCTAGCCGCTCCTCCAACAGGCTCCTGTTGCCTTGATTCCACATTGTAAACATCATTGAAATGTATAAGAGTTAGAGCTTGGTTTGGAACACCCATTGTATTAGAAAGCTGGCTAAGAGTGCGTCTGCCAGCTTGCCTTACTTCCAGAGAGGCCTGTAAAATTAACAGATAAAATATAAGCAGGACTTTGGCTAATAACATCACTTGTTGACAAATATCTTTGTAAAATATAGTCAGGCAAACCAAGCTAAGCTTCAACAGCTCTTGCAAAGAAGCGAGCAAAATTTTCTGCACTTTCACGGCTTATTAGGAGCAGATTTCAGTTAACTTAAACTAAGGACCATAAAACAAAATCATAAATAGTCAATTTAAATGGAAAACACATTAAAGGCATATAAATTATTTATAGTTATGCGTAGTTTGTATTTGTGCTCGCTAACAGAGCTAAAGCCATAGTGTGCAAATTAAACACATCATACTAGCAAAGGGCATTCTTTCTACTAAGCACGAGAATCAGGATTGTTGCCCAAAAAGTAGTAGCAAACAAAAATTCATCAAAAATAAAAGAATGGCTGAGTGCAGACAAAACAATATAAAAATCGTTTTAACCTGTTTCAGCCACCCAACAACATTTTTCACACCAGATGTAACTTCCTCTGGTACATCAAATGTAGGTGTTGACGATTCTACCAAATCAGTCCACTTTGATCGGATAGCAGCTTGTGCAGTGAAACTGGCCATTTTTGTAGGGCCTTAAAAAAGGAGTCTCAATCGGAAAGAACGATGTCCACCTTCACCACACAATACAAGACGGTATTAGGAATTAGTTCCAACCATTTCATTTTCACGTAACAAGATTAAAGACACTCATCAGCAGAACTAAGTTGTTGAAAGAACAATGAGACCGAATTATGCAGTTCATTACCCAATCCCATTTGTATTTTGTCTTTTTCAAGGACTATTCACAACCAGGCATAGTATCATTGAAAGAAGACTGAAAAGTTCTGGTGAGCCTAAAAACATTAGTTGGTTGTAGAGGTTATAAAAATTAGCTGTGACAGCGCAACCTAACACTGTGCAAGGTCTCACTCGCGGAGCCATTAATTATTTGTCAGTCAAAAAACGGAAACCCCTTCTCGAATAGATGTTAGGATAGTTTACCCTGATTGAAAGACGCACTTGACGGATCACACTTTTCTCGTTTGATAGCTTGCCTTTTAAGAATTGACGTCCGTTCACTCTTGACCTCAGAGGAAGCGGGCCACCACCGAGTGAAACGCAACAATGGAGCCAGGCGAGACTCGTTTACTTTCTTTGATTATTGATATAACAATACGCATGATGACCGTCAGGGCAACTCAATGATCAGTAGCAGACAGCAGTGCAGCAGACAGCTTACCTTGACACCGTTTGCGCCCCTCCCCCTTCTTAGCACACTCCCCGACCGACGCAAAGTCTTACAAACTGCATCATATCTTCAACGAAAGGCCGAATAAAATAAAAGAAAATCGTAAGTAGAATTAAGTTACGAAATCAGCATTCGAGGAGCCATACCCATCGCAAAAAAAGGGCAAACCTATCGGTTGTGAAGCAACGGCTGTGACGTCATTCGCGTCGATGAAAGGCCAGGGGCGCCAAACTTGAACTGATTTGAGCAGTTGGAGGCGGTCCAAAGTTCACCAAATGGTGCCCCATCCCGCAGTTGTGTTATATTACGTGTGTAGAAGGATGGGGCATAGGATATTTTTGACAATACTGTTTTCATCGGTGCCAGTTGTTTATTCTTTACAACATATACAGTTAAACAGAGCAAACTACAGTTCATACACAGTGGGCACAGAATTGAAAGAAAAGTATTTTCGGTAAATTTTAACAAAGTTCAAAAACTATTGTGAATACATAGTCATATGTACAAGAAAAATAATAGTTCTTAGAACTGTAGTGAATAATAAACAATCTACTGAATGGGTTACTTGGCATAACACACCCAAATTATCTTCTGTCAGTTTTACCCATTCCACGTTTGCCAGAGAACAGATGCATGGGTTTCTTGGTACCAATGAAGCGATCAGCCTCACCCTTGAGACCCATTTTATTGACCTTCTTACCAATAGCCATCTTGGCTGCCTTCTTCAGCTTCTTCTTCATCTAAAATTAAAAGAATGGTTCCAATTAATACCCCTCAATGACACAAATGCAAATTTCCCATTGAAAACAAAATAGTGCTGCAACAAAGACAAAACTTACCAATACATCCTTAATTCCCATTTCATCCCTGGGTACCTTCGAAGTACTTCTAGCACGACCCTCAGAGTCCATTCTAAGGCGTTTTGTTGGTGCCCGAGAGAGTGACCGAGCTTTGGACGTGCTCCTTGACCGATCACCACTTTCAGCATTCTCAGAATGTGATCTCTTCAGCATAGGGCGAGGATTAAGAGAACGTGCTCTACCACGAGTTTTGGTGAAGTTGGCCTGACGTCAAAGGCAAGATATTAGAATTCAATAAAGTGCAGACATAGTATGCCAAATCAACTAAGTAACCAGAATCACTGACCTCTTCTGTACCAGACATATCAACACCAAGATTTTCAAATTCATCCCTAAGCTTTCCAACAGAACGATCTCTAGCTTTTGCTGGGAAGTGTCTTGGAGTAGTTGGTTTAGTTGTATTATTTGTAGCAGAGAGCTGTCGCATGATCTTTTTGCGATCACGTATTTTTCGGGCCAAGACCTTAATTTCCTTCATGGTGTCATCCAACTCAAACTTAGGAATGGCATACATGCCAGATTGAATGCGTAGTTCTTCTTCTTTCTCCAACTGTTCCACTTTCTGTGAGGATTCACATAAATTGAAAATTCCATTACACCCACACGACACAGACATTATTAACAGTTATCAATTATCCATATATAACTAAATTTACCTCAAGAATTTCAGGATCAATAAAATCTTGAATATTGTGGCCATTCCAGAACTCAGGAATTTTATCGTACTTGTAAGTATCAGGTAAATCATAATTCTTCTTTAGGTCAATTACATACTCATCTCCAAGCTCCTCTTCAATATCTTTCTCTAGCTTACGGGTCTTACCAGTACCCTCCATTTTATTCTTCTTTTCAACAACATTCTCTGCAAAAAATAAATAAATAAATAAAAACAGGAAAGAACATGTATGAGAAACCTAGATCAAATGGAAGCAAGTTAACCTGGTATGCATGGTGGACGGGGCTTTCCATCTCGTTGAGCAGGCATTGCCACATGAAGTCTGTTCAGCACACTGTCTACTTTCTTGGTTCTCAATTTCTGGTCTACTCGATATGCTAGAAGAGCATCGCAGGCGTCCGTTTTAACTTGCATTACACCTTCACCTGTGTGCGAGCTCATCTCCAAAAGTGGCACTCCTTCCTGCTCAAATGGTTTGAAAGCTTCTCTGCGATCTTCAGGAAGGTCTGAGAGTTTCAAAATATCTGACTTACTCAGAACAACCAAGAGAGGTTTATTGGCAAAAAGTGGCTTAATACTTTCATATAATTGAACCTGAAAGAAAAAGGAACATGGCATCACTTAGACTCTTCATGGAAACGCAGCCAGAAATAGAAAACTGCCAATTTAAAATATGTCCAATGGGGAAATCAAAATACCTGTTCCTCAATGGTGTGACCACACTGCTCAGACAAGTCAACAAAATACAACACACAAGCTCTCAAGTGAGCTAGGGCTGTTACTGCTTGCATTTCAATAACATTACGTTCTTCAAGAGGATGATCTAATATACCAGGAGTATCAATTACTTGCCATCTCAGATATTTGTAATCTGTGTGTCCAACATACAGAGACTTTGTTGTGAATGCGTAAGGCTGGACTTCAACATCAGCTCGAGTGATCTGTACAGCGAAAAGTAAGAACATTAAGCTAACAACCCTTAAAGACGGAGAGGGGGGGGGGGGGGGGGGGGGGAGAAGAAAGAAACCAAACATCTCACAATATATTCAGTTTGCTGAAGTTAGGTGTCATAGAATTACCTTGTTAACAAAACTGGATTTTCCTACATTAGGGAAACCAGTAATGAGAATAGTTCGAGTGTAGGGATCAATAGATGGGAGACGGGCAAGATGCTGACGGACATGTTCCAAATACTGAAGATTAGGAGCCTGGCGCTTCATGATGGTGGCCATCCTGAAATAAAAATACTAGTGAGAAAAAGATAAAATGATTTGAGTAGAGGTGACAGTCACATTGCATACCTTCCAAGAGCAGCTCTTTTAAGTGTTTTGCACCTATACAGGGAGTCTCCAAACTTAAGGAGACGCACATAATCCTTGGAAACACTATAACAAACATGAAAATAGTATCAATTGCATCAAATGTAATGTCACAACACCAATTTTTAAAATCATCCAATTACTTACTTGTCAACCAAATGTCGTGCGGTATTCAGCTGTCCTAAAGCTAACTTGAAATGATCTTTATCGTACAAGACATTCATAAGATCTGCATAGAAAGGGTGAATATCCTAAAACAAAGCCAAAACTAGATAAGAGGAAAACAAAAATACAGTGCAGATTTTAAAAAAAGAAATATCGCCGTCAAATTTACATTGCGTGTGTGGAAACAAAATACTTACATCCAGCTTTGGGAATTCTTGGATAATTTGAGAAAGGCGGTCATGGAAACTTTGCTGAGTAAATTTCACTTTGCGCATATAAAACTGTCGAATACGAGATATCTTATATTGCTTGTGAACGACAGTAGGAGTCTTCCTCTGTGTCTTAGAAAGGGTGATATCAACGAAGTCCTGTAAAAGACCACAAATCAACTATGAGCAAACTCAGCACGAATAAGTTGAGGTTAATATAACCTGTCCCGTGATGTGAACCATTGCAATCCAGGAATAGACCATCCAACCCTAAATCAATAACATACATTATAGAAAATAACTTTAAAAATTGTGAAAATTTAATCTACGATTGGCATGTGCTAGGGGTATTTGCATAACTAGGATAAAGTATTTGTCTCGCTGCACATGGTCTCAGGACAAGGCTGCACCAGACACAATAACACTTTCCCAAATCATTAATCAAAAGAATTAGCAAGGATAACTTACCTTGGCCGTTGGCACGACGGCGATTTTCTTGAAATTGTACAGCACCATGATGAAAATTAGATTTAAAATGCCAAAACAATAACAAATACCGCAGACCGAAGTCTGCTGAGCCTGCCCACGTTGGCCCCGGTCCTTGAAGGAAGTAAGGGGGGAGGGGGAGGGGGCCGTATTGGTAGATCCTATTCTGCAAATAAGCTTCGGGCGCATGCGCATGGGTGGTTTGGACACTTTGTTGTTATCGTCTCAGTCCAGTGTAGTGACTCATTTTCTCCAAATTTTGTCTGATCTGCTTCGATTTTCAGTTTTTATATTTTATGAAATCTGTGTTTTTTCATTTCTTACGGTTGTCTCTACGTTCTGTGTAGCATTCATTTTGGAACCATGAGAAAATCGACATATTCACGTTTTGAACGTTTTGAAGCAGACAACTGATCAGATGGCCAACGTGCCCAATATTTATTTGGGAGAGTCAACTATTTTGCTAACTCCATATGCTATTCTAATTATATCATCTCTTTTTAAATTCTAAATATATGCCCCGTGATGGCTCATTTATGTGACGATTCTCCTGACTCACTAGACGTTAGGTTAAGCAATCGCTCAAGTGATGACAGTTTGATTCTTGACGACAATAATACTGGTGGCTTATGGGCTGACAGTGAAAATGAACCAGCCACCTTCCAAGTCCACCTCAAGCAGCACTCTTCAAGCTTCTCTGAGCACCCAAACAATGCTGCGGATATTCAAGATGGATGGTTTCGGATTAAGCCCTGGAATGAACATGCTCCTAAGACAGCAGCGATGTCAGGGTCTACTCAGAATGTTTACAGCATGTTAATGCAGGACAGATCGTCTTTGTCTGGTGAAGAGTCTGAGGCACCACTGCTTTCAAGTGTGAGTGCACAAAACCTGACTCCTGTGGTTTTTTTTTTTTTTTCTTGTCAAGGTCATGTAACAGATGTTTTATTGATTAAAAATACATTTTATGGTTGATTTTATTCTACATTTAGGAAAGCTGGGTTCCTGGAGGTTTTTCAGAGGATACCAGGCACTGCCATGCCTCATCTGACATGTCCCACAACAACTCAGCATGGAGGCGGTTGATGTCAGCCACAGTTTTGTGCCTTTTCTTCATGGTATAATATTACTGATATAGATCTTTCTTTAATTTATGGATTTTGAAAGGTGCAAGCTTCTCTTGACACTTTCTTCACTTCATTTTGCAGATAGCCGAATTTTTTGGTGGTCTCTTTGCTGGAAGTGGGGCCATCATGTCTGATGCTGCTCATCTTCTATCCGACCTTGTTGGACTTCTTGTAAGCTTGTCAGCTGTATGGCTGCGCCAAAGGCCTCCAACCAAAACTCTCTCGTTTGGATTTTACCGTGCAGGTTGGCGTTCAATACTCATGTGATATTCTTATCTCAGTTGTTTGTCATTTCAAAATGTGCTTTACTTCTGAAAACTGTTACATAAGAAATTAATTTTAAGCTGTGAGAGTTTGTGAGCCGCACTTTATTCTTCTCAGTAATTTGTTATGTTGTTTTTGTTTTTTTTTGTTTTTTTTTTTAATTTGTTACATATGCAGAAGTTCTTGGAGCTCTCTTCAGTGTATTTATAATCTGGGTTCTGACTGGCATTTTTGTTTACATTGCCATTCTCAGAGTCATTCATGGAGACTTTGACATAAGACCAGACAGAATGATGGCTGTGGCTGCTGGTGGTATTGTTATAAATGTCATGTAAGTTTTTTAAAATTTTGATCTTACTGCTTTAAGTTCATTGGTTCTTAAAACTGAGCCAATTTATATTAATTGACTGTCATAATACCCTGAACAGAATGGGACTTGTTCTACATGGTGGTTGTCAGTTAGTACCCCATTCTCATGGGTTTGGACACCATGGACATAGTCATGGAATCGCTGTAAGCCATGGTGACAACAATCATCAGACACCATCTTGCCAGCATCGCACAAATGTAATTCACTGCTGCCATAACTATTTAACTTGTTAACTTTTGCTATGTTTGTCTCTACATTTTGTCTGTGTTTTAGAACCGCATCCAAGAAAATTCTTCAGCCGCACTTGAAACAGATGTTTTGAGCAAACATTCAAATATAAATGTTCGAGCAGCTGTAATTCACGTACTTGGAGATCTTATTCAAAGTATTGGTGTGTTCATTGCTGCAATTGTTATCAAATTTAATGTGAGTATTGTGATGGATAAGATTCAAAACATTGACTTCCCAGCTGTGTTGGCTTTAACTTACATGTTTCTTTCCAGCCTGATGCTAAAATTGCAGATCCTATCTGTACTTTCTTGTTTGCAATTGTGGTCCTTGCTACAACTATACCACTTGTAAGAGACACTGGCTTAATCCTTTTAGAGGGTTTCCCTCGAACGATTGGTTACAGTCATGTGTTTTCCACCTTAAGTGACATTCCTGGTGTCCAACATGTGCATTCTTTACATGTGTGGTCATTAACTGCAGGAAAACACGCTTTGGCGGTACATTTAGCTCTAGGTAAGAGGGAACTTTAAAAAAAATTGCCTGTGCTTAGTTTGTTTTTTTTTTTTCATTGATTTCATGGTTTCCATTTCCACCCTTAGATTCAGCCGCGAACCGTGACCTTATCACCGCCAGAGCTCAATATTTACTTCAAACCAAGTTTGGCATTGACTTTTGCACCATTCAAACCGAGAGCTTTGACCGCACCACCATGAACTCATGTTTTCAGTGCAAACCTCCTGTCAATTAAATTTCAACTTGTGATATAACCAGAATTTTTTATATTCTGAAAGTCTGTTTGTGTTGGGTGAACCAGTTCATGGTTTTGCACAAGTTTCGATACACTGGCATGCTAATCTATGCTGTGAAAAATTGTGTAAAATACTGTGTGATATATACTAATTAAGTCATGTTTTCAGCTAGCCCCTGAAAGATTGATGGAAAATTATTTTATTTAATGGGCTTGATGTGTTTTGAAAGTACTAGACAATCAGAGTTCTTGTGATGATTTAGCTTTAACATTTGAACTTTTTATTTTTTGGGGGGAGGGGGGTTTGTAAAATGTGTTTCTTGATTGTTCATTTTTTGGGGGTTATTGATTGAAAAACGGAACTACCGGGTATATTTCTTCCTTGATTTTCTTGAGCTTTCACCTGTCCGAATGATTTGAGACTCCAGTCATAAGAAGATTTGTGTTCTGCTTTAATCCTAGAATATTTAGATAAGGTGAAGAAAAATTGTCTTGTTAAAGTAGATGACACCTAAATTCCACTAATCTGTAAGACCAAAATACCCACTAAAGTTAACACGTTTTTTTTTTAATTTTTTCTTTTGAGTTTACTTTTGTGTTAGGGCTAAGCTTTTCAACTGAAAGCAGTGATCTAATTCTCAGTACCTCATTTTCTTTTTATCTTAGTTTTTCCACGTGTGTCTCAGTTTGTCACAACAGTTCTCGGCAGGTTCTTTCCTGCTTTCTTCCACTTTTGAAAGAGACAAATGAGTGTATACCATGTACCAAAAAGGCTGTGCACATCTTAGTATAATACGATTTTACTATTTTTAAAAGCATATTTTTCTATTCACGGATTGATCTCCAGTGATTGCTTCTTTTGCTATAGTGATGTGAAACTGCAGGTAATAAAGACATTATAAGTTTTGTTTGTTGTTTGTGTCTTTCTCTCTCTACAATATCATGATCTCTGTAGTTTCAAAAATTTAATGACCCGTTCTTGTCAAACATCATTCGACGCTCTAGCGCTGCCGTTCATGGATTCGCGCCACAACTGTTGCCACCTAGCAACAATATCTCACTAGCACGATCTCGAGCCAATTAACATACACCCAACTTCTAAAATAAACACTACATTAAATGTCACTTTTTGAAGCAGTTGAATGTCAATTAAATCAATCAGGAGGCTTGCATACCTTTCTTGAACCGATTTGGCATTAGAATTTGAAAGTTGACAGCAAATCTTTCCCACAGCTTTCTCTTGTTTCAACATGGCGCTGTAGAAGCAGTAGACTCGCTCTTCTTGAAGTGTGCAGTGCACCTTGTTGAGAACATTGTTTCGAGTGTAGAATTTACCTGCGGGTTTGTTGACTCACCTTAAAATTTGTGAACCTTCTCCCTTTTTGTGTGGATATCATGCAAGCCGTCAGAACATCGTTGAGAAGATGTTTCTCTCAGTGGGATGCAGTACAGAGCTGGTACGTTATATCCTTTTGAGGCATGGTTCGGTTTCTCTCTTCGTTTATTTACTGTTACAATACGTGATAATAGAGGAATCGTTACTAATATGCGTAGTTTTGCGTTACTGGTCGCGTTTATAATCATATTATAAAACCTGCCTTCTCCTATTTTCCCTGAAAGTATCAATTAATTGAATGAATTTATTGGTTATGTTTCTGCTCACCATTCAAACCTCAGTGTACTACATAAAAATGCTTTCTATGTTTTCAATTTAGCTGCGGAAACGTTGCTGTTAGGCACTTGTCAGCCGAAGCGATGCCAGCACCAACTCCAGATAATGCTCACAAAACGTACCCACTGAAGATAGAAAAAATTGTGAATGAAATTGCTGGTCTAACACTAATAGAAGTTGCCGACCTCTCAGAGCTTCTTAAAAAGCGACTGAATCTACCTGATGCTCCAGTGATGCCAATGGGTGGTTTTGTTCCTGCTGCTGCTGCTGCAGCTGCTGCACCGGCAGAGGTTTGTCTAAATTGTTGTAACATTTTCATTTAAAATCAAATACAATAGTGTAAATAAAATATTGCATCCTGCAGGAAGCGGAGGAAGCCGTAAAAAATTCATTTAATGTTAAAATTGTGAAGTTTGATGAAAAGCAAAAGGTGCCTCTTATCAAGTGTGTGAAGGGACTAATGGAAGGCATGAACCTTGTGCAGGTAAGGTTTTATTGAAGTGAACCTGACAAAGAAACCAACAGTGTTGCCTTAGATATATAATTAATCACTCCATCTTTGCAGGCTAAAAAATTAATTGAAAGTGCACCTGTGCTGCTGAAAGAAAATGTGGAAAAAGAAGAAGCAGAAAAAATCAAAAAAGAACTGCTAGCATTGGGAGCTGAAGTAACTTTGGAATAAGTATTCAGATGAGTGTCTTTCTGAAGAAGAATGTAATGTAGTTTCCTGTTGAATATTTTGTATTGTGGGTCTGGAGGCTATCTCTGCTTCCACCTTTTATTTTGTTGAGAGAAGCCAAAGTGATGATTTATGACTAAAACATGACTGATAATTGGTGTGTTTAAGAAAGTGCGATTTTGTAAATAAATTAGCACACATTAGTTTGATTCATTTTTCAGCACCTCTTTCTCTTTCATACTTGAGTAAAGAAAAGTGTCACCAAGAAAATTTGGCTTTGGACAAAACAACCAGACTTTTTAAAAAAATTTATTATACAAATATTTACAAAAATACATAGTATGTACAACTTCTCTTTGCTGTAGGTGCGCTTGCACAAGAAATGAAACATGAACTTCTACTACCTCCCCTCTGGGTTGCTCGCACTATTGCATTATTCATTAAGTACATAACCATAATCTAAGTTCATCTCACATCTTTACAAAGTAACAGTATGGTAACTGACTAGCTCTTAAAATTCTAGGATAAAATTTATTCTTAACAGAAAGTAAATGCATGACTGAATTTTTTAGATGCTTAAAACACACAGGAAAAATCCTTACCTATTTAAAAAAAAAATTATCACAATTTGTACGAGATGTACTGCACCACCTCCGCACCTCATGGCACATGTTGACCACCATTCATCATGGAAACTGCTGTGTCCTCGTCCATTAACCCTTCGGATTCATGCCTCACTCGATTTTCCAGAGCTGCAACCATAAAGAAACCAAGAAATATACATTCATTTCATTCAACAAAAAACTGCAGACAAATTAAAATGTGAAAGAGGTACCCAGCAACTTACATAAAACCAGATCAAGGGTTGTGGCATTTCTGAACAACGGTTTCATTTTTGGATCTATTCCTAGGAGTGTTTGTGTAACAGGGAGAGACCACCTCCAAAGAAATATTGGTACCTCAAGGACTTTTAAATCTTCTGAAAGCAATTTAATAACCTGATGGGAAAAAAATAAGAACTTGGTAGAACAAAAGGTAAAATGTAGAAAGCAAAACTTTAAGGAAAATTTTAACATAGATTTAAGCATGAAAGTAACCTTAGCCACTGTGGAGTCAATATTGAACAAGTTGACACCGTCAATAACAACTGCACTTTGTTGGGATTCATCTCTATGCTCATTGCAATCAGCAACTATAACTTCTCTGACATACTCAGCAGAAGGAAAAGCCAAACTTTGAGCTGGTGTTACAAGAAGTACATTACATCCATTTACCTAGGAACATAAAAAATGTTATCCTTTTTTAACTGAATAGAAAATACGAAAATTTTGAACAATTTTGATTATGGCTTACCACAACCCATTTCATGTTCACTGGTGGCCGTGCAGAATGGTAGAGGAGGATCAGCAAGTTCACAGTAATACCAACAATCATTCCATACTCTAAGCCAAGAGCCAAACAAAATACAAATGTGGCTCCCAATGGGATAAGGTCAATACCTGAAAAATTCAAAGAAATTGTAATTCAATTTTTAAACAAGTAAATTTCCAACTTCCAGCTTTCCAGCTTCACTCTTACGTTTAGTTCTCCATAGGAGTGACACAACTTCATAATCAATCATGGAAAACATTGCAGTCATTATAAGCCCAGCCAGTGTTGCTTTAGGGATATAGTAAAATGTTGAAGTCAACAGCCCGAGAGCTCCCATCACAAGCAGCCCTGTGAATTAAGTGTACATTAGAAATCTGGAATGAAATGGTACCACTTGCACAAACAAATGATGAATACCAGTGAAAATTCCTCCAGCAGGTGTGCGAACTCCTGACGCATTATTCACTGCAGTTCTAGTGAAGGAGCCTGTGACTGGCATGGATCGCACAAAAGAGCCAAGCATGTTGCCCAACCCCAATGCAATCATTTCTTGTGTTGCATCCACCGCTTTCCCCTTGGCTGTGAAAAATGGTCAGATATAGCAATTAATTTTATTTGAATAGAGCAGAACATACTGTAAGCAAGTTTTACTGTAACTACATAGCTAAGATAACTTACAAAATGCCTTTGCAATAGCTATGCTCTCAAGAATTGATATCAATGGAATTGCGATCAAAGATGAGCCTAGAGCAGAGGTCATTTCTACAAAACTGTAAGTCTCATTCCTAAAGACCGTTGAGAATGGTGGCAATCCAATCGGTGGAAATCCTTCACCAATTTTTCCTGCAAGAAATTTTATTAGATCTAGTTGCACTCAAAAATAATAAAAACAAAACAGATACAGTACCCTAATTTTTTTTTTTTTTAAATTACAAATTGACAAAGGTGTTTTTACAAACCTGTCAAAGTAAACGGAGAGTGTCCATTCAGGAACAAGACATACGCCAATCCAACTCCAAAGAACACAACAATGGCGTTTCGGGCCAATGAAAGAAGCCACAGAGTGTTTCCCCAAACTCTTCGGAATGTACTAATGGTCTGACCTGGGGGATTTCCTTTCACTCGAAAGACAGTAAGTTTCTGTGGCAACAGAAAATTTCAAATTTCAAAATTTCAAATTTCAAAAAATGATGAATGTATTCCACAAAATAAGTTACCTGCAAAAGAAGTAGGGCAACAATTGTTGATATTCCTAGAACCGAATCCCATAACTGAGCTTCATGAATGCGCTCAAAGAAATTTACAATCGAATCCATAAACTTGTCGGTGCTTCCTTTCAGTCCAAATAAGCCTTTGAGCTGAGAAGAGGCAATTGTGATTGCAGCAGCTGTGGTAAATCCTACAGTCACAGGCATTGAGATGAAATCAACAACAAAACCTGCAAATAAATGGTGAAACGATTTATAAAAATTGAATTCACAGAAGGGGTAGTAGAGAATCGACTACGTAAAAAACCAACCTAGTTGTAACAATCCGAAAAGAGTGATGACACATCCTGACAAAAAAGTTAAAAGTACAGCAAAGTCAGCTCCGTAACTGAGAACATATGTCTGCGTCATTAGGGCCATGATGGCAGTGGGACCGACTGTGATATCCTTGGTGCTTCCAAAGAGCACATAGACAAAGCTTCCCATGAACCCTGAGTAGAGACCATACTACAAAAACAAAAAAACAAAATGACTGCATGAATAAATAAATTCAATTGTAATTTTTAAAAAGAAATGAATTATATTACCTGCGGCTCAAGTCCTGCTACAACAGCATAAGCAATACCCTGAGGTATTGCGGTCATGCCAACAGTTAAACCAGCCATGACATCATGGAGGAACAGACTCAGAGTGTATCGAGGTAGCCACTGTGTTATAGGTAAACGTCTTGCCAATGTATGACGGGCACACATAGAGGCCAACTGACTGCGCACACATCTTCCACATTCCCGGAGTGGTGATTCCCTCTCTGGCACTTCATCGATGTGAAGATGCTTGTTTCCTGAAACAAAAAATTCAAATAAACCGTCATTTCTACAACCTTAATATCTTGAAGACCTTAAGGTTTAATGTCGGACCATTGCCAAGGCACGTTCTTGTTTCATCACAGAGATCGTCCATTATCAGTGGGGGAGCTTTACCGACACAAGTGGTTTCGTGCTGCCTTTCATGTGGACTGCCTCTGTGGAACTGATGTGAGAGAGGGATACAGCCCTTCTCTCATTCCCTTCCCTCCCCACCTTAGCCACCTGTTAAAACCAGTCTTGTGAGTCTGAGCTCAGCCAACTGTGATGGCCCGGAATGTCATGACACCTTTATACACAAGCGCTCACACACACGCGCACACACACACACACTCACATAGAGGTAAACTGTCCCAAGCAGCACCCCGCTGTGCCGCTGCACCAGCTCCATGACCAGGTCGACCGTGCGCGGCGCGCGGCCCTTGCACGGGAGAGGGAGAGAAAGCGACCGGGGGCACCAGGGGGGCACTGGAGGAGCGCGTCACGGCGAGGACGAGTACAACTTGTCATGCAGGACCCTGTCCATCTATCGGCCTGCTTGTGTCCGCGGGCGCAGGTCAGGTTAGGGGCATGTAAACAAAACGGAAGGCGGGGAACTCCACCCACCACACTCACTGGCGCTCTCGCTGGAGGGGCTGGAGGGGCCGGGCCGCTCCAGCAGCCTCTCGTACGAGGTGTTATCCGCGGCCATCCACCAGGAACCTCGGGAAGGTCCGAGACACCCAGTGCGAGCAGCCGCTCCGCTCCGGGAAGAACACCAACCCCCGCCCACACCCCCACCCAACCCACCCCCTGCCACCGCTGCCACCCCCTCCCCCACGGCCAACATCCTTGCGGAAGCCGCGCCTGCCCTTGCCGCCGCCCGCAGAAAATGGAAAGTGGGAAGGAAGGCCCTCGCGGAGGCTTATCTTATCCCCGCGCATTGCGCATTGCAATGGTTTGCGCCCGGTTGCTGTATTGGGGTCGCCTGCGTGCCGTGGCGTGCGGGGCCACGGACCAGAAGGACCAAGGGCTCTTTGCCTAGCGAGCCCAACAGGCATCTGTGCAAACATGGTGCAATCCGAACCGAACGGGGGCGGCGATGCCTGGCCGGCGATGCGGGTCAAGGCCTCGGAGGAGTGCGAGCGAGTGCGAGTCGCATGTCTATGCAAATGCCGTGTCAGCCCAAAGCCTCAAAGAGTGATTACCGGTCCGCGGTCCGGCTGTCGCATGGGCTGTACACCCTGCTCCAGAAAAGCACGCGCCCGGAACGTGGGCACGAACGGCTGCCACTCCACTGCTCGCACTCTTTGCTCTGTCTCTCTCGCACCCCCAAGGCGCACTCCATGGGGGCGAGAAAGGCAGAGGGGCGAGTACGAGCGGTGGAGTGGCTCCATTGGACCAGGATAGATCATAGGACCGCGCGGCGTGCGCCGGAGGGAGAGGAGCAGGGTGGGCGTCACGGACGTGGTGAAGGCTCATTGCTAAAAAATGCGCCAAAGGTGGGCCAAAGGTGGTGTTGAAGTTAACCCTTCCCCTTTCAAAATTTTCTGGGCACGCGATTGATGACGGTTCGACATCGCATTGGATTGTTTCCGCCCGCAGGTCGGAAAAGTTGCCGTGACGTCACGGTCTCGACGAAGAGCAGCCCTGCCCGGCGTGCACCTCGGCGTGCGCGCCACGTGACAACGTGACGATGTGACGCCCTCGTGCGAAAACGCAGCCACTCGTTCTCGTCGCTCTGTCTCTCCCGCACTCACGGGGCGTTCCGAGTAGGTGGGAGAGAGACAGAGCGACGGGAACGGCTTTCGGTGTGCCTGCAGACTGCGGTGCGGCCCGGCGGGCCCAGCCAGCAGGCAACAGGCCCAACAGGCCCACCCAGTTGAACAACCCCGCCGCCACGGCCGCGACGAACAAAGGTCAATGGCGCCAGAGCCGCAGTGGTGCTGGCGGGGCTGGCGGGCCTCACTTCCTCATGCTGCACGGCGTCGACGGCCGGCCGCGGAACGCGCTGTCTAAGACCGGCCAAGCCCAGCATACGTCGAGGGGTGGACGGCCCTCAAGGCACACGCGGCGCCCGGCGGCTAGGCAGTCCCGGACGCAGCACGGACAGCGGGACTGCCTAGCCCTGCCGCCAAGGCTGAACCTCCAGACTCCAGACTCCGCCCCACTCATCAACACTCCTGCGCTCGCGGCTCGTCCACGTCCGGCGCCAAGGCGTCATCCCCAAGCCATCCGAGACAAGCAGCGTGCATGCCAATCGGGCCCGGCTCGGCCCGGCCACCGAGGACGCCGCGCGCGGAGGTGCACGCACGTCCGACGGTGCGACGAGCGAGTCGGGAGCCCGGATGAGCCCCACGGCCGTGCCAGCCCGCCAGGCCGTCACCAGTGCGCGGGGAACTCCCACACCACTCGTGCGGAGTTCCTTTTCCTGTCCGCATTTTTGTCGCCGTGTCTAGGAGGAAGAGCGCGTGGCTGCGGACTGATTCCGAGAGTTTTCGTCGCTCTGACTCTCTCGCACTCATGGGACGTCCCGTGTTGGTGCGAGAGAGCGAGACGGAGCAACGAATGTACCAGCGTACCACTGGACCAGACGGGTACGCCGGGGACGGCCTGGCCTGGGGCTGGACAAGCAGGCCGTGTCACGGTGTTACGTCACGCGCGCTGTCGGCGGCTTGTCCACCGCACAGCGCCGCCAACAATAACAAATCAGCCTCGGCCGCGTTTCTCGCGCAAAACGCTTTGCGTCTTCGATGCTCTCCGATGCCGCCCGCGGTGGGTTCGCCCGCTGGACTTGTCCGGAGCGGCGTCTTTATGTAAGCTGCATCGCGTGCTGACCGCTCTAAATCACGCCATCGGCGTGACAAAAGGCGATGCTCAGTTTTCCGAGGGGGGTTCGATGATTCGGCGCACAGGCTTCGAGAGCTCGAGAGGAAATACTGCGGCTTGGCCAGCGCTCAGGACGAGGACAGCGATAGGTTTGGGGGACAGGGCGACGAAAATGATTCGCGGGTTCGAGTCCTACCGGCGGCTCCCCTTCCAGTTGTCGGCGTGGTCACCGCGTGCGCCAGTGGCAAGGCCAGTGGCCAGCACTGCTGGTTTTCGGACGAATAATTGGGCCGAGTGGAGAGTGATTAGACCTGCGCGCTTCCGTCCCCGTGCCTCCATGGCGCCTCCCACGCTTGGCGCTCGTGCAGCAGCAGATTGGGCAGATCTGGGAAGCAGTCACGTCAGGGTTTCGCTTTCTGGCTTATTGTTCTGGGACGGCGAAGGCTCGCGCGGTTTGGAAACGCAGAAAAAGTCAACAACAGGAAGTTGCCGTCTTCCGAGCCCGGGGGGGGGGGGGGGGGCCTTGATTGACTCCCGAAAACAATGATCGACGTTTGACGTTTGACCCACTGCCACTCCACTATCTCCAGACCGATAGCGCTGTCGTCCTCGTTATGAAACGGGTAAGGCGGCCGTGCCCGGCACTGCACCCACTGGCCACGGCAGCGCGGCGGCGCGAGTCTGTCGAGTCTGTCCAGCCAGCAGGTCGCATTGCGGTCTGGGCGGGCCGGTGCTGGCCGCGGCGGGGCGTCGATAGCAGCGCGGCAGTGACTTTCCGATCGGGGGGCCTTCGCGGGGAGTGCCGACTGTGTCAACGAGCCGCCGCCTCAACTCCCTCGGGGGTCATGAGCCTGAGCCGGCCCGAGCCCCCTGGCCGGGGCAAGAGGAACAAGAGGAGTTTGTTGGCGGCGGGTCATCTGAGTGGGTGGCGGTGGCCTCCTGTTGTATCCTCCTGTTGTATCGGGGCCCCGCCGTGCCCTGCCGTCCGCTTTACCAGTGCACCGCGTCACAGCCCTTGCCCAAGCGAACAGCGCTTTCGGTGCTGACTCTCTCACACCCACGTGGGCGTTCCGTACAAGCGGGCCGCTCATTCTGCACACGTTTCATTTCGCCGCCGTTGTTTCGCGTTTCGGCGTTTCGGCGTTCGGCAGGAAGCGAAGCGGGGCATTGTCCTTCACAATGACACTCTCGACGACCACAGCGCAGAGCCAGAGCAAGCTGCTAGAGCCGGCCCCGCGAGAGTCCGCAACACACATCACCCACCACCACCTGCGGAGCTTTCGGCGGACATCGCTTGGGCGCGCCGCGACTCGACACGTGCACCGTGCGTGTGCAGGGCGGACGAATTGCTTCGAGGAGAAAGTGCCGGTACGGCAATTGTGGACGTCTGAGGCCCATCGTTAGAATGCAAATTAGAATGCAGGGTATGCCCGGTTACTGCCCCCCCTCCAACCTCTTTCGGGTTTCTGCCCTTCCACCCCTTTCTACTCCCTTGACCTTTCTTTTTGCTTGCTTTGATGCACTTGTTGTTTCATCTGTTTTGTCTCTCCCCTTCGTTATATCACCGTAAGGCACACAAATTACCCATACACACAAGCTTGCCCGCTCACACACACATACACAGCCAAACATCTACACACAGGTGCGCGCGAGCCCACACTCACACTCGCGCGTTCACACTCACACACGCACACACACATTGTGTCACTGCTTAATGGGCGGCTAAACGGCGCCCTTTGCGTCAACGCCGTCAGCGCATGCATGGCACTTGACATGGCCAGGACGCCGGCCGGCTCGCCGGGCCCACTACACCGTAAAGTGCGGCGCGCTGACCGTCTGGCTCTCCGCCGTCCTAATCCAGGCGGATTCAGTCAATCGGTCGCGCGGTCGCGTCAGAGAGATAAGTGAGACGCGAAAGTCATGCCCGCGTTTCCCCCTTACAGTGCAGCTAGTGCAGCATGCCGCGCTTTCTTGCCGCGTCTGCGGCGTTCTAGAGTGCGCTGCACATGACGGCCCGTTATTGCGGCACTGAGCAGTGTGTCAGTCCGCTTGTCCGTCAGCCTCGCCGGCCTTTAGGTGCGACGAGGTACGACCGCTCACCGTTCTGAAAGGTGTGGATGCTGATGGTCTCGGGCTGGTCGTGCGCCTTCCCCATGGCGGCGCCCTGTCTCTGCGCCACTCCGCGGGGCGCGGCTCGCTTCGAGGATGCCGTCGACGTGTTGCGCGGGGCGCGCGGGGTGGCAGGGCCAGTCGTCCACCGGCACGGCGAGGACGGCCTCCGTCAGTCTAGTGTCCGCCGCTCTGCTGCTGCCGCCTGCACGCGTCCGACTCCAACTCGCCGCGTCGCGTGGACGCGTGGGCGCGGGGCTCGCCGGTCCGTGCCGGTCCGGCGGCGGGGAGTGGCGGCGTGGCGGCCGAGGGGGGAGGGCTGGCGCGCACTGGCGGGGGCGGCCCAATGGACGACGAGCAGGCCGGCGTCAACACGGCCCGGGTAGCGGAAGGGAAGTGTCCGGGAGGACGCCGCCGCCGTCAATATCTACGTGCGTGACGTGCTGCAGCGGCTGCAGCGGCGGCGCCTCGAGTGGCCGCCCCGGCCGCGTGCAGCCCTCGGCCCCCGACCCACAACGCCACGCCGCCACGCCCTTGCGGAGCTTTACCGCGCCAGAGATACAGCGACCATTAAATGGATCCCCCTCCCCCTCCCTTTCCCCAATTCGGCCTTAGCTCCAATCTGCCCGTCTCGCCGCACGGCGCACGGGCTGCCGGAGTGGAGGTCCTGGGGCTCCTCTTGCGGCGTTACCGCCCTGCCCCTCAACTATGACACAATGTGTATGTGCGCGCGCGTGCCGGACGACCCCCGATGAGTTGCGCGTCTGTCACGCGGTGACACGCGGTGACACGCTGTGATGGGGGCCTCGCAGTGCTTGCAGTGTGGCGGACAGGTGCCAGCCGCCCGCGCTAGATTGTAGCGCGCGTATTCTTTCACACCGTTCTTTGCTTTTGTTCTTTTCTTTTCGTTTTTATTGATACAGCCCGCCGGGCCATACCGCCGCGGTCGCGGGCTCACCGTGAAACCGCGCGGCCGGCACGGCGTGTGTGCGATACGCTAGCGTCGCTACTGCACTGTATCGATGGGGCAAAATAAATAGAGTTATTGCGGAAGCCTTTTTGTCAGCGGGCCGTGACTGTGACTCTGTGACGCGTGGGAATGGCACACGGAGCGTCGCCGCGCAGCCTGGAAGATGCGAGAGGCCGCGGTACTGCTCCACTGCTCCAGGGAGAACGCCTGTGGGGTAGGCAATCGCCGGGACGCAGCGCGCGGGTGTCGTGCAGGGCGGCCCACCCTCGAGTTCACAGGCGCCCGGCCCAGCCGCGACAGGCGCGGAGCGGAGCGGAGAGCGCGAGCGGAGGCTGACGGTGCAGCCGGAGTACGTAGAGCCCGCGCCGCAGCCGCAGCGCGTCGCCTCATGAGTGCGAGAGAGACAGGGCGACGATTCTCGGAACCCGCCCGCAGAGCAAACAAACCAAAGCCTGCCGCCAGGTACTCGGTTTGGCAACTAACTTGGACACGACGCGCCACGAGGGGACGAGGACGCGGCGAGGGCGGGTGGATGCGGATTCGGGTCGCATGGCGTCGCATGGCGTCGCATGGCGGGAAGCAGACACGGCGACACGCCCGGCGTGTAAACGAGTGGCCGGCCTAATCCCGGTGCCGTGCGGCGTGTGCGGCGTGTGGTCGTGTCGAAAGGACCGGATTAGACGTCGCCGTCATCCTGCGCGCCACCACGCCGCCAGCCGCCACTTTGACAGTCCGTGCCGCGCCAGTGTTGTGTCCCGTGGGCCGGGCCGGGCCGGGCGTCGCCTCGATAAGCTTCGAGTGGATGGAAACCGGGTAGAAACGGGTCGGGGCTGCGGCGTGGCGGCGGGGCCACGCCAGAGTGTCGTCAGGCTGTTTACCCGCCGGCTACTCGGTTCAACACTCGGTTCCTAACCGGTTCTAACCGACGCGGCGGCGGGGGAGGGGGAGTGACATTTCACACTCATGCGCTTCGATGCGCGCGCACACACACAGGCACACACACAAGCACACACACGCATGTGCACGTGCACCGAGACCCGTGACTTCACCCCTCAAGTCGGTTGTGGTGTGGGTCCCCCGCGTGGCAAAACGTGGCGGGGCGGCGCGGCGCGGGGCGCGTGCAGAATAGTACAGCGCACCTTCGGGCACCTTCACTCGGCGCTGACAGTGCGATAAGTGCGCGCGGACTTGCAGTGTGCCACTTTGTTAATTTGAGAAAAAAGTCGGAGGCCGCGTTGCCCTGCTCGACTTGGGCGCGCTTGGGCGGCCTCGAGCCGCGGCGTCACCGTCGATCCGTCGATATGAGAAATCACTGCACTTGCACTCGCGGCCCGCTGCGGCCCGCCGGCCGGTCAACGGCCGAGCGGGGCGGGACGGGACGGGGTGCCCTGTACTCCTTCGCTCGACGATAAAAACGCGACACTCCGCGGCGCGCTGCCGCCATGCTGCCACCATGCTTCCGTCAGGGCCATCCTCGTCCTCGCGGAGATGTTGACCACTCGATCAACTGTTACAAGGCTGCGCCGCCTCGCTGATAGGCGTTTTCGCGTTCGCAGTGCAGTGGGCCGCGGCCTCGGCGCCGCGGTCATTGTGCCAAAGAGAGGCGAATGCGCCAAAGAGGGAGCATTATAAATAGAGTTGATGGAGTGCCAGGGGAGGCGGTGGAGGCCACGGCGAGGCTCTGGAGCCGTCCGCGGCCTGGCGCACCCGGCGCACCTTGATTCAGCAGGACGGACTGTCCCTGAACGCGTTGGCTGCCTGGCTGTCCTTATCTCGGTCTCAGTCTGGCGGCCCACCCACGGCCCGGCGTCGCCGCGTCGCGCAGCAAGCCCTGAAAGCCGCCAAGCGGGCCGACTGGTTCGTCGCTCTGTCTCTCTCGCACCCATGGAGCGTCCCGTGCAGGTGCGAGAGAGACAGAGCGACGACAACGACTCTCGGATAATCAGCCTGCAGCCGCACCCTGGCCGAAGAGCGGTCCGGCCAACGACCTCGGCGTGCCTAGAGCGTGCCTGTGCCATGGTCCTGGGCTGTCCTGGGTTGTCCTGGGTTGTCCTGGCCGCCGCGCCCTTGTTTACCTGCAAGGACGTCCCTTCGGCCACCTTCGTCCTTCGGCTCCGAATGTCACGTGACCCTGCTGGACGCTTTCGGTGCGTTAGTGTGTGTGTAAACTTGCAGCAGCCCGTTCGAGCTCCCAGCCGGTCACTAGGCTGAGCAATAGCAGTGGAGTGGCTGGGAGCGCCGCGCCCGTAGGCCACCCAGCGCGCAGCACGGCGCCGCGGAGGCAGGCCGCCCATCGAACTGCGGCGCGAGGAGGGCGGCCGCACCGCGCCCGGACCGGCCTAAGACCGGCCATACTCCACGCTCTAAGACACGGCGCGGCGACTGGTACCTGCCGATACCCCTCGCCCTCGAGTCGAGGCTTGATGGCTCGATTCCCCGGCAGAGCTTCAGCGAAAACGGGGAAACGGGCGACTTCGGATGGCGCGGCCTTGTCGCTGCAGCCGGAGGGAAAGAAAGAGTCCTTAGTCAAACTTGAAATTCCAGGCCATCAACCGAACGAACACAATTCTCACTAAATTAACCGTTTTTCTCCGAACTTTTATTTTATCTATAATTTGGTCCACCCTAGATTTTTTTTAATCTTCTCGGTGATATCATCGATTAGAGGAGCCGGGGGGCCAAACAAGCATCTCGTGCCGGGCCGCTCGGAGCGCTCGGAGCGCTAATTGCAATGAGGGCCGGCCGAAAATAGCGAAAGGCTGTGTACCGTATCGCACCGCCGGCACCGCCTTATCGCAAAAAGAAAAGAGCGATCCGCGCAGCAACAAGAGCAAAAAGGCGGAGGGGATGAAAGCGCTTTCTTCGCGATAGAAAGCGAGGCCGGGGTGGCGAGGGTCGCGTGGGTCGCGTGACGAAAGGCCGAAAGGGGAGGCGATAAGGCGAAGACGCGGACGACGCGGACGCGGCGGTCGCCCGACCTCGCGGCGCGTCGCGATTCCAATGCCCAATACATAAACACCGCGATACAGTGACGCGCGGCCGGGGGGTAGGGGCGGGGCGGGGCGGGGCGGGGTAGGCCGCGGAGGCGCGAGGCGGTCGCACTTCTCATTTATTTCACGCTCCGACCGCCGCGCGGAGGGTCCCGGACACCGCACCACGCCCCCTCGCCACCAAGACCACGGAGCTCGCCTAGCGGCTGCCAGCACTCGTCGACATGACCGTCACCAAGCTGCACATCCTGGACACCGTGGAGCGCGACCCCCACAAGGTGAGGTCCGTTGGGTTCGGCTTGGCCTTCCCTGCCTGCCTGCCTCGCGAATGGGGGCGGGCGAGAGCGAGCGCGATAGGGCGCACTGAACCGCTATAACAGTTGAAGCAACTAGTGGCACGTGGTTCGGAATGCTGTGCAGGCGCGGATCCAGGTTTTCTGGGGTGGGGGTGTAATGTAGCGCCTTTTGCCTACTTGTAGACTGTGTGTCTACCTTCCAGGCTGACTGCCTGGTCCTGGTGCCCGATTACACCCCTCACATCCCCTGGATCCGCGCCTGGCGCTGCGGGTTGTTGTTGCATGTGTCCAGCCAGCATGCACAGCCGTGTACTCTTGTACTTTGCCGCCAAGGCGCCAAGGTCCGCCTGCTCCTCGTCTCGAATGACGGCCTGACGGCTCATCGCCTCGTGCAGTGGCGCGGCGGCGCGGCCGGCCGTAACTCTGGCGATGAGAGCGCGTCGACGCCGAGGCATTTCGTTTGGGTCTTCATTGGCCGCAAACGGTCTGCGGCCAATTTGATGCAGCTTCGCTCCGAACAGTGCTGGAGGCTGGAGTCGCTCTGTCTCTCTCGCACCCCGACGGGACGCCCCACGAGTGCGAGAGACACAGCGACGATAGCACTGTTCGGGGTCACCCTACTACTGCCGGCCTTAATGCATATCACCCGCCCACACTCCCCACCCCTTCCCGCTACTTAGCCGCGCCGCGCGCCCTATGGACAGACAGCCCAGCCCGCAGTGCGCCGCAGTGTGTCTGCCCTTCCTCGTCGCGCCCACTGCACTTCAATGGAAGTGAGAGACAGGCGGACGCGCACTTGGACGCGACATGGGACTCCTCAGTGCGGCCTCGCCCCTGTTTCAAGCTTCCCGCCCATGACTTGATCGCTTCGTTTGCCGGCGCCCCTGGCCCTGGACGTGGCGCTTGGATAAGCCAGCGTGGCTCCGCGGCGCGAAGCGCGAGGTCACGCTTACGGCGGACGGACTGTACTCCGCGGGAAGGGAGAGAAGGGAGGGAAGCACGCGCGAGGGGGGTGGGGTGGGGAGGGGCGTCGTGTAGTACGGGCTGGGGCTGGCACGGTGCCGACCCGACCCGCCGACGCTGCACCGGGGCACCGGGCTGACTCGACGCGACAGCCGCAGCGACGCTTTAGGAACTCGCGTCCTTCCTCGAGCTTCCAGACGCGCACAGGGACACGGCGCCCGTCTCCAGCGTCGCGGCCCGCGCCGTCCTCCCGCACCGCCCGTGGCGCCGGACAACTCCAGCCTGCAGAGGCCTGGCGGTATTCGTGAGTTGCGGCAGCGAGGTTAGAGTGAGGTTAGTCGGCCCGACTGGGCGCTTTTCGAGCTCCTCCGTGCTGGCGCTTTGCGTCGAGTCCGTGACGACGGCGGCGGCGGCCTCGGGGCACCCCGTCGAGGCTCGGGGCGGCTCCAGGACGAGCCGGGAAGCGGACTGGCGGGCAGAGGCGCCACTGTGAACGCGAATGCGAATGAATGAAAGCCAATGACAACAAACATTGCTGGGGTGGGGGGTTGGGGAGGCGAACACAGCCGGCTCTGTCTGACACTCAGCTGGGCCAGCCCCCGCCAGCCCCCGCCAACCCCTATACCCCTCTCACCCTGGACCGCCTGGGCCAGCCGTCCAGCCGGACGAAAGTGGAAGATCCGACTGATCTGGCCGCAGCCCATCAAGGCCAAGGCCACGAGTGTTTGCTAGTACGCTAGTACAGTGTACTGACGCTCGCGGTTGCACTTACCACACAGCCGTGGCCTGATAGCGCCAATCAAAAATTACGCCACGAATTATCTAACTCGATCCGTCGAGTAGCGTAGTGCAACACATGAGCGAGTGGGCGTAGGCGAAGTAGGCATAACCCTGTCCTTTTGCATGCGCATGCCAGGGCTGGCTGGGCTGGCTGGCTGCCGGAGTAGGCCGTAGCCTCCCTCATGGACAACGGCGACCACAACGGGCTGGTGTCGGAATGCAGGGTCCCCATCCTGACCTATGCCAGTGCGGGCGGTGCGGGCTCGCAGGGTCAGGGTTCTCCTGTCGGGGAAGCAGGCGTCGGCTCGCGAGGAGCGGGCAAGGTACGTACGGGGCGAGGGACGACGTGGGTTCGAGTCCCAACCGCGGCGGTGCCGTTTCTTCTCTGACTGAAGCCTGTTCTCTCTACCTGTGTTTGCAGGTCGCAGGATGGACTCCGCTGCTCGTGGTCGCGGCCGCGGTGACGGCGCTGGGCTCCGCGCTGCCGGTCGGCTACAACATCGGCGTCATCAACACGCCGGCCGCGGTAAGAAGCATCTCGGGATCCTGGAGCAATGAGCCCGGCGCGGCCTGGCGCGGCATCAGTCACATCTTCGTCCTGTTCTTCCCGCAGATCATCAAGGTGTTCTGCAACGAGAGCGTGGCGGCGCACTACGGCGGCGACCTGGGTGACACGCAGCTCGAAGTGCTGTGGTCCATCATCGTGTCCGTGTTCCTGGTGGGCGGCATGACGGGCTCCATGTCCGGAGGCTGGGCGGCGGACCGCATCGGCCGGAGGGGCGCCATCGGCGCCACCATCGTACTCAACTTGGTGGCGGCGAGCATGTTCGTGGCCTGCAAGGCCACCAACTCGGTCGAGCTGCTGCTCCTGGCCAGGCTGGTGGTGGGCTTCTCGTCCGGGCTCAGCACCAGCGTGGTGCCCATGTACCTCACCGAGCTGGCGCCCATCCACCTCCGCGGCGCGCTGGGCGTCGTCTGCCCGCTCGGCATCAACATCGGCGTCCTGGCCGGCCAGTTCGCGGGGCTGGACTGGATGCTGGGCACGGCCGACTCGTGGCACCAGCTGCTCGCGCTCTTCGGCCCCATGTCGCTGGTGGGCGGGCTGCTGGTGCCCGTGCTGCCCGAGTCCCCCAAGTACCTGTTCCTGGTGCGCGGCGAGGAGGAGCGCGGCGTGCGCGAGTTGGCGCGCATCCGCCGCCAGCCGGAGGAGCGCCTCAGCGAGGAGCTGCGCGCCATGCGCATGGCCAGCAAGGACGACGCGCAGGCGGAGGCGAAGGAGCCGCAGCAGGGCGAGTGGACCGCCGCCAGGTGAGACCCACGAGCCGTGAGGCGCCGTGTCGGTGTCGAGCCATGCCGGTTGCCTACACTGAGGCCTTCCCTCCTGACTTGCCTTAGAGTCCTCCGCGCCCCCGAGCTGGTGCTGCCGCTGCTGCTGGTGTGCGCGCTGCAGGCCGGCCAGCAGCTGAGCGGCATCAACGCCGTCTTCTACTACTCCAACTCGGTGTTCCGGACGGCGGGCCTCAACGACGTGCAGACCCAGTACGCCACCCTGGGCTGCGGCTGCGTCAACCTGGCCACCAGCCTGCTGGCCCTGCCGCTCGTCAACGGCTGCGGCCGCAGGGTGCTCATGCTGCTCAGCACGCTCTCGGCCTGCCTCTGCCTCGTGCTGCTCGGCACCTCCATCATGACCATCGTGAGTAGGACGTACACGTACACGCACGCCCCCAAGAACGGACTGCGTCATTTTTATTTTACAGTTGCCCGTTTCTGTGTCTGTGTTCAATTGCTAGTAGTAACTTTGCTTCAATGTCATTCTCATTTTTCAGAATTCCATATCATGGATGCCCTACGTAGCTATCGCCTCTGTGCTCCTCTATGTTCTTGTTTATGGTCTCGGAATGGGCCCTATTCCATACTTTATTGGTTCAGGTAAGCATCGTATAACAAGAAAACTCGAATAAAAATTTATCATCTGAAGTATTTGCCCTCTAATGAAGTGTGCTGTTTTTTTTTCCTTTCCTTGTAACAGAACTCTTTGATGTCGGACCTAGACCTATTGGTATGGCTCTTGGAAGTTTGTCGAATTGGGGTGGAAACTTCATTGTCGGAATGTCTTTCCCAACCATTCAGTCAGTTATTGGCCCTGCCTCTTTCTATGTCTTTGCCACAATCACTGCTGCACAAGCAATCCTGCTCAAGTAAGTGTCTAATTTTTTTTTCTAGTAATTAATTTTGTTTTTCAAAATAGTTCTGACATTTTTTATTTACTTTTTTACTCATTTTTTAGATTTTATCTTCCTGAGACAAAGGGCCGTGACACCGCTGAAGTTGCTGACATGCTCAGACTAGGATTCAAGAGTAAGGTGGCAAAAAGTGTGAAGCCAACAACTAATATTCAGCATAATTCCGCGTGAATTCTATGAGAGACTAAGTTGAGATCTGTTTTTCAGCCAGGATCTGCTAATGTTACTTAATCAGGGTAATTTATGACACTGAGTTAATGAACTGCCAATTCTGGAGTTATTTGTTTTTATAAACTGACCGAAATTTGCTGTACTACTGCAATGCACATAATACTGCTTAAGAAAAGAAGCCTGATTGGTTTGCTTTGCTTGCAAATGACTGTGATTGACTTAGGGTAAACCATGTGATTTTGTTACTCTAATTTTACATTTTGAGAGGCACTAGTGCCAGTTTTGATTTTCAACTTGATTCATTAGGATCATGTGTGTTGTTAAGATATTTGAACTATGCACAAATGTACTTTTTCCATGACAAATGAATCTCTGTTTCATGTAAAATATTTTTAATGTTCATATTTTGACTACTTCATATTTATATATTTTTGATTTTTGAGATGTAATTAGATTCTACAAAGGGACTTATTAAGTGGGGATTTTACCTCGATTAGCACCCCCAATTGTCTTCCATACTGTATCTTAAGCATCTAAGCATTCTGAGAATGTGTCCTGAATGTTTTTGTGCAGTTATTTCTTTCATTTACACCATGACTTTACAGGAACACAATCTTGAATTAAGAAAGACAGTATTTCTCATGGTGGGGTAAATACATTTTCATTTTCTCATTTGATGTTGATGCTCATTATGGCCTTATCTACTTTTTCACCTCTATTTAAAATATTTGCAGTCTGAACTTGCACAGTTTTGCACTGATTGTGTTATTTGACTGACGAAATAAAGTCAATACCATTTGCTTACACTTCCTTTTATTCCAAGACAAACCTAAGCGCCCTTCGTCCTGAAGTTTCGGTGACAGAACACTTATTCTCTCATGGACAGAGCAAAGGCCCGCTCTCCGAGCTTGGTACCAGGTCTGGACTTCCCCGAACTCGAAGTTCAAGGGTATCCTGGGGTCAAACCGAGTTTGGGTTGGGCCTGAAGTCGGAGCTTATGCCCTGGCCCTCGCATGCCTTCCCCGCCCCGTGGGTAGGCCACACATCGAACGTGTGCGGGTCGCGCCCGGCGCGTAGGCAGCCCACCGTTCGCGGCGGCTGGCCTTTGTGCCTCCACCTCTAGCTGGCGGAGGCACGCGCGAAGAACAATGAATTCTTGCCTTGGTTGGCCGCGGCGCCACCGCGGGCGGGCGGAGGCAGCACCGTCGCGGACGTGTCGGCCTGCGAGGAAAGTTGAAGTTGCCGTCTGTCAGGGAGAAGTGTTAGAAGAAGTGGGAGAAGAAGACGTCTTCCGAGATGGCGGGTCACGAAGAAGTTGGTGTCGGCGACTTCGTCCTTTTGGACGAAATTACGGTGGAAAAATTCATGCACAATCTGCAAATCAGGTAATGAAGTTGTCATGCAGCTCTATCCGCTGTCTGGTCAGCGCGCAAATCGCCAAATTGAATTAAACGGCTTGGACTTTGTTGGTTAAGGGGTGTGGCAAAGACAGCCTTGGCATATATTCGTTGTTTATTTACATGGAGTGTTGATAAATATTGACAGTGGCTCTCGGATCAATTTCAAAGGAAGCTGTTTGTATGGGATTTGCAAGCCGATCTTGAATGGGAGGTTTGGGGCTGCAACGAGGTCGATTGAATGCCGGCTGCATCGCTATCACTCAGTGACTCATTCTGCACACACCTCAAGTGGTGCTGTGCGTCACGTTCTCTTCCAAACCGATTGAATTAAGTCGAAGGATGCTGACGATTTCTTGCTTAATAAAAAGCTCTGACATGTCCACCACCTGCTTTATTGGGAACTTGCTATTGTTATTGTTCCACATTGATCAGCTGTTTAATGTTTATCGGTTTTCTTCAGATTCAAAGCGGGTAAAATCTACACATACATTGGAGAGGTATGTGTTTCTGTGAACCCATACCGTACAATGAACATCTACGGTCCTGAACAGGTGTCTCAATACAAAGGTACAAATAAATCAACATTCTTGGTTCTTGATACGAATTCACTTGTTGCATCCACACCATCTGTGCTAAGTCTCCAATGTGCATGTCTTCAGGTCGTGAACTATTTGAAAACCCACCCCATATCTTTGCTCTTGCTGATGCCGCCCACAAGCAAATGAAACAGCAAGGAAGGGACACATGCATTGTCATCAGTGGTGAATCTGGGAGTGGAAAAACGGAAGCTTCAAAAATTATTATGAAATATATTGCTGCTGTTACCAACGTAGGAGGCCAAAAAGAGATTGAAAGGTGCTTAATTATGTCCTTTGAAGTTCTGTTTTTCTCTCTTGTCCTTAAAATATCCTAAAATAATGACAAGAATGACATGTTTTTGTAATATTTTTTTTGTCAGGGTGAAAGATGTGCTCCTTCAGTCCAATTCAATTTTGGAAGCATTTGGCAATGCTAAGACAAATCGAAATGACAACTCCTCACGTTTTGGAAAGTACATGGACATAAATTTTGATTTTAAAGGGGACCCTCTAGGTGGACACATCAACAATTATTTACTGGAAAAATCTCGAGTAGTTGTGCAGCAGCCAGGGGAAAGGAACTTTCACAGTTTCTATCAAGTATGTGCTTCTTCATGTTTAAAGTCTCTGGTTAAGATTTTGTTTGCTATCTAATTTTTAACTTTACTTGTTTTTGCAGCTGTTAAGTGGATGCAGTGAAACTGAATTGAAAAATCTGCAGTTGACTCGTGATCCAGCAAAGTATATGTACACCCAACACAGTGGAACTCGACTTGGCAGTGAAGATCGGTCTGACCATAAGGCAACAATTTCTGCATTTCGCACTTTGGGATTTGCTGATGATGAAGTAGATACCGTCTGGAGATTAGTTGCGGCCATCTTACATTTGGTAAATTGTTGTTGTGTATTGGTTCATCAGACGTTAAAAATCTTCTCTGTTTGTCTTTCATTGCCAGCAGGTCTGATGACAGACAGGATTTTTAGCCATAAGATAAGGTGTAGCCTTGAATCAACTCTCTTATTTCTGTTATCTTTATTGTTCAGGTGTGGCATAAGCTTTCCTGATAAGAGTGGGATTGATTTTGACCTGCTATTAAACACTCACATTGTCTTGGGAGTTTCTTTAAATCTTCTTTCTTCTTCTTCTTCTTCTTCTTTTAACATTTTCTACCCTTTATGGGTATGGTTTCTTTGTTTTAGGGTAATGTCAAATTTGCATCCTCAGAGGACTCAACTGACATCACCTCTAAGAAAGAGCTTGATATTGTTGCACGCCTGCTTCGTGTCACGGCGAGCGACCTGAATGCAACATTGACAGCCAGAGTGATTGCTGCTGGCAATGAAGTAATGCAAAAATCTCACACCACAAATCAAGCCGAAACAGGGAGAGATGCTTTAGCCAAGGTAACTGATAAGATGCTGAAGGATTCTTCTGTTCAATGTTACTTTGTGTTTAAAATGAACAAACTAACAACTTCAGAGATTATTGCTTAATTGTGGTCCCATATTCTTCAGGCTATATATGAAAGATTATTTCAATGGATTGTTAAGAGGATCAACACTGCTATCAATGTTGACGAAAAACTGGTGTATCACCGATTCAAGGGCACTGTCATAGGAGTGCTAGATATTTATGGATTTGAAGTGTTTGATGCCAATGGTTTTGAACAATTCTGTATAAATTATTGCAATGAAAAACTACAGCAGCTGTTCATTGGTAAGATACCTTCATTACCAAAATTTACTTACATTTGACGACCTCTGACATGATATTTTCTTTCTGCCTTTTCCTTCAGAGCTGGTCTTGAAGCAAGAACAGGAAGAGTACCAGCGAGAGGGTATTGAATGGAAAACTATTGAGTACTTCAATAATCAAGTTATCTGTGACCTGGTGGAGCAGCCTCACAAAGGAGTCCTGGCTGTGCTTGATGAGGCATGTCTCAATGTGGGCAAAGTCACAGATGAAATGATAGTTGAAGCTTTTGACAACAAACTGAGGGGACATGCACATTACACCAGTCGCCAAATTGTTCCCAGTGACAAAACATTGAAACACAAAGAAGAATTCAGAATCCGGCATTATGCTGGCGATGTTAAATACAATATTACTGGTTTCCTTGAAAAGAACAGGGATACTCTTTTCCAAGATTTTAAGCGTTTGTTGTTTAATTCTTCTGACAAAAATATTAGTTCTATGTGGCCTGAAGGAGCAGAGGAAATTACGAAGGTACGTGTTACTTGAAAAAAGAGTCAATAATTATCTGATCATCATAATTTAATGTTGTTTGTTATCTTTCTTGTAGACAACAAAAAGGCCATTGACTGCTGGAGCCTTATTCAAAACCTCTATGGTAGCCCTTGTCAAAAACTTGACTAGCAAAATTCCATTTTATGTTCGCTGTATCAAGCCAAATGAAATGAAGTCTGCAGTTGCTTTTGATGATGAACATGTAGAGCATCAAGTTAGATATTTGGGTCTTGTGGAGAATACTCGAGTTCGACGTGCTGGTTTTGTTCACAGAGTCACCTATGGCCGTTTCCTCAAAAGGTGTAAATTGGTTCTTTTCCTCAGAATATTCTTATTGTTACAATTGTATTAATTATTTTTTCCTCCCATAGATACAAGATGATTTCACAATACACGTGGCCGAATTTCAAGGGAGGCTCTGACAAAGAAGGCACCAGAGTTCTCATCAATGAGAAAGGTTTTGCAGATGATGTCAAATATGGTCACACAAAACTTTTCATTCGAACTCCAGGAACACTCTTTGCCTTGGAAAATGTAATTTGCAATATTTTTAAAAGTTTGCTTCTGCTTGTGTAGGGTTAAATTGTTTAATCTTAGGGGGTAATTTTGCTTCATTGTTCTATTATTTTAGCCTTTTAGGTCTATACCCCCTAATTTACAGTTATTATGGATGTTTCATCTGATTCATCTTGCTGTTTGCATGTGTATTTGTTGTGATTTATGCAATAATTGCATGTGCATTTTTCAGTTCGTATTTGTACTGTACGCATGAGAATGTAACTTAGATGTGTATGTTCTTTTCTTTTGGTAATAGGCTCGTGCTGAGTTGATACCGAGCATTGTAGTACTTCTCCAAAAAGTTTGGAGAGGTACCCTTGCACGCCTTCAGTATCGTAAAATGAAAGCTGCTCTTGTCATCATGAAGTATTACCATTCCTATAAGTTGCGCTCCTATGTTTCGCAACTTGCTTCCTCATATAAGTAAGTTTGCTTATGCGTATTATTTTCTTTTCTGTTTACTGTTGGTCTGGAAACGTTAAGCAGGCAGGTAACTGAAAAACCACTTAAATTCTGAAATTGTGCAATTTCTTTCTAGTACGTTTATGAAATCACTTATTCCCCAACTTCCTTCTGCATTTATCTTTACTTTTTACTGGCTGGTGTCAAGCATGAATGTTGAACTTGATGTTCTTTTTATAAGTATTTTCCAATCTTTGTTTCTTTTCAATTGCTGTTACCACCTTCATATCCTTTTTTGGTCTTGTTTCTTTTAAAATAATTTTTCCTCTTGTGTGTAGATTTTTAGATCAAAATTCTTCAAGTTAGGATTTGTTGCTCAAAATACTGGAGTGATGCAGTTTCATATGGTAATGGGCAAATGTTCATGTTTCAGGAATGCTAAAAACATGAAAGATTATGGTAAGAGTCTTGGATGGCCTGCCAAGAGTGTGGCCATCCAGCCTGCTTATCCCAAATTGCGTTCTATTTTTGAACGCTGGTGGGCATGGATGGTGCTCAGGCAGACGCCAAGGGAAGAATGGCCTCAGTTGAGGCTGAAAGTGGCTGCTGCATCTGCCCTACGAAACCAGAGACTTTCCTATGGTCAGGAGCGGAAATGGTTGGGCAATTATCTTGCGAAGCCGGAGGAAAACCCCAACTTCAGTGTTTTTAACTCCAGTGTTACAAACATTCGTAACTCTGATAAGCTCAAAGCGGTTGGTATCAAAACTCAGAGCAGAATTTTATCCCAACGCTTCCAGTTTATTTATTTAAATTTTATTTTCAGGTGATGTTTTCATCCTTTGTGCATAAAGTCAATAAATTCAAGAAAGTTGCTCAAAGAGCACTTCTTGTGAGTGATTCCAACATTTACAAGCTGGATCCATCCAACAAATTCAAGCCAATGAAGAAAGGGTGGCCCATATCAGAGGTAAGTCGTACACACAACAAACGAAAAAACAAAAGTGGAAAATAAATTTGAAATTAAAAATGTTTTTTAATAGGTTATTGGACTGAGTGTGACATCGGGCCATGATCAGTTGATAGTGATTCACTCCAGCAAAGGCAATGATCTTGTAATTTCCCTGGAATCAAAGGAAGACCGTGTTGGAGAGTTGGTAGGAGTTCTACGCTCCAGATACTCACAGTAAGTGAAACTAATATAAAATTTCTTTAAAAGAGAAACTTTTCATGGAAACTGTGTCTAATTTTACAAAATCCTTCCATTATAGGATTCGGAGTGGTGAGGATTTGAGAGTCACTGTAGCTTCTAAATTCCCTATCAGACTGGGTGGCAAGAGTAAATCTTTGCAAGTGGAAACATCCCCAGAAATAAATGAGCCTGGTTTCAGGAGTGAGAAGAGTCGAGTTGTATACACTTTGCCCTCAGCCTTTGCTGTTCCTCAGAGGCAAGCCCCACCGCGCCAAGCTCCGCCAGCACCACCGACCATTCAGCATTCAGTACCTATTAAAACATGAAGTAATTTGCTTCACCCCATTCTTTCCTTCTTGCAGGCTGCTTTTTAAAAAGGTATGATATTTCAACAAACTGTACTTTAAATTTTATAGGCTGTCATGTTGTAAGTCTTTTAAAGGCCGCTTTTTATTTTAGTTGTAAGAAATGTGTAGAGAACTATGATCATGTTCTTACTCTTCTAGTATTCTTAGTAGTTTTGAAGTTCCATTCCTTGTTTGGCTTCCTGTACAGAGTATGCCATATATATGTATCTATACATATACATATTTATATATTTGTAAATTAGGCTTTTTATCATCTCTTGAGCTGATGTTTTAAGTCTACTTCTAGTCTTTCTTTGTACTTTCTTAATACTATTCAAGTTTTGGGTTTTTACTATGTTCAGTTTTACTCAGTGCTAATAATCACTCTAAAATAAGAAATGTTTTTCATATGCTTCTTTTAATTAATTGTATTACTAGTAGTTACCAAAGTGTGTGCTTCTTTGAATGCCTTTTCTTCCTGTCACTTCATAGTATTAGTGGGAAAAGTATGGAGAGACAAGAGGCGTTTTCTAATACAAGTACAGTACCTCCTGTCAAGAAGTTAATATTTTTATTTATTTAAAAGAACTTTAAAAAGTGGATTGGCTTTGTGCTTGTGTTTCACTATCATCAATTTAAAGAAAGGAGAACTAACAATCAATTAGTTACATCATAATTAAAATAACTGACTGACCTAAGCAAAGACTCATGTAGTTGTTTCCTATGCAAATTTATTTTCATTGTCAATACAGTGATCTCACCCCATATTTTTGGGTATGTTTTCCTGCTTCATTTTGAGTACTGGAAACTTAACGAGGGATTTTTCCCCTCTCTTAACTTTTTACCACACTTTAAAATTATTTATTTTTGCACCTTATTCAAAGCGACTGTGATTTGCATTTCTCTTGGAGGCCTGATGTTTTGATGCTCCTTGATTTTCCTGTGTACAAGCATTATTTGGTAATGTTAATTGCCCACCACAGCTGTGAAGTTTGATTAACTACCTCTCTTGTGCCTTAAATGTCATTTACTATACCGCCGTTCATACTTCATGTATATTTGATTTGTATCACTGATTTGTCATTTATGAATTGGTTGTGTGATTCTTACAATTTCTTGTTTTATGCTTGTTAATAAGTAATTTATTGTTTTTATTCATTTATTTTGGGTTTAATTGTCTTTGCACAAGTTCAAAAGCACATCATCCCTTTAGATGTTATGGTAATGACTAGGTCAGCACTCAGTTCCTGGAAAGAATGCTGCCATTACCAAGGATGGCTTGTGACACTGGTGACATGAACTTTAATTTGCTGTGTTTTGTTTGTGCCAATAATAGTGCCAGATTAATTTAGGATGCATGACAATCTTCCATATAGCGAAAGGAGGTGTGCTGGCTTGGAATTCTTGAACTAAATGTGTGCCTTAGTAAGATAAGTTGGTTTGAAACTGCCGAACCAAATGCGTGCTTTGTAAGGGCTATGATTCTAATCATGAAAATAAACAAAATAAACACAACCATGGCTTGTATCAATCATTTAAAAAAGTCAGCAATACCAGAGTCCAGTAAAGAAGGGTCTCAATCAAATCAAGCAACAAACTAGGAGAACATTAATATTTAATGGGACACCACATCATGACAGCAAATAGGGCAATGCAGGCAATTGGGTGTCGAAGCTTACAGCTTCAGCTTGGTCCTCCTCCAGTGCCTCCTCTTGGCGTTGTATCTGAAACAAAGCACAAAACGGTAAAAAATCGTGCAATACTAAAATCATGACAGTGATGGGAATTCGATTGACAGCAAGAAAGGAAAAAAGAAAATACACAGTAGCATTCAAGGACACTGAGCAGAGAGAATACAATGATTCGCGTAATCAGAAGGAAACTAACAATAAACCGAATTCGAGATCACTGAAAATGTAACAAGGTCCGATGCCGACAACGCGCAAGAGCAGAGAGGTTATGTTTGACCACTGTAAATACTACCAATGCAATTGACAGCACCGGTAGGTACGGAACCGTAGGAATGATTACCACTCAGAAACGACGGAATTTAATGCAGTGGCAAAAGAACTTGAACATTTGAAACGACCATTAAGAAATAATATCGGACTTGAAAAACAAAACAGATCTAGTAGGGTGAACCGGTCTAACCTCACCAAACGGTGTGTACATAAACATCTAGCACAAGTCTAACACTAAGGAAACGAGAAGCCTTGGTTCAATAAGGACACATAGATACAAATTTAGAAGAAAAGGCACGACCGTAACTCACCTGATTTTGTTGCCTGTCCTCATGCGAATCCACTGAGGGATGGGTCTGTTCTGCTTAAGCTTCTTGGCAAGCTTTATCTTGATTTTAAAGGTTTTGTGACTCGCCTGAAACGAAAAACGTAAAGGGTAAGAAGCGGTCATTAATATTAAAACAAATAATACCGAAATAGTGCTAAGATGTAATAAATATTGGATGGATGAAAGGAGCTTACCATGGTTGGACGTTTGTGGCCACGCTACGGAAAATGAGAAACAATCAACCGCTCCCGTACTGGAACCGGAAGCGAGGCTTCGGTGTTTCGCCGCGAGGGGCGCTAGTGTCTCACGGCACACGGCACTACCAACCTCGGGACGAGTATCCACAGTAACTAGAAAATGAAGAGTGGCTTTTAAAAACGAGGAAAGAATTTGGATTAGATTTAACACCGCAAATCTATAGTTGCAAAACTGAATAAAAAATCACAGTTTAAACCACCATGTTCCATGCAGGAACGCGCCAAAACTTTAAAAAGATATTGAGGAAAGTAGAGTTTTATATAACTTTGTGGGGATTAGCAAATACAAGGTCGAGTGAGATGTAAATATTGACTAATAAACTACAACAGTTCACTTTCAAAGCGAGTAACAGCGAAGATGGCAAGACTCCATGTGGCAAGACTCCATGTGGCAACTGTCCGCCGACTGCGACGCCCGCTGAGTCTTGGATAGGCAACCCATCCAACACAAACTGCCGGCTGGGACGCTGGGGTTTGAATTTGAACTTGAGATGCTGGACGCTGTTATTGCTATTGATGGTTGGTCCGCAGATGATCGTTGGCTTTCCGAGCTTGACTGACCACGCCAGTGACAAAACAAACGGCTGCAAATCGTTCCAAAAGTGAAGTGTCAATTCCACGCTTGTCGGCAATGGACTGTCGATTTATTTCGTTTTTATTTTTCTTTCAAAATGTCGGAGCCCCTCCCTTGTCACCGACCGGCTGTAGTACCACTTTGCCCCCTCCTCCCGCCCTTCTCCCCCAAAAAAGTCGGCCTATTAAACGCGGGGCGTGGCGGCGAGAAGTGGTCAAGGCGCGGCGCACCAGGTGACGGTGACACCCACGGCGCTGATGGAGCAAGTTCAACGGCCGGGGGCGGCGGCCAGGGCGGCCAGGGCGGCCAGGGCGGCCAGGGCGGGCAGCACATCCCAGCGACTTGTCATTCCCCGTGTCGAGCCGGCGCCGAGCCCCGTCTGCAATCTGGAGCTTGGATCAGGATTTCGGGTCTCCTGAAAAGAGCGCCGCCTTTGCCTCGGCCAGGACGCGTGTACAGCGCGACACGGCCACGGCCTTTGCCTCGACCAGGATGCGTACACTGCGACACAGCGCGGCGCTGCGTGGGTGCGGTCTAACGGCACGCGGGGCGTGTGACCGTATTGAAATGAGCCCCGCGGGCACAGCGCACGGCGCACCGTGTCGGTGGACGGCTGGCACGGCTGGCACGGCTGGACGAGAGCGCAGCGGAACCATAACGGCCTAGCGCGAAGCCGCGACACACCGTCGGGTTGTTCCTGACCGCTCCGCCACGGAGGCTGGCCGCGGGGTCAGTGACAGCGGCTGACCCGCTAAACTGATATCAAACTAGGAACCTGGGCGACCAGCTGCCATACGGTGCCCGCCCCGCCGCGCCGGAACAGGCTCGGACCGCACCGAGGACCCCCGGCGAGGACCGCGGCACGCGTGCTGAAGTGCCAAGCGGGAAATGGCTGAGGCGATTAGGCGGTTGGGCGGGGCTAGGGCGGGGCGGGTGTCGAGGAGCCGGCAGCGGGCGGCACTACAGCGCGGCTTAGCGCGGCTTGGCGTCGCCTGGAGTCACGCCCGAGTCACGCCCGAGTCCCGGCGGTCGCAAACCAGTTGCCTCTGCCGGCCGGCACACTGTCAAGAAGACGGGCGGCGGCAGGGTCAAGGGCCAGGTGGAGAAGGAGGGGGGTGGGGAGAGTGCGAAACTCCCTGAACTGCAACTGCGACACTGTGCGAACGCTAGGGGCGGCTCGGAGATTATGGCATTTCGGAGGGGCCCATGCCACACCTCTTGCCTGCATTCAGGCGCCCTGCGTGCAGCCTGTCTTCAGGGCGGTATCAGATCAGACCGGCAGCACGGCCCTCTCCCGAAGTTTGGCGTTCTAACTGCCCTACCCGGGGGGGCCGTGGCGCACTCCAAGCCTCGAGCAACGCGCCACCCCCCGCGTCAGCCTCCCCGGACCAGGAGAGCGGCCAGAGGGGCCCGTCCCAGGTCCCCAGGTGTTTCACCCGTCAACAGAGCAATGACCGCGGAGGCTGGGCGGGGCTGCGAGGCGCGGTGGCGCGGGGTGGGGTGGGGCGGGGCGGGGTGGGGCGGGGCGGGGCGGGCGGGTCGGTCCCGAATCTGCGAGGAATGCTGCCCATTGTGGCGAGGGGGGAGTTCGGCACTTGGGGGAGAGATAAAGCAGGCAACCCGTCGAACGCGGTGGCGACCAAGAAGTCCCGGCAGAAGGAAGAAGCTTCGCGAACGACCGACCGACCGGCCTTCCGCGGCGCGAAACCTAGTGCGCGACGCCTAAATTATTCGAAGGTGGGATACTTGCAATCTCGCCTGGACCAGAAGGTCCTGTCACGCAGCTTGGCATGGCGATGACATGGGCCCCCCGTGGCGGCCTAGGCGGCCCGCGACAGCGGCACCTCGGCGCACATTAGGGGCGTTGGTTATCCGCGGGGGCGTAGGCGGTGACGGAGCGGTGACAACCAGGACCCCCTTCCCCTCCCCCCGCGAATCTGCCGAGCCAACACCACAACAACGTCCAGCATCGCGAGCTCGGGCGCCTCCGCCCTACCCCCGCTCCAGCCCCCCGCCGCCGGGCGTTGCCGTCCTGCCTGTGGCTGCCTGTGGCCGGCCGCCCGGCGAGGAGGCTCTGTCCGCCCTGGCCCTGCCCGGGTCCGTGCCACTCTGCGACGCGACGCGGCGCGACGCGCAGGGAAGCACCAGCCCAGCACGCGCACGGCCCCCAGGGCACCCAGGCCGCCACCAGGCCGCCCATTGCGCGAGTTTCGACACGAGAAAGGGATTCGACGCCGGAGGAGACCAGAAGACTGAGTGAGTTTGATTGGGACTGTGTCTGGGGGTTGGTTTTGGCTGCTCCAAACTTTGCTTGGCGGCCGATGTCTCCGGACCATGCTACGCAGTCACGTTCAAGTTCGAGGTCAAACTCAGGGCTAACAGCATGCAGTGGACAGGGACCACCTACTCGCCAAGCGCCCTGAAACTGAGATTATCTTCGGCTGGCCTTCGGGGGCCCGAGTCCATTCGGCTTCCGCCACCTCGGACGGCCACGGTGTATCATTTCCGATTCCGCGCTACGTGCCGATGGACCACATCGTCTGCATGGCGAGCGTGGTACGTGGGGCGCCTCGGCAATGGGCATGGTCACGGCCACCCCCAGCCAGCCCCAGCTAGCCCCTGCCAGCCCGGCCCGGTACGGAGGCGCTTTGGCAAGGCACTGGCAAGGACCCGGCGCCGGGAACGGAGAGGATGCAGTAGGAGGGGCCCGTCCACAAACCACAATCCAGCTTAGCTCTACCACGAAAATGGTGTACGGCAGCATATTCTTTTCGTATTGCGAGACGACGAAACTACACCTCCCTACATTCCTAAAACGCGAAGCGTCCCCCTGGTGCATGGGTGCATGCGAGCGTCGCGTCGCGTCGCCTGGCGCGCTGCCACGCGGTGTCAGTGTCAACGCGCCGCGCGTGCCTCCTGCCGATGTCACTGTCACCGGAGGACACGTCGCGCGCGTCGCCTCAGCGATCTCGTCGAGAAAAAAGAAGTTCCGGCAAGAGCGAAAAATAAAACACCGTGACCCGCCGACGAGCATGGGTGTTTGGCGGGGGTCTTGTCCAGCTCGCGGCAACCATTGAGGCCAGGCGACCACCTGAATGGTGCCGAGGCCGACCCTTCCGGCGGACCCTCCTAGGCCCACGCCGTCACCAGGACTTCCAGGACGAAGGAGGAAGGGGCACCAGGGGCAGGTACCGTTTGGCCGCGATCCTGCAAGACATACGTCATGTTGAACCACGGCGCGGCCCTCGGCGTGGGTGTGTTTACAAAAGGGGGGGGGGTCTAGGTGCACAGGGGCCGAGCGGCTCCACTCCCTGCAGGCCAGAAGCATGCCAGAAGCACGCCGTCCGAGCAGCGTAATCGCGCGGTTCACGTTTTGGGACATTTTACTGCACTGCGGGCTCCGCCAAGGCTCCGCTCTTGGGGCGGTGATTTGCGACGCTCCCCGGTTACCGTCGCTCATCTCGCTCGGTGTTCGATTATAAAGACGCCGGCCGGCCGGGCGTGCCGTGCGAGTGGGCTGGCCGGCCGGCTTGTTGTGCGGAGCGCGGCGGGGACCGGCGGGGAGGGCGAGGGCCCGCCCGCGGCAGAGGCTGGGCCGCCGGGGCCCCTCACGCCGGACCGGTCAGGGCGGGTCGGGACGAGGGTCGGGACGAGGGGCGTGGAGTGGTCAGGATCGGCGGGGCGTTGGAGGAGGGCAGGGACCTCGCTCGGCGACGCACAACAATTACAGCCTCCTCGGCGACGGCACGACTCATGGCCCGACGGCTAGACGCCGGCAGGAATATGCGAAGGAAGACGCGGCCGACGCGGCGCACGCATGGCAACAAGACGAAGAAGAGGGCCTCCGCGAGGATGGCTCGTACAACCAAGCTGGCACGCGGCGAAACCGTCTCCAGTGAAATGTGGCCGAAGAGTCGCGTGGAAAGCATTCGCATAGTTCTTGTTTGCACTTACGGCTATCGCCCTGGCCCTGGCACTGCGCTGCACTGCGCGCGTCACCGGGTAATGCCCCGTGCCATTAGGCTGATACAGGCGCACCGCGGGGCGGGGCGGGGCGGGGTGCAGCTTGGCCCACTCGGCCGTTCAAGTCCCCGCGAGTGCGCTGCCCCGATACTTCCTAGGCCTGCGGCCGCACCGGGACCTCGATACCGAAGCACCGCGATGCTCACCGCGACGCTCACCACCACTGCTATCTCTCTGTGCTTCCAGCCCGGGCCACCGTGGCGCCCAGGATGGCGAAGATGGGGCGCGGCGCCGTGCTGCCCTTGGCGCTGCTGCTGCTGGTGGCGCTGCTGCAGGCGCGGCCCGCGACCGCGAGGAGCTTCAGCGGGCTGTCGCAGCGGCAGCGCGCCGCGCTCACCGTGGCCGGCTTCATCCGCGACTCCGTGGAGAGCGTGCCCGCGCACGTGGTGCCCGGCGACGGCGAGCGGGGCGCCCACCGGTCCTCGCTGCGGTCGCCGTCCGCGGCGTTCGGCACGCGGTCGCTGCCCCTGCGCGACGCCGTGGAGAGGCCGCCGTCTTCCAGAGACAGGTGAGGCGTCGGGTCGAGCGCCTGGAGGGCAGGCCGTCCCGTTACGCACGCGAGCGTCGCGGTGCAGCCTGCCTCCCAGGCGCTCATCCTCGTCCTTCTCGCAGGGCTCGCGCCAGATACCCGCTGCGTGATGCCGTGGAGCGCCGCCCCCCTCCGGACCCCGCGGCCGCACCGCCAGCACCGCCCGCGCGCGCCGCCCTGCCCGTCAGGCCCGTCGTCCGCATGCCCGCCGGCTCGGCCTTCGGCTCGGCTAGGCCCTCCTTGGCCGCGGACGGTGCGGACGGCGTGGGCTGGCCGCACAACGTGGCGCACCCCTTCCTGAAGGCCGCGGGCATCGACTGGTGGCGCCCCCGCACCGCCGCCCTGCCCAGCCCGCCCTACGTCATCCCCTTGTCCTCGCCCGTGGCGCTGCAGTCGCAGGTAAGTTCTTCGACATTATGCAGGATTGCATTGCCGAGCTCGCAAAGGCATCCTTATTTGACGCCCGGATCGGGCGGTCGAAACCCACCAATGACACATTTTTACCGGTTCTACCACTGCGGTTCGAACCCACCCCTTCCCTGTCCACGCAGGCGTGGCCGCAGACCTACCTCACGTCCCTGCGCATGGCCAACCCCCTGCTGGTGCAGCCGCAGCAGCGATGGGGACTCATCGCGCAGCCCAACTACGTGTTCAACACCCTGGGGGACAGGCAGCCGCCCCACGTCCTCACCTACCAGGCAGCCAAGCCCAGGGAGCGTAAGTGTCTCGACGAACCGCGTACCTCATTCACGCGAAGGCCCCATAAAACCCCTCTTGTCCACCCGCAGCCCAGCAAAAGATCGTCTGCTACCTCGAGGCGTGGTCGGCCTACCGCAAGGACGTGGTGGCCTACAGCGCCAACAACGTGGACCCGTTCGCCTGCACGCACCTGCTGTACGCCTTCGCCTCCATCGACCCGCACTCGTTCCGCGTCGTGCCGCAGGACGAGGAGTACGACCTGGTGAAGGGCGGCTACCGCGCCGCCGTCGGCCTCAAGCGCCAGAACCCTAACCTCAAGGTATGGCGCGGTGGGGGATCCAGAGGCGTACCGAGGGGGGGGGGGAGTTTTTGCCTACCTTCCAGGCGGCTGTCCAGGGGCAAGGGGGAAGTGGAATGAACACTCCTGTTCCCGCAGGTGATGCTGTCCGTGGGCGGCTGGATGGAGGGCAGCTCCAAGTTCTCGCAGATGGCGAGCAGGGCGGACAGGCGGCGGGAGTTCATCCGGTCCGTGGTGCGCACCCTGGACGAGCACAAGTTCGACGGCCTGGACCTGGACTGGGAGTACCCGGGCGCGCTGGACCTGGGCGGGCTGTCGTCCGACCGGGACCACTTCTCGCTCCTCGTGGACGAGCTGTCCGAGGTGTTCCGACCGCGCGGCTGGCTGCTGTCCGCCGCCGTGTCGCCGTCCAGGTTCCGCATGGAGGACGCCTACGACGTGCCCCGCATCGCCGCCAGCCTGGACTTCATCAACCTCATGGCCTTCGACCTGCACGCCGAGCGGGACAGCGCCGCGGACCACCACGCGCCCCTGCACCAGCGGCCGCACGACGCCAGCATCGACATCTTCTACAACGTGGTGAGCCGCCCCGCCCCGCCCCGCCCCGCCCCGCCCCGCCAGGCCAGGGCCACGCGTGCGAAAATCGGATAACGGCATTTTGGCAATGGTTCTAGGACTACGCCGTCAAGTACTGGATGAAGCGCGGCGCCCCCAACGACAAGCTGGTCGTGGGCGTGCCCTTCTACGGCCGCTCTTTCACGCTCAAGGACCCGGCGCGCCACACGCCAGGCTCGCCCATCAAGGGCCTGGGCAAGGAGGGCCGCTACACGCAGGAGAAGGGCTTCCTCTCGTACTTCGAGATCTGCGAGCTGCAGGCGGAGGGCGGCTGGAGGCAGGCCGTGGACCGCGCCGGCAGCCCCTTCATGGTCAAGGGCGACCAGTGGGTCGGCTACGAGGACGCCGTCAGCATCGCCAACAAGGTGCGGACCCAACGGCGTGCTGTTTACAACGAGTTTCCCGGCGACAGCTCTTCGTCTCACCGCTTGTGCCGCTCGCGTGTTTGCAGGTGTCGTACATCCTGAAGCAGAAGCTGGGCGGCGTCATGATCTGGGCCGTGGACCTGGACGACTTCAACGGCATCTGCGGCGCCAAGACGCCGCTGCTCAACGCGGTGCGCAACAACATCGACGGTAAGCACGACTCGACGCTGCGGTGTGGGCGACACTCAGGTGCCTGACGCCATGCCCTGTTCCAGGCGCCGGCCCCGTGTACACGCCGTCCGCGGTGGGAGCGCCGGCCAAACCCTCCGGCTCCCTCGTCACAGGTAAGCCCAACGACCACCCTGAACCCGCCCCCGCCCCGCCCGGACCCACGGAGCCATCCGAGGCCGCCCCCGACGCCCCCACCCCCACCCCCGCCCCGACAGCAGCCTCGCCGGGTCTGGCCGTCAAGGTGGACCGCGACGCCATCAACTGCACGGGCACGGGCTTTGCGAGGGACGCCGTCGATTGCAACGTGTACCACCGCTGCGACTGGGGCACCAGGACCACGTACGTGTGTCCGGAGCCGCTGCACTTCAACCTGGCCGCCAGCCAGTGCGACTGGCCTGACCGGGCGGGCTGCCCCTCAGCCGGCAGCACGCCCGACGGCACCAAGGCGTACGCCGGTGAGTTGGACAGCCTCTGCGCGGAACACTCTGCCGGCGGCCGCTCCTTCAAGACCCCCTTCTTTGCCTCCACAGAGCTCAACGAGGAGGTGGCGCATGTGTGCGCGCTGCGCGACGGCGTGGTGGCCGACCAGGTGGACTCCAACCGCTACTACTGGTGCCAGGGCGGGCGCGCGCACCGCCTCCGCTGCCAGCGCGGCCAGCACTTCGACGCCGTCACCGGCCTCTGCCAGTACGGCGTGCCGCAGAGCAGCGCCGTGGCCACCAGGGACCTTGTGGGAGGTGAGGACTTGGTCGCCGGAGGTTGACGCGGCCGACTTCACGTTGAGTAACCCCCTTTTCCGGGCCGCAGAGGACAACTTCAAGGTGGCGTGCTACTTCACGAGCTGGGCGTCGTACCGCAAGAAGGAGGGCAAGTTCGTGCCAGAGCACTTGGACCCCCGCCTCTGCACGCACATCATCTACGCGTTCGCCTCGCTGGACCCCGAGACCCTGACCCTGCAGCCCTTCGACACGTGGGCCGACATCGAGAGCAGTGAGTAGAGGCCCTTCGAAACCGAAAACCCTCCGCATCCGCCTGGTATCGAACCCGCGCCTGCTGTCCTCAGACTTCTACGACCGCGTGACGGCGCTGCCGGACCCGCGCAAGGGCCGCGCGGACCAGCTCAAGGTGATGCTCTCCATGGGCGGCTGGACGGACTCCACGGGCTCCAAGTACTCGGACTTGGTGTCCAAGCCGTCGGCGCGCGCCGAGTTCGTGACCGAGGCCGTCTCCTTCCTGCGTCGCCACAACTTCCGCGGCCTGCAGATTGACTGGAACTACCCCAAGTGCTGGCACTCCGACTGCCGCAAGGGCCCCGCCTCCGACAAGCCCAACTTCACCAAACTCATGCAGGTGCGTGCCCGATCCATCAAATAATGTACTGAACTTTGCGGGGGCGGCATTTTAACCGAGTGGTCTGCAGGAGCTGTACGCGGCCTTCAGCAAGGAGAGCCCGCCGCTGACCCTGGCCGTCGGCCTGTCCGGCTACAAGGAGATCATCGACAACGCGTACGAGCTGGCCGAGCTGAGCAAGGTGGTGGAGTACATGACCGTCATGTCGTACGACTACCACGGCAACTGGGAGGCCAAGCTGGGCCACGTGAGCCCGCTGTACTTCCGCGACGGCGACCGCAACCCCTACTACAACACGGTGAGTCCGCGTCCGCGGAGACGAGGCGAGGCACTGCCAAAGCGGGCTGGCCGCAGTCAACCAACGGCTTGCTGTCCTGCAGAACGCGACGCTGGAGTACCTGGTGAGCCGCGGCGCGGACCGCAGGAAGCTGCTCCCCGGCGTGCCGTTCTACGGCCAGTCCTTCACGCTCAAGGACAAGGACATGGCGGACCTGGGCGACCCCGCCGACGGCCCGGGAGAGGCTGGCGAGTTCACGCAGCAGCCAGGCATGCTGGCGTACTACGAGATCTGCGATCGAGGTGCGTTCCGACGGCGGCAGCAGGGCTTTGTTCACGAGCAATGAGTGAGCGGACTGTGACCGGGCGCTGTTCGTGTTCCAGTTCGGAGGAAGACGTGGAGGGTGGGCAAGGACAGCCGCGGCGCCACCGGTCCCTTCGCGTACTCCGACACGCAGTGGGTGAGCTTCGAGGACGTCTCCTCCGTCAAGGCCAAGGTAGGCAGTCTCCAGACGGACCCAGTGGTGGCCGCAGGCCGATCACTCTGAGTCCAGAGGCACGCGTAGAGTCGTCCTGGCTTGGTGTGTAAGCGTTCCCCCTGGTGCCGCAGGCGCGCTTCGTCAAGAACATGGGCTTCGGCGGCGCCGTGGCCTGGACCGTGGACCTGGACGACTTCAGCAACCGCTGCTGCCTGGAGCCGTTCCCGCTGCTGCGCGCGCTGAACCGCGTGCTGGGCCGCCTCGCCGAGGACGAGCCCGCGGAGGGCGACTGCACGCGCCCGCCCACGCCCGTCACGCCCGCGCCCCCCGTCATGACCACGGGCGTGGACGCGGGCGAGGCCGCCGGCGGAGCCTCGTCCACGACGTGGCCCAGCTGGCAGGAGGGCGACCCCTCCACCACGGACTCCACCACGACCTCCACCACGTCCTGGCCGAGCTGGCAGCCGGACACCACCACGTCCACGCCCGCGCCCTGGGAGGCGACGTCCACCACCGCCGCGACCACCACGACGACGGAGCTGCCGTCCTCCACCATCGCGTCGCCGCAGCCGCCGACGCCCGCCCCGACCTCCACGGTGGAGCCCGAGGCGTGCAACAGCGGGGACTACCTGCCGGACCCCAGCAACTGCAACGCGTACTACCGCTGCACGCTGGGCGAGCTCAAGAAGCAGTACTGCGCGGCGGGGCTGCACTGGAACAAGGAGGCCAAGGTGTGCGACTGGCCCACCGAGGAGAGCTGCCCGTCCCGTGAGTACTGATCACCACCATCATCAGTTCAAGTGAACTTGGCTTTTTGGGGGGCATTTCGGTCATGCCGTTCACTGCAACTATCTCCGTTTTCAGAGTCCGCCGATGCGACCACGGCCTCTACCAGCCCCACGTCGATGAGCACAAGCACGACGACGACGACCTCCGCCCCGTCAACGACGCCCATCGTGTGGTGGTCGCCGGAGTCCACGACGTCCACCACCACGCCCTCCACCACCACCAACGAGTGGTGGACGCACTCCACCTCGGAGCGGCCCGACGAGTGGTGGACGCCGAGCACCACCAGCACCAGCACAGTGGCTCCGTCGTCAACCTCTCAAGCGACTTCCGAGGACAACGCGTCGGTAAGTGAGCCAGGGCGAACGCGGGCACGCTCCGGGGGGCTCCGATCATGGCCTCATGAACCCCGTCGGTCCACAGGAGCCGTCGACGGCCGCCCCCGGCGACTGCAACAACGGCCAGTACTACGCCAACCCCTCGACGTGCGAGAAGTTCTTCATCTGCGTCAACGGGCAGCGAGTGGAGCAGCACTGCGCGTCGGGGCTGGTGTGGAACCAGGACACCAACATGTGCGACTGGCGCTTCAACGTCAAGTGTGGGGATGACGAGCGCGACGACCGTGAGTGCTGTCCGCTGGCCTGGCCGCTGACCCGGCGGGGTGCGCGGCGAACCTTCTGTGTGTTCTGTGCTTGCCGTGCCACGCTTCCTAGATCGTAGGCGACCGCCTCCGGCGCAGATACCCCGCGCGCCTTGAGGCGCCAAGGCGAGGGGTATCGGCGCCGCGGGGCGCGCTCTGTGCTAATCTAATCGGTGTTCTGTGGCGTTTTGAGGCGTTCTGTGTGCAGCAGGTTCTTCCCTGGCGGTGGATCCGGCAGGCTAATCCTCTTCCTCCAAGTCCTTCCCCTTCCCCCACTAAAACGGAAACAAAACGCCCTGACGGAGACTCCCTTACGCTTGCCCCGCCCCATTTCCTTGCCAGACTTACAATGTGTGTGCGCCTGTGTGTGTCTAACGTTCCTGGTACTCTTAAGACCTCTGACCTTAACACCACCCGGGGGTAGGCCGTCCGCACCACTGCCTTGCTTGACGGGCTGCTACCCGGCAGAGATGAGAAAAGTGACTTGCTCCCGAGTCTGCGTAAACGGTGTGATTTGTGGGCTTACCTCAACTTACCTCAAAAATTTTATTTCTATTTAATGTTTTTTAAGAGTTAAATCTTTGACCGTTGACGAGATAAGGCACCTGTACCTCGAAGGCGGTCACACGGCGGGCCAAGAACGGATCTCTTTTCTCATCCCTGGTCGCGCCCCTTGGACTTGGCGGCCGTCCCTAACAGCGTGTTCTGCTAGTTGTAGTTCGCGGCGGCGAGTCGGAGTGCATGATGGGGGAGTTCCGCAGCGACACGGACTGCAGGAAGTACTACATGTGCGTCCACGGCGAGCTGGTCGCCTTCAACTGCGCGCCCGGCCTCCAGTGGAACAAGGTTGGCCTAGCGCACAAAGTCTTGGTTTCCGAGAGACTGTGACTGCCTCGATTCCATGAAATTCACCCCTCACCGCGCTTTCTCGGGCCCGCAGAAAAAGAACATCTGCGACTGGCCGACGGACTCGGACTGCAAGGACGTGATGCCCGAGGAGAAGCCCCCCAGCAACCTGAACGAGGAGCGCCCCGTGGAGGCCGCCAAGCCGGACGAGAAGCCTGACGTGGGGGAGACGTTCCCCGACCCCGACAGCTCCAACGAGGCCGGCACCGAGGTGGTGGGGGAGACGGACGGCTCCGAGTGGGCCACCTGGAAGCCCACCACGACCACCAAGAACCCCTGGGCGTGGGAGCCCACCATCGTCACCCCGGCCCCCGTGGTCGACAACGACCCCCTGCCGGAGCTCTCGGGTAAGCCCCGTTCGAAATGCTAGTTTCCCCCCGAAAGTCGCCCTCCTGTCACGTGCTTCGCTCCTCAGGCTACTACAAGATCGTGTGCTACTTCACCAACTGGGCGTGGTACCGCACCGGGCAGGGCAAGTACCTTCCCGAGGACATCAACGCCAACCTGTGCACGCACATCGTGTACGGCTTCGCCGTGCTGGACTACGAGAGCCTCGTCATCAAGGCGCACGACTCCTGGGCGGACTTCGACAACAGTGAGTAATCATTTCAATATTACGTACACTGCCAATCCATCGCTAAGTTTGCTTGCCGAATGTTGGCATTCAAAACGGGGTGCCACTGGAGTTCCAAGCCATCTTAGCGGTCCGATGGATTTGCAGTCGCCCAAACTCATTTATGAACCCTTTGCGGCGCTCGATTCCAGAGTTCTACGAGCGCGTCCTGGAGCTCAAGAAGAGGGGCAAGAAGGTGACGCTGGCCATCGGCGGCTGGAACGACTCGGCGGGCGACAAGTACAGCCGCCTGGTGAACAGCCCGGCGGCGCGGCGACGCTTCATCAGGCACCTGCTGGACTTCCTGGACCGCTACGGCTTCGACGGCCTGGACCTGGACTGGGAGTACCCCAAGTGCTGGCAGGTCAACTGCGACAAGGGCCCCGACTCGGACAAGAAGGCCTTCGGCGAGTTCGTGCGCGAGATCCGCAAGGCCTTCGACGTCCAGAAGCGCAAGCTGCTGCTGTCGGCCGCCGTGTCGCCCAGCAAGACGGTCATCGACGCAGGTAGGGCGACGACCCTGGCGATACCCCGGCGTGCGCCGAGTGCGCGCCTTGCCGATACTCCACGCGCCCCTCTTGTGCCGCAGGATACGACGTGGCCGCGCTGGCCGACTCCCTGGACTGGGTGGCCGTGATGACCTACGACTACCACGGCCAGTGGGACAAGAAGACAGGCCACGTGGCGCCCATGTACTTCCACCCCGACGACGACTTCTACTTCTTCAACTCCGTGAGTCTAAGTGGCGGATGGCGTCTCCCCCCTCCCACACATGCCGCCAGCCGCTGAGCCCGAACCTTGTTGCAGAACTACACCATCAACTACTGGATCCAGGAGGGCGTGCCGCGCCGCAAGGTGGTGATGGGCATGCCGCTGTACGGCCAGTCCTTCCAGCTGGCCGAGGCCTCCACCAACGGCCTCAACGCCAAGGCCCCGGGCCCCGGCACCGCCGGCGAGTACACCCGCGCCGCGGGCTTCCTCGCGTACTACGAGGTGGGTCCCAAGTGTCAGAGTTTCACGACAGCCGCCTGGAACCACAACGGGCACCTTTCTGACTAGGTCACTGCCCCCAGATTTGCGACCGAGTCAAGAACCGTGGGTGGACCGTGGTGCAGGACCCGCAGAAGCGCATGGGCCCCTACGCCTTCCTCGGCAACCAGTGGGTCAGCTACGACGACGTGGACATGATCCGGCTGAAGGTGAGGGCGTTGGACTTGGAACCGCTTAACTTGACCTGAGCTGAGCTAACCGTGTCCCTTGCCATGCAGTCCCAGTACATCCGCGACATGGACCTGGGCGGCGGCATGATCTGGGCGCTGGACCTGGATGACTTCCGCAACTCGTGCGGCGAGGGCCGCCACCCGCTGCTCAAGACGATCCGCAGCGTGCTGGGCCCCGCCAAGGGCGCCGCCGGCGTGGAGCACTACATCGACGCCAGCACCGCCAAGCCCGAGACGCCCGGCATGGAGAAGCCGGAGGCACCTTTGAAGCCCGAGGTCAGCCCCGTGGTGGCCGAGCCCGACTCGTCCACGGCCAAGCCCGACTCGTCCACGGCCAAGCCCGACGCCACCACCGCCAAGCCCGACAAGGAGCAGCACAAGAAGCCCGACGAGGGCGAACACCCCGTGGGCAGGCCGGGCGACTTCAAGGTGGTGTGCTACTTCACCAACTGGGCGTGGTACCGGCAGGACCTCGGCAAGTACCTGCCCAGCGACATCGACCCCGACCTCTGCACGCACATCGTGTACGGCTTCGCCGTGCTGGACGGCGAGACGCTCACCATGAAGCCGCACGACTCGTGGGCCGACATCGACAACAGTGAGTTTCCCTCGGGTAAGAAACCTTGTCACCGACCTTCAACCCGTTTCACGCTCTTTCCCCGTGTGTGCAGACTTCTACGAGAAGGTGACCGCGCTCAAGAAGAAGGGCGCCAAGGTGACGGTGGCCATCGGCGGCTGGAACGACTCCGCGGGCGACAAGTACAGCAGGCTGGTGCACAGCTCGTCGGCGCGCGAGCGCTTCGTCAAGGACGTCGTGGAGTTCATCAAGAAGTGGAACTTTGACGGGCTGGACCTCGACTGGGAGTACCCCAAGTGCTGGCAGGTGAGTAAGGCTTCTAGGACACTCTCCTCGTTGACTCGAGCGGGCGCTAATCGGTCGCCTCGCCCTTCGGCTGCCTTCGGCCCCAGGTCAACTGCAAGCTGGGCCCCGACTCGGACAAGGAGAACTTCGCGGCCCTCGTGAGGGAGCTGCGCGCCGCCTTCAACCCCGACGGACTGCTGCTGTCCGCCGCCGTGTCCCCCAACAAGGCGGTCATCGACGCGGGCTACGACGTGCCCGCCCTGTCACGCGACCTGGACTGGATCGCCGTCATGGCCTACGACTACCACGGCCAGTGGGACAAGAAGACTGGCCACGTGGCGCCCATGTTCGTGCACTCGAGCGACTCGGACGCCACCTTCAACACGGTCAGTGCAGTGCAGGTTGCCTCACTGGTACAACTGAAGCCTTACTGTGCTTTACGCTGCCCCTCTCTGCCCTGCAGAACTTCACCATCGACTACTGGCTGTCGCAAGGCGCGGACAAGAAGAAGCTGGTGCTGGGCATGCCGCTGTACGGGCAGTCCTTCAGCCTGGCGGACAACAGCAACCACGGCCTCAACGCGCCCACGTACGGCGGTGGCGAGGCCGGCGACTTCACCCGCGCCAGGGGCTTCCTGTCGTACTACGAGGTGAGCTCAGCGTCCGTCCTCGCTCCGGCGCGCTCTGGTGCTCGATGCTGAAGCTGGTCCTTCTCCCGCAGATCTGCTACCGGGTGCAGCGCAAGGGCTGGACCGTGGTGCGCGACCCCACCGGCGCCATGGGGCCGTACGCGTACAAGGGCGACCAGTGGGTGTCCTTCGACGACATCGACATGATCCGCTTCAAGTCGGAGTGGGCGCGCGACATGGGGCTGGGCGGCGGCATGATCTGGGCCCTGGACCTGGACGACTTCACCAACCGCTGCCACTGCGAGGCGTACCCGCTGCTCAGGACCATCAACCGCGTGCTGCGCGGCTACAGCAAGGCCGACCCCAAGTGCTCGCTGGAGAAGGAGAACAAGGACCACGACGGCGACGACAGCAACGTCGTGGAGAGCGTCGGGGAGGCCGACCTGGCCGGTAAGCTGAAGACTGGGCGGTGAGAAACCTCTTTCCACTGTGACGTTGGCGGTACTTGAACACGCGACACTTTCCCGCAGGCAACACCGAGTCGGTAAGCGTGGACACGGCGGGCGAGAGCGCGGGCATGGAGTGCGACGCGCAGAGCGCGGCCTTCAAGCCGCACGAGACGGACTGCAACAAGTACTACACGTGCCAGCACGGCTCGCTGCTGCTGCTGTCCTGCCCCGTGGGCCTGCACTGGAACGGCGGCCTCTGCGACTGGCCCGAGAACGCCAAGTGCAAGGTCAGCAACGGGCCGGACAACATCCCCACCACCACCACGGAGGCGCCCATGGACGCCGTCACGCAGCCCGCCGTCAACCCCGTCAACCCCGACGACGTGGCTGTGCCGCCGCCCTCGGAGGTGCAGAAGCCCGCCGGCAACGACGAGTACAAGGTGGTGTGCTACTTCACCAACTGGGCGTGGTACAGGTAAGGACTGAGGGAGTCGCCAGTTCGAAATTCGCGACTGGAGCGCCAGAGACGCGTCGCAGGGCGGGCGGCCGCATCTAGCCCTTAATGGTAATGGTACGGCCGGTAGGCAGTCCCGTTGCGTACCGGTGCTTGCGGGCTGCCTACCCCGTCCCGTGGCAGGGGCTCAGTGGAGAGAAACTGAAGCTGATTTGTGCGGCGCAGGCAGGGCGTGGGCAAGTACACGCCCGACGACATCGACGGCGACCTCTGCACGCACATCACGTACGGCTTCGCCGTGCTGGACGGCCCCACGCTCACCATCAAGCCGCACGACTCGTGGGCCGACATCGACAACGGTGGGTAACTTACTGTCCGGGGTTCGAATCCCGCCGGGGAGGCGGCTTCGAGTGCGAGACTTCGCGGTGCTGACTGTTTTCCTGTTTTCTTTCGGCGCTTGGCAGACTTCTACCAGAAGGTGGTGGCGTACAAGAAGAAGGGCATCAAGGTGCTGATCGCCATCGGCGGCTGGAACGACTCCCTGGGCGACAAGTACAGCCGGCTGGTGAACGACCCCGAGGCCAGGCGCCGCTTCGTGAGCAGCGTCGTGCAGTTCATCGAGAAGTACAACTTCGACGGGCTGGACCTCGACTGGGAGTACCCCAAGTGCTGGCAGGTGGGTGGAAACCGGGCTGTGTTTGACGAGAACCAGGCGGCCTCCGCTAACGTCCTGCCCGTGTCCAGGTCAACTGCAACCTGGGCCCCGAGTCCGACAAGGAGGGCTTCGCGGCTCTCGTCACGGAGCTGAGCCTCAAGTTCAAGCCCAGGGGCTGGCTGCTCTCCTCCGCGGTGTCGCCCAGCAAGCTGGTCATCGACGAAGGTAAGCTCCAGAGGGCTGCTTTTTTTGCTTACCTTGAAAAGGGAGGAAACTGTGCTAACGCACCCCGCGCTGCCCCGCGGCTGCAGGCTACGACGTGCCCACACTGTCGCGCCACTTCGACTGGATCGCCGTCATGACCTACGACTTCCACGGCCACTGGGACAAGCAGACCGGGCACGTGGCGCCGCTGTACTACGTGCCGGGCGACACCTTCGACTACTTCAACGCGGTGAGCGCCGTCTTTAACTTGCACACTGCAAACTATGCCTTTGATTTACCAGCGCAGGGACTCGAATCCACTAACCACTGCTCCTCAACAGAACTTCACCATGCACTACTGGATGCAGAAGGGCGCGGACCCCAAGAAGCTGGTGATGGGTATGCCGATGTACGGGCAGTCCTTCGCCCTGGCCGACACCGACCAGCGCGGCCTGAACGCCAAGGCCTACGGCCCCGGCGAGGCGGGAGAGTTCACGCGCGCCGGTGGCTTCCTCGCGTACTACGAGGTTCGTTTCAAGCTTGAAGCTCCGACAAACACGGAAAAAATACTTTGTTGTGGTGCGACCAGTAAGTGACCACTCGTCGCTGTCCGCAGATCTGCGACGACGTGAAGCGCAAGGACTGGAAGGTGGTGCGGGACCCCGAGGGCCGCATCGGCCCGTACGCCTACAAGGGCAACCAGTGGGTCAGCTACGACGACGTGGAGGACATCCGGCGGAAGGTGGGTGCTCCAGCGTGCACATGCCCAAACCTCGAAAGGTGAATGGAAGGTAATGTCCGCTCTCTGTCTTGTCCCCGCAGTCCAAGTTCGTGAAGGAGCTGGGCCTGGGCGGCGGCATGATCTGGGCGCTGGATCTGGACGACTTCAGCAACCGCTGCGGCTGCGGCCACCACCCGCTGCTCAAGACCATCAACCAGGAGCTGCGGGGGCTGCCCTACAGCACCGTCAACTGCACCTGAAGGGCGCGTCCCAGCCCAGCGACGAGCGCGGGATAGTTCGAAAATTAGAGCGAGAAAACAAAAACAAAAGGGTTGAATCAAGCGAATTGAGGACGGACGCTGCTCGTCGAGCACCTTTTTGTGTACCTTACAGTGGAGTGTCTCTCAGTGCAGCTGTTTCACCCGACTGAGACCCCGCAGTGCCTTCGAGTGCGGGGGCTGCCCGCCCTCATTTTCTGTGATAGAGCCTCTGCAGTGTGGCGGGCCTGGCGGGCCTGGCGGGCCGCGCGGCCGCGCCGAGGCCGCGACACTGCCTGCCTATGGCGATACCGCCGGCGCACCACCACGGCGGCCGCGCAACTTTCTCCAATTGAATTAACGGTGGCGTGACCTTCTGTCCGAGTGCAGAGCGTGCAGAGGGACGAGATGACACCGCCGGGGCGACAAGCTCATTCTTGCCGTGGCGGTCTCAAAATGCAGACAAAAGGATCCCTCTTATTCATTCGCTTCTTCATTTTAGTTTTCTGTTTGATGGTAGGTTAGTAATTATTGGCTGTTTCTAATTCCCTTGATGACGTTTGATTTTCATTACTGTTGTTTTCAAGGAGGGTGAAAAATAAAGATAAGACTATAAACATGTACCCTCTGTTTTATTTTCCCTCTCTTACTTTTCTTCGCGAAATGTCCAAAATGTGGGACGAACCGAAGTTGCCGATTTTCGCACCCTTACATGTAATTTCTCCTTTCTCTCAATTAGTCTCAGACAATCTGTGCGCTATGGAAATCGTGAGAACGATAGATTTTAACGGCAACCTTCACTGAGGTCAGACGGGTCAGAACCAATGAACTCGAGCCAAAGGCAAGGGCGAGCCTCCTGTACAGTTCGTCGGGCCTAGCCTCGTCCCAGGCCCAGTCCCAGGCAGTCCTAGGCAGGGAGCCTGACGGCGCCTTGCGCTCGGGACAGGCAGGGGAGCCAACCACCTGCAGCCTGCAGGTCGTCGGCAGGAACACGCATTTCGGCGTTTGGGTTTTGGGGTCATTCCCCGGCCTGGCCCGGCCCGGCGGACACGCCGGCATGCCATGGGAATTGTGGGGCCGGAAAAGTGACGTGCGCGGCCAAGGCAAGCAAAGCCAGGCAATGCTCCCTCCTCGCGAGGGGACGGAATGGCCAAGGAATCAAGGCTGCGAAATTCACGGTGGGCCTGTGGCAGCCTGTGGCCAGCGAGAAACACCGCCAAAGGGGTCGAAAGTATACTTGAGCCCCCTTCCACCTGTAAAGACGCCCACGTGGCCGAGTGGCCCTGACTGCAGGCCACAATGCCACAGTCGTCACACTGCACCCTGGGCCGCCGTGACTATATTAGCAGTGTACACGTAATCCCGCGGCCCGCCCCGGCCCCGCCCTGGCCCGCCCCACCGCATATACTCCCTTATTGCGACACAGAGGCGCGCCACCCGCCGCCACCCGCCAGTAGTAAGGGACCCCCCTTACTACTCCCGCCGCCACCCGCCGCCGCGCCCCGACAGTCCGGCACCGCGACGGCAGCGACGGCAGCCCCTGCCCCGGCCGACGCCCCGGTACCGCCACGGCGCGTCGGCCTGCCTCGGCCTGCCCCGGCCCAGGACGACGCCGATCGCCGCGACAGTCGCACGGACGCCCCGGGCTCCAGTCCCCGCCAAGCACGGCCCAGGTACGTACCTCGGGAAGGCCAAGACCCCGGCCGGCGCGCCCTGTGCACAAAGAATGCCATGAGGACGCCGAAGTGACTTCAACTTTCGATAAAACAACGCAGCGTCCCTCCAGGAGGCGACTTGCTGTCGTTTCCGCACCGAACGTGGCCGGCAGCTTCTTTTGTCTCTATCTCTTCGGCGTTGTTGCAGTCCGGGCGGTCCACGCAACATGGCGCTGCTCCTGAGGAGGGCGCACGAGCTCTACAGGCACGTCTTCGACGAGCTGAGCGGTGAGTACCGAGACTAAGGGGGGCTAAAGATTAAATTTACGAATCAAAGGTTTTTGGAACAAGTAGCAGGAGAAGTGACAATGTCATCCCTTTCAGGTGAAACTATGTCACGTTCGAGTCGTTCTGGAACTGAATACAAGCAGATTACCGGATTTTCGTTTAATTTTGTTGAAATTCGCTTCAATTTGATTTGAGTTTGGAAAATAACACTACACGTCAGAAAATGGTTTCTTGAACCGAGACAATTTACTTGCAATGAAACAAATGATCTTAATTCAAGAAACCACTCGTTTGTGTGCATGCCAGTGAAAAGGGCAGTGTTGGTTTCCGGTTTGGCAGACCCGCGCACGTCGGAGTGGTTCATGGTGGGCGGGCCGGCCAATGTGGCCCTGCTCTTGACCGCCTACCTGTACTTCGTGCTCAGCCTGGGGCCGCGCCTCATGGAGCACCGCAAGCCCTTCAACCTGGACAAGATCATGATCGTGTACAACGCCCTGCAGGTGGTGGCGAGCTTACATGTCGTCAGGGAGGTGCGTTCTGGACGCTGATGAAGTGGAGTACATGAATTTTTTTTTTCATTTGGGTTTTGGTGTTTACGATCTACTCAACTCTTGCCCCAGGCCCTGATCCTCTATTTCTACGACGGATACAGCCTTTTGTGTCAACCTGTGGACCACGGAACCAGCGAATCAGCCATGCGAGTAAGTTCGGCGATGTACGGCGTGGCGGCGTGGCGGCGTGGCGGCGTGGCGGGGCGCTGGACTCGTGTTGCAAGACGGCGCGGCGGCCGGTAGCCCTCACGCCGCGGCGCACCGCGGCGCACGCCCCCGCCTCGCCGACCGCCCTTTGGACCGACGCCCCACCCCGCCCCGCCCCACCCCGCCCCGCCCCGCCCCGCCCCGCCCCGCCCCGCCCCGCCCCGCCATTCCTGCAAACTCATTTCCTTCCATGGCACGGGGCACCAGGAGGCCTGTAAAGTCTGTAAAGTTCACGCCTCCTCCTCCGCCCAGGAGATTTCCTGCCCTCCGATGCTGTCTACAGCAGTGGTTCTCAACCTTAGGGTCGCGACCCCAAGCGGGGTCGCGAAATTTTTTTAAGGGGTCGCGGCGATGCTGGGGTCGTGTTTTAGGCCGATTTTAAGCAGCCACTGCGTCTGATCCGAGGCGGGCATTTTGCTCCCTCAACGGGCAACTGGTCTTTGGACCTTCCTTTAGCATGCCTTTGTTACGGAGTGCAATTATCAGTCTTAGTTTGGGAGCAGTATTGTCTCAAAGTTGGCCAAAACGCTCAGAAATGTCTTTGAAAAATCGTGTTTTGGGCCGATTTTAAGCAGCCACTGCGTCTGATCCGAGGCGGGCATTTTGCTCCCTCAACGGGCAATCGGTCTTTGGACCTTCCTTTAGCATGCCTTTGTTACGGAGTGCAATTATCAGTCTTAGTTTGGGAGCAGTATTGTCTCAAAGTTGGCCGAAACGCTCAGAAATGTCTATGAAAAATCGTGTTTTGGGCCGATTTTAAGCAGCCACTGCGTCTGATCCGAGGCGGGCATTTTGCTCCCTCAACGGGCAATTGGTCTTTGGACCTTCCTTTAGCATGCCTTTGTTACGGAGTGCGATTATCAGTCTTAGTTTGGGAGCAGTATTGTCTCAAAGTTGACCAAAATAGTCACAACGATTTTTCAAAGACACTTGCGACCGTTTTGATCGACTTTGAGACAATACTGCTCCCAAACTAAGACTGACAATCGCACTCCGTAACAAAGGCATGCTAAAGGAAGGTCCAAAGACCAATTGCCCGTTGAGGGAGCAAAATGCCCGCCTCGGATCAGACGCAGTGGCTGCTTAAAATCGGCCCAAAACACGATTTTTCATAGACATTTCTGAGCGTTTCGGCCAACTTTGAGACAATACTGCTCCCAAACTAAGACTGATAATTGCACTCCGTAACAAAGGCATGCTAAAGGAAGGTCCAAAGACCGATTGCCCGTTGAGGGAGCAAAATGCCCGCCTCGGATCAGACGCAGTGGCTGCTTAAAATCGGCCCAAAACACGATTTTTCAAAGACATTTCTGAGCGTTTTGGCCAACTTTGAGACAATACTGCTCCCAAACTAAGACTGATAATTGCACTCCGTAACAAAGGCATGCTAAAGGAAGGTCCAAAGACCAGTTGCCCGTTGAGGGAGCAAAATGCCCGCCTCGGATCAGACGCCGTGGCATGTTAAAGGAGGGGTCCCGTGGGGTCGCGAAATTTTTCCTGGGGGTCGCGGAAATTTTTGGCTTCAAATTTGGGGTCGCGAGCCGAGAAAGGTTGAGAACCGCTGGTCTACAGCAAGTGGATCCAGGGTGGATCTAGAGAGGGGAATTTTTCGACTTTGCCCCCTGCCAAATCTGCACCTCAAGTGTACGGGCGCCGCCCTAGATCCAGATCCAGGGCGCGCGGGGCCCGCTGCCGCGCACTGCCGGCACTGCCACTGGGCTAGGGCCACGTGGTCACGGTGCGCGCCGGGCTCATGCATAGGCATACTGCCGCGTGAAAGTAGATTTGAGCGGCTGCAATATCGTCCAATCGCCGACACACGGGGGCACTATCACAGCGCGCCGGAGCGCGTCGCATAAGATGCCACTTTTTGCAATTTTGTATCCCTTGTTTCTGTTTCCGTTCAGGCTGCCGCCGGCTTCTGGTTCTACTACATGCTTAAAATAGTGGATCTCCTCGACACGGTGAGTACGAGCTTCGGATCTACTAGGGAGGGGTGAATACGGACCCAGGGAAGTTGATGCTTGAATCTATGTTCGTGCCAGGTATTCTTCGTGCTGCGCAAAAAGTCGCGCCAAATCAGCTTCCTCCACGTGTACCACCACACTGGCATGATATTGATCGGCTACAACTCCACCAAGTTCCTGCCAGGTTAGCCAAATTTCAGCGAGCCTTTGGCACCCGTTGTCTCTCTTCAACGACTTGACCCGCTTTGTTTTCCAGGGGGCCATGGGGTGTTCGTCGGCTTGGCCAACTCCATTGTGCACGCCTTCCTGTACAGTCACTACCTCATCTCCATCCTCTACCCCAAGTACGCCAGGAACGGCTGGTACAAGAAGCACCTCACCCAGATGCAAATGGTACGCAAATTCAGACAATCCAAGAGATCGTCCTAACCAAACAAAACCTTTCTTGTTCTGCCCACCATGATGAGCAAGGTCCGCTAAAATCTATTTTCCTTCACGTTCAGGTTCAGTTTGCTATGATCGTGGTGCACTACACGCAGATTCTGTTCATGCCCGGATGCGCCTACCCCAAGTTCACCATCGCCGTCATCGTGCCCCAGAACCTCTTCCTGGGGCTGCTGTTCTACGACTTCTACCGTCGCACCTACTTCCCCAAGGACGCGAAGAAGAGACCCGAGACCGCTGTGACCGAGAAGACGGACTCGAGGGCGGCCAGCGCGGAGGTGGCCGCCGCTCTCAGCTCCGCCAAGGAGGCCGTGTCGCCGGACGCCAGCCAGGCGGACCGGCGGGCCGGCTAGGCCGCGGAGCCGAAGCAGCTGGAAACCGACTTGACATTGTTTTGGACGCTTGTCGGCGAGCCGGGTCTGTGGCGCAGGACGCGCCGGGGCACTGGCGCACCTCCCTGGTGACCCTGGCGACCCTGGCCAGCTGCGGCACTCCGGCTGGCTTCACAGTGCGCCATGCTGCCCACAGCAGTGGCTCTCCGAACAGCTCGTGGAGGCGGCAGCCAAGGCCTGCCAAATCGGCCCAGTTTACACCCCCGTGTTGTCGGGGTCGGGGGTGTTTTCGACCCTGTCGACAGTGGCTGCATGAAGGAGGAGCGAGAAGCAACAGCGGCATTTCGAGATCCAGGAATGTGCACGGTCGTGCGGACGTGAATCGTGTCGCGTTCGTTCGATTTCAGTATCACGTCCGTTCTAATGCCGATTCCGGGCTTGAGCTACGTCTGATTCCCATTTCATCGAACGTGACGTCACATTCCTGGATTGCTGGTGGGGCTACTACTAGTGCAACACATGTGTATACGTGGCGAGGACTGTATCGTTGGAGAAGCTCTCATTTCTCATATTGTGAATATATTGTAATGCGTGTGAATTAAAATGACCGCTTTTTGTACCTGTGCGCTCGCCTTGAACACGCCGAGATCCCCGGCAGTCCAAAGGGCGGGCAGGCCGTCACCCGGGCCGCCTAGGGGCCGCCCCGCCCCGGCGAGGAATAAATGAGGTTGGGGGGCGTCCTTAATCAGGCCACAAGGTGCCCGCCAGCGCGAGCCAAGCCGAGCCAGGCCGCCAGCGCCAGCCCCGCGGACATTGTCCCACATTGCGGCTCGCCGATTGGTCGGCCAGTCGGCCAGCGAGGTAAATGAACGGGCCATTGACAGAGAGGCACAAAGAGACGCGACACCGGGTTTGCCGCGTCAGTCTAGGAGGCGGTGGTTGGAGCCGCTGCTGCCCAGCCGCCGATCTGGCCCGCCCAGGCCCGCCCAGGCCCACCCCGCCAGAAGCAGCCGAAGCGCCAAGAAGAGCCCATTGCTCGTGGAAGCCTGCGGCCTGGCACTAATGCGAGAAACTAACAAAGATGCGACTAGAAAATTTCGATTTTGAACAAAAGACACTCAACAAGACACTCAACTCATCAGCCCTAAGTTTCAATTAATTAATGATTTGAACGATTGTTTCAACCATCATTCGTTTCATTGGTTCCCGGTCCAAAAACGAATTTAAATAAATTAGCTCCCCTCAAACCGCACCGCACCAGCGTGCCCCCTCCCCTCTCCCGCTCTGCTTCGCTTGGTATGGGCACGTGCCTAGGCTCCCTTTCGGTCCTTACCAGTCGTGATCCGATCGGCGACCGTTCCCCCTCCCCCTCCCCCTTCCACCTCCCGGGCGTTCCGGCGGCCCGAGTCCACAACCCCCACGCGGCGCCAAGGGGCACACCTTTGGGGCGTCCGAGATGAACCTGGCGGCGGAATGCAGCGGGCCGCGCGTCGCGATGCTGACTCCGCGTTCGCCGCCGCCGCTTCGCTGCAGTCCATGGAGACGCGCGCGGCCGATGCGACGACGGCGACGTGCGGGGCGACGCGGCGGCGGGATGCTCCGGGAGACCTTGCCGTCGGATGTAAACAACAGCCGTGACGCAACGGGGCGGGGCGGGGCGGGGCGGGGCGGGGTGCAGCGGGCGCCGAATGGAACCCTCCGCGGATTCGCGGGGGCTCGGCGCAGCGCGGGCGCGGCGCGTGCCAGTGTACTGCAGTGTCTAGGCCCACCGGCAGTGCGCCCCGGCTCCGGACCACCGAGACCGCCGAGACTTGCAAGACCGCCAAGACCGCCACCACGCAGTCCAGCCAGGTTGGTTTCTTGACTCCTCCATGCAGCCCTCGACCGCCAAGAGGAACTACTGGCTGGTGGCGTGCCCTTCCACCCTTTAGGCTTCTGCAGACCTCTGGCATTCGAGGCGCAAGCCTTCCCCCGCGAGGAGTATTGCCGCCCGGTCGCGTTGAGGACGGATGCGTGGAGTATCGACGCGGTGGGCGCCCAGCGGGTTGACCCGCAAACGGGCGGCGCCGTGCAGTGCTCGTTGACCCCGCACCGCACCGCACTGTCCGATTGGTATTGCCGCTTCCTTTCCCCTTCCTTTCAGCGGCCTTAGCATGCAGAACAATCAAATTAGACGAGCTTCCAAGTGGGTCAGCAGCAACGGCACGGCCCGGTCAAGAAATTGGTTCGCGTTTCCCGTTTTGAGCGGTGTGGGTGCCGAACGCGGCGCTCCAGGCCTCGGCCCCAAGGCGAAGGCCGTCGGCGTGCTCATCGGCCTTGTTCCAAATGACAGCACTTTGTTGCTGTGTTTGCGCGGCGTGGCGGCGTGGCGGCGTCGCGTGGCTCGATGCGTGGAATTCCCCGCGCGAGGCAAGCCGTCAAGCCGTGCCCGGCTGCTCTGCCTGCACTGCCTGCACTGCCTGCACTTACCGGCCGTTAGCAGTGGCGGGGCAGCGCACCGCGTCGCACCGCGTTGCCATTTGATTCACGACGCCGGGGCGGAGCGGCGTGATGCCACACGTGCGCGACGACGCCCGTCAACTCGAGAGCCAATTTCGGCGAGAAATACGCTCACGCACGCAGCACCTCCGCGATGTGGCGCTTCCGCGCGCCGCCCGGTGTAGTCCGGCCTCCGCGTCCAAGGTGCGCGAGGCTGGTGCCCCCACGAGGAGGATGCGGGCTAAAACAGGGGGTCGCCGGTCACCTGGGCATGCGGTGCTTCACGCTTCGCGCGCTTTCATTAGGTTTGAATTGGGCCGGCCGGCCTGCCTGGACGTCGTAGTGGCCGCGGTAAGGCCAGGGCGCGGGGCGCGGGGGCGGGGCGGGGCGGGGCGGCGGTGAGGACGCCCCACGGCCGCGGCTAGCGCGCGCTTGCGCCCCCGCGCCAGTCAGTCCCCTTATCACTCCCACGAGGTTGGCATCGGAACACGGAGAGCGGCTCCCCTGCGCCCCAGCGGTCCGGTGAGTGCAACCAGCGCAACGGTGGACCTGCCGCCCTGCCGCCCTGCCGGCCGGTAGCAGGGATGAGAAAAGTGACCATCTAGTAACTCGTAAACGGTGGGAACGAACGTCAAGCCCAAAATGACATTTGTTTTTGAAAATGTCATTCCATGGCTTGTTCTGGTTACCATTCACTAGAGACACTTTCGCATTTCGTAGCGGGTGGTAGCGGGTCACCTTTCTCGTCTCTGGTCGACAGAGTGGCGGCGGCAGCACTTCGGCAGCACCTCGCGCTGCGATTCGCCATTCACAGTGGTCGTGCAGAGGGCGGGACGGGCGGGTATCAAAATGCGGGTTTCGCAGATACTTAAACGAACTTCAGTTCCATTCGCGTTAGCCCACTTTGTTGCGTCAGGTAAACGTTCTCATCTTTTCCGTGCGTGCGTTAAGGTCTCGAGTCTTCCTTCACCTTTTTTCTCGGAAAGGGAGGACAAATATTGGCTGCAATTGTCTTGTTTTTTTTCCACGGTGCACACTTAGTCGGTGACCGGCAAGGCGCTCATGAATGACAAATTGGTAGAGATTGTCCTGAGTCGCACGGCCGGCTCGGCGCGGGGGCGGCGGGTCTGTGTGCGTGGCTCGGCCGGGCTCGGACCGCTCGGACGCCTCAGCGATCGGCTACGTCGGCGCCCGGAGCATGTCGCACGCAAATGAATGGCGGGGCGGGGCGGGGCGGGGCCACCCTCAGTGTCAAACTGCAGGGCAAGTTCGCCGCCCTTGGCCTGAGAGTGTCCAAGTCGTAGGAGCATTGACCCGAACCGACTTCCATTTCGCCACTGGCCACCATGTGTCCAATCTAGGCGACGGCGAGGGTCGGGTTGAGGCTTGCCCGGACGCTTCAATAGGACAGGTGGCGGCACTGCGCCCGGCCGGCCCGGCCCGAGGCCCGGCCACGCGGCCCCAACCTCGCTGGCCACCACGAGGATAGAGTCCGCAGCTCGACCCAGTCTCTGACGTATTTTGTCCTATGTTGCGCAGGCCTGACACACTACCACCATGGCGGCGTTAATATCATCGGCGGTCAAGTACTACGACTTCCTGTTTTACGAGCTGGCGGGTGAGTTGGTGGTGCTGTGAGGGCGCAAGAGTGTGCTGTCATGCAGCCCCCATGAAGCCCTACCTCTGTAAAAATAAATCTCCGGAATTTAAGAATTGGCACCTCTCTTTTGTTTTTCTGCTTAGACCCCAGGACGAACAGCATGCCCTTGATCGGCAACCCGTTCTACGGTCTCGCCATCATCGGCTTTTACCTCTACTTCGTCCTGAACCTCGGGCCGAGGCTCATGAAGAACCGGGAGCCGTTTCAGCTCAAGCCCCTCCTCACCGTCTTCGACATTTTCCAAATAGTGTCTAGTCTTATCATTTTCTACAAGGTGAGAGACGACCTACCTGGGGCGGCCCCATCTGCCTTTCTAACCAAAATCAAATCTGAACCGAAACTTTCTTCCAGTGCCTTACCTTAGGCTGGGGTCCCGGAGGTCACTACAAACTGATATGCCAGCCCATCGACTTCTCCGACGACCCACATGCAGTGGAGGTAAGTCCAACGACAAAGAAAACAAAACCAAAAGTTAAAACACCATATTAGCTTCTGCTAAACATCACTGTGCTGTGTCCCCAGATCGCCTGGTACGTGTGGTTCTACATGATGCTCAAGTTCATCGACCTGCTGGACACTGTGAGTAAACCCCCTTCCGGCCCGCGCCCGCCAGGTAGGCAACCCAGGTGCCGCTCGGACGGGTGCGCTCTGCGCGGTGCCGTGCCACTTGGGTTGCCTGCCTGCCGGCGCAGCCTGCCGCCGCACTGCCGCCGGTGTCGCTACACTAGTACTACGGCAGCCACGGCCAACGCGAAGGCGCTAAGGCTAACGGTGTCGCTTTGTCTCGCAGGTCTTCATTGTGCTGCGGAAGAACCAGCGGCAGGTGACGTTCCTGCACGTGTACCACCACACGGGCGTGGCCATGATGCTGTGGGGCGCCGCCAAGTACTTCCCGGGTACGAGTCTCTGCTTCGGCTTCAACACGCTTATCGCGTCGAAAAGACTTTGTTGTGATAGTTCGGTCGTCTGAATTCGATGGCCCCAATCGAAAACCCGGTCTTTTCATCTCGCGAAATTCCCGCGCTGTCCTCTAACGAGACTACGATGCCCTGACCGTTTCCAGGCGGCCACGGCACCCTGCTGGGACTCATCAACTCCTTCGTGCACGCCATCATGTACAGCTACTACCTGCTCACCACTGTCGCCCCCGACTACAAGAAGAACATCTGGTGGAAGGTGTACATCACAAGAATGCAGCTGGTAAGTTTCGGGCAACGCGTCAACGCGCGCGAAGCGAAGGCGCTTCCAGTGTGCGTCCGCGTCCGGGTCGCAGAGGTCGGAGAGGTCGGAGAGCGGCCGCCCGTTGCGCCATGCAGGCCATGTCGTGTCGCCCGGCCGTCCGGAGAGTGAAAGTTGAAAGCCATCCGGGGTGTGCCGCGAGGGGTGCACCACCGTGGGGCGGGGCGGGGCGGGGCGGGGCGCGTCTGGCGGTGCCGCGGCGTTTAGCGCCCCCCGCGACCGTCAAACGCCACAGGCGATCTCGTGGACGAGACCGCCAAGCCTGCGCGTGGCTGGACCGATTGAACACCGCTTTTCTGCCTTTCTGCCCCTCCAGGTCCAGTTCGTGATCTTGGGCCTTCACGCCGTGTCCGTCCTCCTGTACCCCAACTGCGAGTACCAGTGCAAGTACGTGTACTCCGCCATCATGGTGCCGCAGAACTTCTTCATGTTCATGCTGTTCTACAACTTCTACAGAAAAGCGTACGGCGGCAAGAGGAAGGCGTCGTAGGGGTGGAGGCCCTGGACTAGAGACTAAGAGTAGGACCAGATAGATCTCATACCTTGGCGACCTCGTCCCACAACGAAGGCACGTCCTGCGCGGCGTCCTCTTCGTTGCCAAAGAGGCTGCGTCTTTTAAATCTGAGGTGTTGTTTTCAATGATGTGTTATTCCTTCTCCACCTGAAGTATTCGTTATTAGGTTTTTTACGCGAGTGTTGTAATCTAGTGTGTTTCTATTTATAATCCTTCCCTGCGTCGACGGGGCTGTTCACTGTCACAGCAGTGTGGTTGCGCTTCAGTTTTCACGATCACGAACACGTTAGAAAAAGACATTAGAAATTCATAATTTTTTTTATGTAAACCTACGTTAAGGTAAAGCAATGGGAAAGCCATGTTCTTCTATTTATGCCTTGTGGTCATCCCGGACCGAATGCAGGTTCTTTATTTTGTTACCTGCCATTGTATCGTTTCACTTCGTTTTCGATAAGGAAAAGTGAAAACTACAAAACTGTTTGCGTGAGATTGATTGTGATGAATTAAATTTCTGTTTAAGGATAAACCAAGTGCGTCTTATTTTGACACCCCCTTCTTTACACTCACACATACTGACACAGCTAGACACTCACACATACAGACACAGCTAGACACACTTACACGCACGCTCACGCACACACTCACCGCGCTACAGCCGCGTGCCGCTAGGACGGGCCGGGCGCTCCGGGCGCGAGCAGCGCGAGGCATCCTGGACGGTGGCATGGCGCCATGATGGCACAGCGAGTCCCCGCGGCCCGAGCCGTGCATTGTCCACGCGCTACTTGCGCTACTGGGCCAGCCTGGGACTGCCGCCGATGGACCGCGGCACCGCGGCCGCTAGACGGTCGTTGCCTCCCCATTGTGACTATTGAGGCGCAGGCAGGCCACGCGGGGCACGGCGTCACGCCGGACCTGGTCCAGTTGGTCCAGCAGGCCGTCGAAGGCAGACGTGCAGGCACGTCCGCGGCGGCCGCCATGTAGGCCAGCGCGCAGGGGGCTGGCAGAGGGCATCGGTACCCGCCCAAGACGGATTTCCGGGCACCGTTGTCGCGGACGCCCAACATCTGCAAAGCCGCCTCGGCGGGCGCGGAGAGGCACGGCCTGCGGGCGTGGCCGTCGGGCCCGCCTGGTTTTCACCTCCACGATGTCGCCCCCGTGCCGCACCGCGCGGCGGGGCGCGGCCAGGCGGAGAAGGGCGACTCGGTGACGCCAGGCGCGAGCCGCACTGCCCCAACCACACCGGAGTAGCTCGCTACGCTACTCCCGGCAGCGTCCGAGGCATCCGAAACCGCCGTCGTCGTCGAACAGCTGTGCGTGTCCGCGACCGCCGCGCCCCCGCGTCGATACGGCCCGGCCCCGCTTCGGGCCAAGCCTGCGGCCTCGCGGGGCAGCTAGGCCCAGCCGGGACAGCCAGGTGACTTGCAGTGCAGGCGGGAGCCGCGAATCGCCCCGCCTTGCCCTCCTCGCGGCCCGCGGCCAGGGACTCGCTCTTAAGCGCTTGGCCCCCTTGAGATGGCCGTCGTCGTCATCAGCAGGGCCCGAAGTGCTCCCCTCCTCCCTCCAGCCATCCGGCGGCGTCCCGCAGTGCCCCGCAGCCGGTGCAGCGGCGTCGAGTGGCGTGCAGCCCGTCCCGTCGGCCCGACCACGGCCCGTCCATGGGCCCGTCGCTGACGTCACTCCAGTCGCGAGTCGCGGCACCACCCCCGAGGCCCCGGCCGCCCCGGCGGCTCGGCTCCGCGAAGCTCCGCGAAGCCCTTCGCTGGTCTCGGCTCGGCTCGCTCTCCCTGCCGCGCTCCACTCCGCTCGGCCCGGCCAGGCCCGGCCCGGCGCGCGCGGCTGTGTTCGCTTCGCGGCCTCGCGGGACGAGGGTTCAGTTCGTAGGGACGCCGCCAAGCTGCCGGAGGGACCGGAGGGACCGGCACCACGAGACCGCTGTGATCCAGCACAGCCCCCGCAGGACCACCCCGGTTGGTGAGTGTCCGCGTTCGCTCCACCTCCTGCGCCAGCTCGCCAGGCAGTCAGCGTGCACAGCCCCCGACCTGCTGCAGCAAAAGAATGGACTTCACCTCCTCCGGACTTTTCCAAATTAATTCGCCGGTCAGCGATGACGTCGTCCGCGGTTCCGCGGCTGCCCGGTGGCTGCAAGCGTGCTCTTGAGAGGCGCACGCACAGCGTCGTCGCGTCCGTTTCCGTCCACTTCGAGCCGGAGCGCCTGGAGGGCGGGCCGTGCCGCCGCGCACGCGTGTGCACGTGTTGCCTACCCTGGGACGTGGCAGGCGCCTCTCGAACTTAAGGTGCCAGGCGGAAAAATTTTAAGTGCGAATGCATTGTTACTTTTTTTTTTGAAAGGAGCGGCGTTGCTTGAACCAGGTACTAGTGCGGCGTGTGTGTGTGCGGCGTGCACCGTGGCGGGGCGGGGGCGGGGCGTCGCCGCCGTGCGCTCAATTTGCGGAAATGAGGCGCCGCGCCGCGCCACGCCGATGACGAGTCGCGACGAACGAGAGAATTATTTACGACTCGCGGCGCAGCGCGCGGCGCGATCACCAACTCGGCCGTGTTGATGGCGGTGGCGACGACGGCGGCCCGTGACGCAGCACAAGGCGCAGCAGGGCGGTGCCTTTCTTCGCGGCCCCGGGCACGCGGAGAAGGAAGACCGCGTGGCGTCGTCGCACCGCGTGCTGCGTGCGCGCAGTTTGCGTGGGACCAGGTCGACGTGGTCAGCACCGCGCCGCCGTGCGTCTTGCCGGCGTCGGCAAAGGCGGGCAAAGGCGACGCGGCGCTCGAGTTCGAGAGCACCACCTCTGGTCGCCGCGCCCTACGCCGTCGGTTTTCCAGAGTGCACTGCACTCCGCTCGACTCCGCCGCTGCCTCTGTCTCTGTCTTGGGGACGGCCTTTGGCTGGAGGCACTTGAGGGAAAGCGACGGCGCCGAGGTGGCCGAGGGGATGGCTTAAGCGCCCTCTGACTATGCGACGGCCACCTGCCGCATTCCGACGTGTAACGGTCCGGGTCAGTCGCGGGTCGCGCCACGCACTTCGGCACCCTCCTTTCGCTGCTCTCGCCGACCTGACTGACCCGCAAGCTTGCCCGCAAGGCTGCGAAGCCGGGCTTTCCTCCGGGCTGTCGACTTTCGGCTTTCGGAACGCGCGCGGAACGGTACGCGCAGGCCGGCAAAATCAGCCCCCACCCCAGGCACGCCAGGCACCTCGCCAGGCACCCTGTGCGCCCCCGGCGACGAGGCGGCGTGCGCAGCGCGAGCTTTGCTTTTTCGTTTCGGGCGCTGCGGTTCGGGGAGGGGTGGGGCGGGGCGGGGGAAGCGCCACTGACCCCCTCCCCCTTTCCGCTCATCGGGCCTGACGACAGTGTACACCCCCAGCCGGGTTCTCTCTTGAGAACGCTCTGCTCCTGTTGCAGACACCCACTCCGCACGCCACCATGTCGGCCATCGTGCAGACCGTCGTCAGCAACTACCATGACATCATCAGGGAGACCAAAGTCGGTAAGTAGAGTGCGGTTCTGACTGAGAATGACTAGAGTAATCAAAACGATAAAGAAAATTTCTGCCACCTTTCCCAGTAGGCGGGTTTCGATCCCCAGCCCCCTTCCCACTCAGGGCCATATTACTGGTAGTCAGAGTCTGCGTCACCCTGCCCAGCAGCGGAACCACTGGGCTATGAGAGGCACGCAGGTCGGAGGCCGATTTTGTATACTTGAACCGCCTTCGAGCGATGCAAGCTTGGTAAAAACATTCCAGATCGAACGGGAATCGAACCCCGAATTGTCATGTTGGGACCTGACGCCTCTCTGCTCTCGGCCACCGCGGCTCGTGTGAAAGCGTTCGTGGATGGAAGGCCTTGAAGTCATGGTTATTCGAACCGCAATGGTAGAGCCGGTAAAAATGTGTCATTGATGGGTTTCGATCGCCCGATCTGGGCGTCAAACACGGACACCTTGGTGAACTCGGCTATGGATTTTACTACGTGAGGCGATGGGTTTGAGGCAGCAGGCTTTCCCCGTGGTCCCCGGGCCATTCTCGCGTCCCCGTGTCCCCGTCCCCGTGGCCCCGTCCTGGTGCTGGCCATGCTGGCGCTGGTCCTGGTGCGACCCGCGCTGTCCCCCTTGGCGCCTTGGCGTCGCCGCTGCGCCGCTGCTGCTGATGCGGTACAGCAGGTGCCCCGGGTGCTTTGGGTACCCGCCGGTACCCGCGCACCGCGGACGAGTATAGCAAGTCACGGTGACAGTGGAACGGTTTATGCCTCTAACGGACGAGCGGCGCTCAGCCTCGTGGTGTATTGTGTTACTCTGCCAAGACGCGGATGGCCGGATGCTGCAGGACAGTCGCGCGGAGAATGGGCAGACTGCCTCCAGGCAACAGTGACGGTGGACACCGCGCCACCGCGGCGATGAGATGAGTCTCGCCCTCACGAAAACAACACTGCAACGCCGTGCCCGCGAGGGGAGACAGCGACAACGGGCTGCGCACTGCTGCCGCTGCGGGCGTTGACTCTTGCGAGAACGCTCACGATGGCCATTGCCAGCGCCGGACAGTTAACTCACACTCCTCTCGTTCCATAGGTTAGGTTAGGATAGGTTAGGTTAGGCCCTTGCCGGCCTGTTAACCCACACACCTCTGTCTCGTTCTTCAGACCCCATGGTGGACTCGTGGTTCCTCATGGGCTCCCCGTTCCCCGTGCTCTCCATCCTGGCCGTGTACCTGTGGTTCGTCCTCAAGGCGGGGCCCGCCTTCATGGCCTCCAGGAAGCCCTACGACCTGACACCGATCCTCATCCTCTACAACGGGTACCAAGTCCTCTTCAGCCTGTGGCTGAGCACTATGGTGAGTAGTGAATGCATTGCATCAGAGTAGCGAAAATTACATTCCCCCTCCCTTTTTACGGGTTAACCTAGTTTTAGTATTCGTGTCACGAGATAAAGTCCATCTTTTTCAGCCGTTGAGGGTGAACGCCATCCCCTACCTGCTGAAACACGGATGCCAGCCCAGTGACAACCAGCATAGCCCCTTCACCATAGCGGTGAGCATTATGACAGTGCACTTCCCTGCGTTCAATCACTCACAAGCAATAGCGGTCTCATTTTTTATTGCTGCCGTTTTTAGGTGTCAAATGGTGCCTGGTGGTACTTCTTCTCCAAAGTAATTGAGCTGTTAGACACGGTAAGGACGTCAAAGCGTGATTACCTGCAATAATCCGGCGTCCTGAGAGGCCTCATCAGTGTGTAAATATTGTTTTCGTTCCCGCAGGTCTTCTTTGTGCTCCGAAAGAAACAGAATCAAGTGTCGTTCCTGAACGTGTACCACCACACTGTCACCTGCCTCTTCTCGTGGTGCTACCTCAAGTACCTGCCAGGTCTGTCGATCATATGTGGCGGCTTGCGCGATCTCCCTCATTACTAAAGTAGTGTTTCGGGCGAATTCTAATGCTGTTTTATTTCAGGCGAGCAAGGTGTCGTGATCGGGTTCCTCAACTCCGTTGTCCACGTGGTGCTGTACACCTACTACCTCATTGCCGCTCTGGGGCCCAAATACAAGAAGTACCTGTGGTGGAAGAAGTACGTCACCAAGATCCAGCTGGTGAGTGACGATGCTATTGATTGATTGGACTGCACGTATTGCGAACTCTGAGCAGTGGTAGATCCCGGATTCCCCCCCCCCCCCCCCCCCCAATCCTCCGCCCGACTCTCAGCTGATGGGCAACCCTTCGTGCTCGCGTGCGCCGAGGCTGCGGGGCACGGGCTGCACGGGCGGCCCAGCCTCACCCTGCAGGACCCCCAATTTCAGAGGTGGCTGACCACTGACCACGTTTTCACGACTTGGCCGCCGTGTCTTCGTTTCCAGGCCCAGTTCTGCATCATGCTGGCCTACTTGGGCACGCTGCTCGTGTTCGACTGCAAGCTGCCCAAGTCCCTGACCTTCTTCTTCGTGGGCAACGTCATCATCTTCCTGTACCTGTTCGCGGACTTTTACCGGAAAGCGTACGCCAGACGGCCCAAGAAGGGCGCAGCGGGCGCAGTCGCTGTCCCGGACGCCAACGAGAACGAGAGCCTCGAGCACTCGCCGTCATCCACGCCGTCCCCGTCCAGCTCCAAGAGCGTGCACTTCCGCGACGTGTCCCCGTCCACGGTCTCGAGGCGGCACGCGCAGGCCAAAGGGCTTTAGCTGCTTTAGCGCAGGCCGGGCGATGAGTTATCAAAAGAAATTGTCAGTGTCTTGCCCTCGTCGCACTGTCGCGAGCACGCCGAGCACCGGGGACGGGACTCGGCCAACTCGCCCTGGAGTGCGAAAAGAAACCCCCCCCCCATGACGACGCGCAAGAAACGAAGATCGCGAGGGGAATGCTCCTTTTCTTTTTTACTTTGAGAGATTAGTGGGCCACATTTTGAGTGTTATTCTGTTTAAAAAGTTTGAGTTCCAATTACAGGAAGACTATGATCTCGAAGTGTTCGCAAGTTGTACGCGGCAGTTCTGTCGCATGCCTGGCATTCCCCTCAAGTGGCTAGGGAGTTTTAAGGCAGCCAGCATTCAACGATCCTTAAAGAATTTGTGCATTTTTCTGGTTAGGTAGGATATTTGAGGGTCCCAGAAACTCTCATTGATGTCCTTATAAATGTAAATTGTGATTGACAATGACTCTGTGTCGAGTCCTCTTAGGAAATGAATTAAGAATGAACAAAAAATAGTACTTATAACTTATTTATTATGAATGTTTGTGTCAAATGAAGAATTGTATAAGTTATTGTTAGAGAATAATTATAAAGCCTCACTATCTAATTTATGTTGAGACAATTTTGATTTTGAATCAAAAACAAACTCCTTCTCCTGGCCACATGGAAAATATAGGCTATAACTAAACATTGAAGCAACTTGAAACAGTAGTTTTATTGCACACATAAATAGCTACTTTGCAGTACAAAATATATTACATCAGCTAATAACACAGTGGTTTAAGTTGAGACTATAACAAATAATAAAAACCAAGGCACACATGCAATAATTTCTTAGGCACAAGCAGTCGGAATGATCTTGCTTTGAAATGTTCTGTAATTTGTGCAAACTCTAAAAAATTGTGAACTATATATCTGAAGATTTGTCTACATCTTGAATTGTCACTTGGTGATTTGATCATAACAGTATAAAATAGTTTAAAATCAATGAGTCACTTAAATACTGTAATGAGTCAATTTCTGATCACAGACAGGTCAAAAATTAACTTGCACATCTTGAGGTAACGCGCAAAACAAAAATTTGAAACAGTTTCGTATCATGAAGTACACTTCAATTGTCATCCAGGTTCACAACATTCAAGAAGGTATAATTACATATCCTCCTCATCATCAATATCAGAGTCCGAGTCTCTTCCTCTGATTGATCTCTTCGGATGATTGAGGATTGATTTGGTTTTCTTTTTCTTCTCTGGAGGGTTCAGCAGATCTCCTTTGTAGTCAATGACACCAGCGGTAGCTATCCTCCACTCAAGCATTTCGGTTGAAAAATCATCACAATTACCAAGATCGGTGAAGCCAACAATGAAATCCTTGGTCTTGCTGTCCTTAATTAAAGCCAATGTTGGAATCACGCGAATGCGCAACCGATCTAGGCAGATGACAAAGAACGAAAATTAACAAATGCACCACAATTGATGTATCAGGCTTTTCCAAGTGGTAAGGACCTACCTGTGAGGAAAGGTGCCTTCTCCACATTCAGACGAACAAATCGGGCCTCAACATGCTTTTGACAGAGAAGCTTCAAATGATGATCAACAATTTTACAGCGTGGAGAACCATCCTTGTAGAAGTGGCATACTATATCCTTAGATTTCTTTGATATTTCAAAGAACTCTTTTTCCTCATGAATCTCGGTATACTCTCCATGACCCTAAAAGATGAGAAAAGTATTGATTTGCAGATCATACATTTAATCAATAAAAGGCCATGAAAATAAAAATTCATACCATAGCAAGCCATTCTTGCCGCTTCTTTGCCTGTTCCTTGAGCTGTTTCATCCGATCACCACGAAGTCGCTCCATGTCGTCCATATCCATATTTTCCAATTTTTCAAGTTCAGAGTCAAGCTGTTGCTCAACATTTCGAGCAACTTCCATGACCTGACTCTTGATCAGATTTTCAATATCTGCACTCGCCATGGTGACACACTGCAAGTACAAAATCAGTTAAAAATTACCCAATGAGGCTAACCCTGAATTGAGATTGAAGCATTAAGGTATTATGGGTGACGAGCTGTTCAAAGTATGCTGTCGTCTAAAAAATAAAATTAAAAAACAAATTTTGCACATAACCCAAACTCTGCATGGGCCAGAGATGCATGGGACACCTGTGTTAATAATTGACAAGATTACTAAGAATATCACCTTGGGTTGGTTTTTGAAACAAAGAAAACCTCACCTTGCACTGAAACTGCTAAAATATAAGTCAAGATAGCAGCGAACAATGCTGTATTTCTGAAAGGTCTACGAATTATTGTTGAGGCACACCGTTCATTGACTGACTTGACAGCCTGCTTTTGTTGTTCGGTGTACGTTGTTGTTGTTGCCGAAGAAAAGCTACGGCAAGGGTGTCCAACCAAATAAAATGAAAGTATCTCAACAAAAAAGAGGGCGCTTATAAGGGATTAACAAGTTCCCAAGGGTACAAATTAAAGTCTTAGGTTTGGGGGCAACGAGAAGAAAAATCCTGGGTTTAGAATATGAAGCTTGGCTCTTCAAATTCAGTAGAGGATTAGGGTATGTTTTAATCTGTGATGGTGGACATGTAAAAGTCGGATGTATCAGAACGCGGTTTCAAATTTAAAACATCATACATCTTTTGTTTTGATAATGATAATAATTTTGATAATGGTTTAAAAGAATCTTTGCTCGAAGAACCTGCTGCGTTTTGATAGGTACGAAATGTTTTGTTCAAAAGGGGAGAAGGTATAAAAAATTACAATTACAAAAAGTACTCCATAAATTAATGTGGAATGAATGTAATTAGTTCCATTTTCCAGATGAAAGATGTTAGATTTTCCCTGCAACTGATTTCATGCTTTCTGGCCCTAGTCGAAAAACATGCCAAGCTTCAGCCTCTGTCATATCACGAGCGCCTCTTGCTTTGTAGAAATCTGTAGCGGGATTCCAATTTAATACAGTCCATGCCATATCAGTGCAGTTTGTTTCCTCTGCTTTCTGTAAAGGAGACCAAGCAAGGAGTAAAAAATGCCAAACCATTAACGGAATCAGTGTACTCTGTTGTTAATTATACCTGAACAACTTTTTTGAATAGTAGGTTTCCAATTCCCTTCCCTCGGTATGTTTCCGTTACATAAAGGTCTCTTAAATAAAGTCGTTTACCGGTCCATGTTCCATAAGTATAGTAGCACATAGCATAAGCAATGAGTTTCGATTCATCCCTAGGGTCTTCTATTACATAGCAGAAGAAGAAGGGATGATCCACATCAAATGCATCTCGCTCAAGATCTAATTAAGAAACAAAAAACATTAATCGTTAAATGCTTGATGTATACAGGCCTCACTTTATTGCTATACCTTTTTCATTTATATTGGGGCCATGTGGCGCTTTTTCAAAAACAGACAATTCCTGGAAGCAGAGAAAGAGAACATAAAGTTTTGCTTTGTTCAAATGGTGATATGTACAGTATTTCTCTTTAGCAACATACCTCAATAAGCCGCAGTATTTCCCTACAATCGCTACGCTTGGCCTCTCTCACAGTCATAGCTGCCATCTTAAACAATGGTTGATGATTTGAGATTAACTACACCAAAGCACAGGCCATTCAACGCCACTCACATAACCCCTCCCCCCCTCCACATCACATGCAAGGATGCGTCCGAAACGTCCGGTTTTGCCTGTTGCCACCTCATAGTGTTCCGAGCTTTCGGACGCGTCCCCAGGCTTATCTTAGCTATCTTGGTACTCGATATTCAAGGGAAAATTGCGCTAACAATTGTAATTTTTGCTTTTATTTTTCTGCGTGGGACGGGAAGTAGGGAAGGGAGGGCAAAAATTCAGTAAGTTAACAGAATCCCCTCAGTGGAATTGTTTATTCATCCAAGATACAACTGGAAATTAAGTTAATGCAGTGATAATTGTAACTATCTTCTTATTCAAATCATAAAAAGTAAAAATTCCATAATAATTTATTATAATACAGCAAGATTTCAATCACAACCACATTTCAGAGTCAGTCCAAAATGCCTCAATGCCTTTTACACAAGAATGCAGACAAAATAAATAGAGCCCTATGATAATAACAAACAGATAGTGTGATTCCATTATCTGTAATTACATATCTCAACATTTTATAATAAAACTGCACCTGAAACATCTTAGAACATCATCACTGGGGTGCAGTTAGTGCCTTTGTCATTTCTTCTTTTTATTCTTGCTCTTCCCACTGCCCGAAGATTGAGTGGGTTTACTTTCTGCTGTGGTTGTAGGAGGCTGCACGGCAGCTAATGCCTGTTTCAGCTGCAGCAGTTTAGCAACTTCCCCTTGCCACTCTTCTTTGCTCTTTCCACTGGCTTTCATTTCCCGGACGAGATCACCCTGAAATGAGATAATTATTTATTGAAAATACACAGTCCAATGCTAATCATGGAGTACAAATTCAGATTCAAAATCATACCTGTTTTTTCACAGCTTCCTCAAGTTCCGCAATTTGAGCAGGTTGAGCAGCTTCTGAGCTAGAAGCAGTGGAGGGGGCAGAGGTGCTCTGTGATTCGGCAGCTTTCTGAGCAGCAGCTAAGTCAGCCTTGAGCTGAAGAAGAGCACTTACATGGGGTTGCCACTCAGCTTTGGGCTTGCCTGAGCCTTTCATTTCACGAACCAAATTAGCCTAAAATAGTTTAAAACAAAAAACATCATAAGTTGCATTGCAGACAACTGAAAATGGGATCCAATTTAGCAGTTGAGCAAAAACTCCAGAGATATGGCAAAAATTTTACCTGTTTATCCACTGCAGCCTGAAGCATTTCAACAGTTTGTGAAGAAGCTGATGTAGCAGCTGCAGCAGAAGTTCCTTTTTTGCTGGGAGCTGCAGAAGGAGGTGCCTGCTTTCCAGCAAACCGTTTTTTCAAATCACTGGTTTGGCTTGCTTCAATTTTAGTGAAGAGAGGTGCAGGCTTTAATAAGAAAACAAACAAAAACAATGAGTATATAGAACAATTAAGTGCTTCATTTTGTCAGCCCACTTGAGTTTCAAGGAAAAATAAAAAGACTCAAAAATTTAAATGATTGGCACCTTTCCTATCTTGTGACCAGCAGGAAGCAGCTTCACAATAGAGTCCGTAATAACATTAATAGATTTTGGACTGTTCATTTGTTCATGCATTACTTTTGATATTTCAGGCATGTAAGGCTGAAGCAGAATGGCAAGCAAACAGGAAATGTTTGCTGCCACACCCACGGTAGTGCCAGCTTGCTTCCTGCAAGGAATAAAAATTGATTACAGATTTTGTAGAAGGCATGTAATGACCACAACTAATATAAGAACTCACTTTTCCTCTGGAGATCCCTTAGCTTTCACCCATGGTTGCTGGGATTGAATATACTGATTGCCGTGGCGAGAAACACACAAAATATGACGCAAGCCCTCTCGCAATTTTCCAGCTTCAAGCATTTTTACATAAGCAGATAATTCTCGGTTAACAAGAGCTAATAATGTTATATCTTCCTTTTCCAGGTACATTTCTGGAATAGTACTCTGGAAAGTTTTTTCAACAAACATCAGAGCTCTGCAACAAAAAGTAAAAAATGTAAGAACAATTTTTTTGGGGGCCTCATAAATAAATATTTGATTGAGATTTCGTGCAAGAGTTTGAAATGCTTTAAAAGGTACCTGTTAACAAAGTTGCCAAGATTATTGAGCAACTCATTGTTGAGGCGCAAAGCCAGGTCGTCCCAAGAGAAATTGGAATCTTGTGACTCAGGTCGAACAAATAGGAGATAGAATCTCCAATAATCAGCAGGGATTCCCGTATCTCTTGCATCATTACCAAATACACCAGTTCCACGTGACTTAGAGAATTTGCCATCTTCATAGTTCAGGTACTCTAAAAGTCAAGATAGCCAGAAACAAGATTTAAAATAGGAGGTAAAATGAGTTAAGAATCCAACAATAAAAACGACTGAAACATACCAGTTGCCATCAAATTTGTAACCACTGTATAGCCTTCATCAGCAGCTAACAGTGTAGAAGGGAACATGATGGAGTGGAATGGGACATTATCTTTAGCCATAAATTGGAAGTACTCCACCTTGGTGTTGCTCTTGGGCTGCCACCATTCTTTCCACTTGTTAGTGTACTTTTTAGTCATGCTGATGTACCCAATTGGAGCATCAAACCAAACATAAAAGACCTAAAAAAATATTTTTTCTGCAACATTATTTCTTTAAATTCAAGGTCAAAATATATGTAAATACATTAGGAATGTAAATACCTTGCTACGGTAGTTGTCCAGTGGCACAGGAATACCCCACTTCAGATCTCTAGTAATGCATCTTGGCCTCAAACCATCCTTCAACCAAGCTTTGGTAATAACACGAGCATTATGAGACCAACCACTACTTGATTTGTCAAACCAAGCAGAAAGTTTTGGTTCTATCTGTAAATAAAATGCTTTTCAATGACACTGAAATACAAAGCAATATAGACGCTTGACATATTTATTCTGGTCATTACCTTGGGAAGGTCCAAGAAAAACTGATCTGAGTTTCGAATAACTGGTGTATCATTGCAGAGCTTGCAGCGAGGCTTGATCAACTCAGTGGCATTCATGAGCGCTCCGCAACTGTCACACTGGTCCCCGCGGGCATCATCAAAGGCGCACTTTGGGCATGTACCCTCAACAAATCTATCAGCCAAAAAGCGGTCACATCGCTGACAGAGGAGCTGTTCCATGGGCTCAGTGTGCATGTAACCCAGTTTATGAAGTCGCAAAAATAACTGTTGAGTGATTCTTAGCAGAATAATAAAAAAAGGAAAGAAAAGAGTTAATATTAGTTTAAGGCTTAAAACATATTTGACAGAGAGGGTGATTCAAATACTTCACTTACTCAGTTTGCTCTGGAATGGTGGTTCTTCCAAAGAGATCAAAGTCAATATTAAACCACTTGTAAATATCATTGTGGATGGCGTTATATTTGTCACAAATTTCTTGAGGCTGCAAGCCTTCTTCTAAAGCTTTAGTCTCTGTTGCTGTTCCATACTCATCAGTCCCAGATATGTACAAGGTGTTGTAATTCCGCAATCTACAATACCTGCAAAGACATAAAAATTAATAAGAGCATAACTCGAGGTAAAATGATAAAATTGATAAGGAGAGTGTTTTACCTAGCAAATACATCGGCTGAGAGTACACATCCAATTATGTTTCCGAGATGAGGAACATTATTGACATAAGGAAGAGCTGAGGTAATAAGAACGTTGCGCTCTCCAGATACGGGTAATCTATAATGAAAACAAATTCACGATACTATTAGTATGTAAAGCAAATCAAAAGTCCCTGCAATATACGCTGTTTGGGAAATATGTTTATAATACTTACACTGGTTTTACATTCTCTTTGGACTTGACCTTTTGACTGCTGTCCCAAGCAAGTTTTGCAGCCTGCAACTCTTTCTCCCATTCTGGGCCACTTGTTGCTGGTCCTGTCTAAAAAAATTAAAAAAAAAAAAAAAAAAAAAAACAACTTATTTCATTTAAGAAATAAAATTTTTGTCGGCTTTCACAGATTTCAACTGATAACAGATAAGAAAAATGCTACTGAAAAGAATCGGTGAAGAGGTTCGAGCCATTACCTCATCGTCAATGAATCCATTCAGAGTGATAGCATGCTTGGAAAAAACATATTTTACTACACTTTCCCAAACTTCACATGTAGAAAGGTTTTGTAAAAACTGTCTTCGAAATCACAATATTTTTAAAAACTAGGGAGGAGACACTTACAGAGATACTTAGCTGCTCAAGGCCATTTTCAAGAGATGTGGCTGACTTAGTTGCTGATTGGGCCTTGGTCTTTTTCTTTTTGTCAGGAGCTCCCTCAGACTCATTGGGGACACTGGATGATTGATGTGAAACAGAGGCATTCCAGGAGGTGCTCAATAAAGTCTGAATTCCCTGTGGCCCAGCAAATACTCCAGATTTGCTCACAGCAATCTGTGACACATACATGAAAGATTATTTTTGTTTCATAATTCTACACTTAGAAATTTGGCAACAGTTTTTGTGAAAGTAGTGGGATGAGCTGGCTCTACTTGCCTTGAATGCAGGGTTTGTCTCATGTTTTGTCCACCAGGTTTTAAGATTTTGAAGACTTCCAATCCACTCAGAGCAAAGTTTAGTATCAGCAACAATGGGAAAAAGGGAGACCCACACACAAACATCGGCAACAGAAATTCCACCCTAAAAAACAAAAGAAGACAAAATTGAAACAAACAAGGTCCAAAAGATATTCGAAAATGCCTTGCGCAGCTGCCTCAGCTGTTAACAAGACTCAGTTTCCCAAAAAAATATTACCTTCACAAGAGTTTCGCCAGACTTCACGGCTACATCAAGTGCGGAGAGAAGAGATTGCAGACGAGTGTTGCTTTTACCAGGAGAGGATACACAGTACACAACAGCAGGCTGAATAACAAAAGACAAACAATCATATTTTTGAAAAGAAAAATGGGGACGGAGGATAGCAGAATAATGAATCCAGGATAATAAAGCACCTGAAGTTGAGAGGAATCCCAATCAAGCCATTGATCTACTTCCGCTTCAGCTGAACTTGATGGAGGAAAAATAAAACGTGCTGCTTGATTGACAGAAGCTATGGTTAAACCAGAGTCTAGCTGTAACACTGGCAGGCATTGTGCAACACACGGCTTCTTATCTGAAAATAAAAATAAGAACAATTTTTATAAAACTGTCAGCATAAGCACAAGTCCCTTTAAACTGGCATCATCAGCAAGTGTAGGGCTGAGACTAAAGACCTTTAACCAAAATTAGAAAACCAATTATTTTCTCAGAGTTCTGAACGTAGAAAATGTTAACAAGATAAATCTAACTGACTCTTTCAATCCAAGGAGCTACAGAGGAGCAGACGATTCGAACATACGGCAACAGTCTAACCTTGTCAAGAGAGGAAATTGCTCCAAGAATGACAACAGTACGTATACCGAAAATTAGATGAAATTTTCAAAGATAAACAGAGAAATTAGAGAACTATAAAAATGAATTACAACGAGGATCACACAGTTTCTAATAAAATGGTCACGTCCTTACCACCAAAAGAAACATCTTGACATGTAACCTCGACTTTAGCCAAGCTCGCCGAAACTAAGAGTTTCAGCACCGCGGGATTTTTCTCATTAGTTAAAATCTTCATTTTTCAGGCTCTGCCACATTTGCTTCACAACGAAAATTGGCAGGCAAGTGGCGAAACGAGTGACAGGTTAGCTAGCAGACCGCCTGCCGTCGCGTGTGCCCGCGTGGAAAGAGAGAGACAGAGATAGACAAAGATCACAAACAGGTTTAAAAAAAAATTATTCATGTTTTTTTCTACTTCAGATGTGTGAAATATCATTTTAAAAGAAGGAAATGCGAGAAAAACATGCTCCAAAGAGCACTAACTTACCTCCATAATGGTTTTGAGTTTTAACCGACTTCTCAACAAGCGCGATGTTCTGTTTGTAGGTTGGCAATGAGTTTCAACTGTTGCGCGGGACATTCAAATCGTTCCGCATTTGCGACCACCGCTCTCGTTTGTTGTGGCACCCGCTCTGAAGCGCGTGTGGTCTAGCCCTTAATTGTAATGGTAATGTCAGGTAGGCAACAACCCGCTCTGCAACACACCGTTGTGGAGACGGTGGCCTACGTGATTGCGATTGTCATTGATGGCTCGACCACAAACGATCGTTGGCCTTTCCGGGCCCGATCGTGTTTCTCCAGGGCACTCTCGTCAGTTCCCCTCGGCTGTGACGGTGGAACTCCCCTGTCAGAACGGGAGGAGGGCCGGTAAGATATTTGTTGAACGGGTGGGGGGCTCGGGGTAAGGGGGCTTTGCTTCAAGTGTACACTGCAGTAGCTTTTTTTTTTTTACTTTAATTAGAAATGAGATTCATGTACATAATAATGGCAAAAGACACATGTAATGATAAAATGAGTACCAGTATGAATTCAACAAAAGATATAAGCCCTTTCTTAGACAGACAATTAAAAATTCAAAATCATTTATTCACATAGATCTATTTATCACAACTGCAACTTCATAAGTTTTGGATTGTTAACTAATGTGTACTTTTAAGTACCAGGCATCTGCATCTAATACAATAATAGATCTCTTTTAATCGTAGGGCCACTCTTTCAGGGGAGGGTTCGGCACCAACTTCCTGTTCAACAAATCATGAACATCAGTGCCTGGTTGGCAATGCTTATCATCTAGGATCATGTTTCTCCATTTGAATATGATTACTTGTATCTGAGAATGACAATCACAAGTGAAATGTCTTCCAACTTTGCTCCATATGTGATGTTTCACTTGAGGAAGCATTTATATTTCTAAAAAATGCATGAGTGCCATTAAATCTACTTTGTAAACACAAAGTAAGATTTTTGCTCTAAGAGCTGCCAAATATGCATTTAGCAGAGGGATCTTTATAACATGGTTGATTATTCTACCTATGATTTATACCCCTACATTTTTAAGTGTTTGTTCGAAAAGAAGGATGATTGAAAACCAGCTTGGTGTTTCCGTGCAGATAAAAATAGGAAAGTTTTTCTAATTTTCTTACAAAAAAAAACAACAAACAAAAACACCATTTAAAATGGCTTGATTTACTAACCAAATATTTCTAATGTAAAAGATCTGACACAAAAGACACACAATTTTTTTCTTGGTGAAAAAAAGAAAAGGGGTGAGCTAAAAATATCAGTACACCATGAATCTTGATTTGGTTGCTTCACTCTTGGAGTCTATGTAGGCTGTAGGAACAGCTTGAACACATCAGTTTTGAGTGATCCATGAACTTGAATTGGCCATTCAAGGAGCACAAATGCAGCCCATCCAAACAGTATTCTGAGTGTCGTTTTCAATTAAGAGCAAACGCACAAAGAATTGATTGATCATTTACACTTTGGAAAACAAAAAACTAAACATAACTTAGATCTATTAAATTTTTATACAATTATGTGTCATAATAAAATAAATTTGTCTGCTCTTAAATACAGTGGGGTAACAAAAATTTATTTAAAAAAATGTCATAAATTGGTTAGATCCACTCTATATAAAAAAAAATAACACATTCATCCAGACTGTAACAATTATCAATAAAATGTGGATTGGGTATCAAACGAGATCTGATTAAAACTAACAACAAAAACACAACCCATTCAGTTTTACAAAAAAAAAAAAAAAAAAAAAGGAAACAAGGCAGGTTGAACTCTCACTCCTCCTTAAAATTATGGACGGACTTGCGGAATGTATCAGAGGACTCGTTTCCAACTTTCTGGAGCGCTTGTACAGTTCAGCAAAACTTGCAAAACATCTGGCGGCAGCTCCTTCCTTTCCAATGAGCCGTTGCATTTCCTCTTCTCCGCTTCAAAGACAGAAAGTGCCCTAGGACAGCGACTGAAAAACAGTGAAAACACAATTAGCAAATATGACTCTTGAGCAGTTAACAGCTGGGCATTTCAAAAACGTCTAAGGTGAAGAAATGCTTCGTATTACGAAGGATTTAGATTCATGATGCACAAAATTTCTTTGCAGATTTAGCCATGCCTTCGTTTTCTTTGTGTTACGACACTGAGAGTCCGTACCTATGAGGTTCATCGCCTGTCGGCCAGCACTCCCAGCGCGAGGACTGCGGCCAGCAGGGTGGCCACGAGGGTCAGAGGGGCGGTCGTCGCGGTGGCTGCGTTGTAGCGCCCGTAGTACCCTCGGCTGCCGTACTGGTTGCCGTAGCCGCCGCCCACGCCGCCGCCGTAGGGGTCGAAGCTGGACGGCTGCTTGTAGACGCTGTCGTACGGGTTGTTGCCGGGGTCGTCGTAGTTACGCCCTGGAACACGAGGCCGACGGTCGTGAGACAAGGCCCTGGCGGGAAGCACACGGGGTCCTCGGACCGAGGTCCTCAAGGTCCTCAGGCCAGGAGGCCGCAGAAGCCCCACCCGCGCACAGGCGCGCACAGGACGGGAAGCATGGCGGTGATGAGACGCACGGGTTGACAACAAAAAGAAAGGGAACACAAAACAGCAGGCGCGCCCAAACATCTACCCGCACACACACATCCCGTATCAGACAGACAGGGAGACCCTTGGCACAATGAAAAAGAAATAATGAAACATAAACACACGAAGAAAAAAAATTAGCATGCACCCTAATGCACTACACTTTAGTTGCACCACTACAAGCTACTCAAACAGGGAAGGCCGATGCCTCCAGCAAGGGTGAGACACAAGGAAAGAAAAATTAAGTGCTCACTACTCAAAAATAATTTTATAACAAAAATAGAGACACTGCGCAGCTTCTTAGCCCGACATCAGCTTCCACTGCGAGTGGAATCAATACACCCATGACACGAAAAATAATATGATATGAAACACTGAAGTTGCATTATTTTCTCCCGCCCCGCCCAGCGCGTGTGCACTGGTAGACAGTACTCCCATGGGACCAACACAAAACCAAAACGCACAGGACACCCCAAGGCGGCGCCAGGCGCACGCAAAGTGAGATAAAACGGAAACAGTCAAGCCGACACAGTCCGACCAAAAAGTGGAGCCACGCCACGGACGGGCACGCTCACGACGAAAACACGTAAGCAGCTACGCAGTCGTGAATTAGTGGCAGCACGTTTAGTGACAGACTGTACCGTCCACGTCGTAGCTCGTCGGCTGTTTGAAGTTGGGGTCGTACTGGTTACTGTTGGGATCGTCCAGGTAGTTACTCCCTGAAACATGCACAACACAGTCCACGCTCACACATCGGCTCACCACCATCCTCCACAGCGTGCACGGCAGGGTGCAACAGGGTGCGACAGTGTGCTCAGACAAGGGTGTGTTGAAGGTGCCAGAGTAGTACAGAAGAAGGCTGGTGACGACAGGGAGTGGAGCCCGACACCGCAGCACAGCACGGCACAGCACAGTCAGGCCCAGGCAGCAGGCAGTCGGCAGCACTAGCAGGCAGGGCAGGCAGGCGGCAGGCAGTCGGCGGCTCTACCTCCGTGATAGCGGCGCACCACGGTGTCCCCCGAGCTGGAGACGGAGGCGCTAACGCCGTCCCACTGGCCGCCGGGACCGCCCACGCCCGCGTACCCGAAGCTGGAGCCGCCCGCGCCGTACGGGGGGTTGTAGGCGGACGACGCTTGGGGGAAGTAGCCGCCCCCGGGGGCGGGCATGGCCTGGTAGGCGCTCCCGCTGCTGCTGCCGGGTCCGTTGGGTCCGTTGGGGTTGGGCACCCAGGCACGGCGGACGGCGTCCCAGGTCTGACGCGACGACTTGGACAGGTCGCTGAGGAAGCGGTGGGCGTCGTCGCAGGGGCCGTCGGGACGGACCTGTCCGATGCCCACGCAGGGGGAGCCGCGAGCCGTGTCGTAGGGGTAAACGGGGTTTTGTGGAGACTGGGCTAGGGGGTTGGCGGCGCGCTTGGCGCGGGACAGATCTTGGGGAGGCTCATCTGGAACAGTACCACAGGCGTGAGAGGGGAGGGGTGGGGAGGGGGCGCAGCCAGGACCGGGGGAAACAGGAGCAGTCTCTTTTATTTCAACAAGTTTTCATTTTTGTTAAGTCGGTTTTTCTTTGAAGCCAAGTGGCCACGAACAGGAACATTAACAATGCTTGTTTCCCCCACGAGCGGGTGGAGAGGTGTGGTTGGGAATGGCGCTGGATAAAGATGATTATTAATTGGTGGGAGCAAAACATGATTAACAAGAATAAATACGGACTATTGTTATTGTAATACACGAGAGGCTGGGCCCGACTGCTGTGCCGCTGCGTGAGAGAGACGGAGAGACAAATAGCATGGCCAGCCGTACTGCATCTCCTGCGTGATAACAAGTGCTTCGTTACGAAGGCGAGAACAAGCGGCGTCGAAAGGAGAGGACCCCGACTAAACCCTCATGTAACTACTAGGCATTCCAGGGGTAACCACGTAGTGAAGCAAGCAGCACGCCATGCAAGAAATGTACAGCATAAGAAGAATTGGTATGAAAAAAATAAAAATAAAATTGAAATGTACAGACGATGGCAAGGGATCACCACCCGCTACAAAAGCAGGTGATGAAAAACACGACAACGCTACTCATGCAATGTCCACGCAAACCTGGACGGGAATAACACTGTGACACTAACTGTAGGGGTCGTATCCTGCTCCTCCGTAGGCATCGGCGCCGAAGCTCCCTGGAACAAGGCAAGGAAGCGAGAATGACTGCACGGGAATTAGACCAAGCGGGGGCGTTAAGGTTAGGCCGGGGGTCAAGCGTCAGTCCCAAGCATCGAGTTAGTTAGCGGCCCAGCGTCCCCGCCCAGCGGTTCAAGTCCCCGAAGCCCCTGGCAGGTAGGCCGGCATCGCGTCTAGTCTTGAACTTGTCGAGTCCAGTCTGTGGCTGCACCGGTCGATCTACGCGACGACTTGAACGGCGGCAAAGAAAAGGCACACGTTAAACATCGGTTACTTTGTGGAGGCCGCCGGCGCTGGGACCCGAACAACAGAACGGGGGGAAACTCCGTCGTGTGTAAGGCCGTGACAGCAAGATGGCGACGCATCAGGGAGCTGTGACTGGCATTGGGCGGCGTGAGAACGCGCGGAACGCGCCAAGCCGCCGAGGCGGGGAAGCGAAGCGGCCAGAATGGGCCGCAATGGGCCGCACTGCCATGCCGCGCGGTGCGCGCGGTGCGCAAGGCCCCCGGTTGGTTCTAAGGTTTCTCCCCAACTTTGAGGCCGCCAGTGCTAGTGCCGCCACGCCGAACGCTGCCGGGCCGGAGACGGAGATCGGCTCGGAGATCGGCGAGCACGTCGCCGGCTTGCCAGTAATAACAGCCAAGCGAAGCCAAGCGAAGAGGGGCGAGGTTCGCTGATGAGCCCAGCGCCTCGCCTGCCTCGCCGCTGTATCTTGGCGGTTCAGTTATGGAGCCTGACGTCAGCGCGGCTGGAACGCGCGGTGACCCGTCCGCCGCCCTGCCGCCCTGCCGCCCGCCCGTGCGGCCGCGGCGAGCATTTCTGTGGCCCTCCCCCCTCCCCCTCCACGCCCACGGGAATCTCGCGGAGGTTGCTCTTATGTCCCAGCGCCGCCGGGACGCTCACAACGACTCCTTTTGGCGGGTCACCGTTTCTTCGCCCCGCCTCCGACGCCCCGGGCATCACTGTGGGCGCAGGACGCCATACAGTTAGTTACCAGTGCTCTGGTCGTCGAGTTTCCTTTCGGGAACCGCTCATCGGCTGGAATCGGGCCGGAATCAGTGGCTTCGGCTTCGGCAGCTCTGGGCCGCAGCCCACCGCGTTGTTGTCTTGGCTTGGGCCCCTTCAGCCCCAAGGGTTGCGGCGCGCGGCCCGGCTGGCGGCGGGGCGGGGCGGGCGGGGCGTTGCCAAACTGGTTTCGGGTCGCGCCATGGACCGGGCCGCGCTGGGGCTGCCGCGGCCGGGCCGGTTCGGCCCTGGTGATGCACAAGCTGTGTCTCCGCCGTGGACCACAGGGCCGCGCTGCAGGGGCAGGGGGGCGGCCCAGTACTGCCGGCACCAAGCCTGCGCACTCCTCGCCCGTCAAGTTGGTGGTGGGCTCGGCCAACGCCGGGCCAACGCCCTGGGCAAGCTGCCCTGACCGACCGCCTTGATAGCAAAATTGTCCCGCGGAATGCGTTGAGCGGCGCGACCGCGCGACGGCGCTCCGGACGCGGTGGGCGTCGGTCGCTGCTCCGCCTGCGCCGGCGAGGTGCCCGACGGCCGTCGCGGCGCCGGACAATGAGCACGTCTCGCCATTGGCCCAGCCATTGGCGGGCAATTTGAGCGCGGCCGTAAACGTGACGACGGGGCGCGGCGTGGCACGTGTCTGCACGGGCTGCGCGGAGCAGACATCATTTCGGCGCCGCGACCACCGCCGCCCGCCGGGGACCTGCATGACGGCACCCAGGGCCACGCCCACGCACGTCGCACGCCCGCCGCGGCCTTGGCGATGGGGACGTGCACGTCGCGAATCCCACCGCACCGGACGGCCGGCCGGTGGTTTGCGGCGACGAGGCAGACGACAGACGCACGCCGCACGCCAGTTTCCCGGTTTTCCGATAGGCAACCCGCTCCCCCCCTCCCCCTCCAGGTCCCGGGGGCCCCGCGTGCATCCATTCATGTCGCTTCCTGCATGCCTCTATTACCCCCCCCCCCCCCCGGCCTAGCGCCGCACGCACCGCCAGCCCTCAATGAAAGTGCACCGCACCACGTGGGTGGAGCGCAGCAGCGCCGCGCCAGGCCGCGCGGAGCGGAGGTATGGATCACATCCAAAATAGCTCCCGGGCAACGCGCCTGCGTTTTCCGTTTTCCCACTTGTGAAAATGGGAACGCAGAAAGGGACGTTCCGCAGCTGTGGGTCTGGTCAGCTCCCGGTCCTGGCAATCCTAGCTAGCTCGCGGTGACCCTGGCCGACCTCCACGTCGGCCGTCGGGCACGGGGCGCTGCCGTGGCTGCCGTGCTCGAGGCTGTTCGCCAGCCTCGCCCTCGGACTGGCCTGCGTAAATAAGGCCCACCCTTCCCCTTGCCACACTCGAGGCGCCAGGCACTAGCCCCCGAAACCGGCCTAGCTCATCACCGCAGCCCTTCAGTCCCTGTGTGCGTGTGTCTGTGTGAGTGCGTGTCCATTTGCCTGTGCGGCTGCGCCACGCCGCGCCACGCTGCGCTGGCTGCCTTGACGCGACGTCGCTAACGAGCGCAATGACACGGAGCACGCGTGGGTCCCCGAGTCCACGAGTGTCCCCGAGCCCCGCGGCCGTCTCGCCCACGCCGGGCGACGCCAGCCCATACTGCAGGACTTGCAGGCCTCGAAGCCCGCGACCACTCCCTCGCGCCGCTCGCGCCCAACCTGTCCAAAGAAACGTGGGGCACCCGCTGCAGCAGCCGCAGCGCCTGGAAGAAAGGGATGAGTCTTCGCGGCCGGCAGGCCCGGCAGGCCCGGCAGGTGGCCGTACTTACCAGTGATGCCGACGGAGGGCTTGTAGGCGGTGCCGAAGCCCGCGCCGCCGCCGCTGATGTAGGACTGCACGCCGAGGGCGGCGCGCAGCACCCGGTAGGTGGGCTCGTGGTCCATGGGCCTGTTGCGGAGGAAGTTCTGCAGCTTGTTGGTCACGACCAGCAGGTTGCCGGTCTGGTCGATGGCGAACGTGTCCGGCCACTGCAGCAGCCTGGGGTCCTGGGGGCAGCAGCACGCGCAGCGCGCAGTCAGTGCACTCGCTCAAACTAACACCAACACTCCGACCGCGGCATTTCTCATACCGCCGACCGGCACGCTCGCCCGCCGCGCCCGCCTTGTACGTGCGCCGGAATACGCGCCAAAAACAAAAACAACCAAATTGGCGGCAACGCCCGAACTGCGCGCGTACTGCGCAAACTGGCGGAACACATGGGACACCCTAATGATGTCAGGCCGTGGTCACGTGACGTCACGCGTGACTGTCACGTCGCGTCACGACACGCCGGGGACACGAGGTGCGTGCGCCGGACCGTGACACCTTGGCGACAGCGGCGAGGAGACGGCAACTCATCGGCCGGAGTTTTTTTTTCGGGTGTCGGCGATGTCCATCCATTGATCGCGCCGCCACTACAGTCTGGTGTGAGGTGGGGAGGGCGATGAACTCGCAGCATCCAATTGTGCCCGTTCATCAGCTGCAGGTCGCGCTGCAGGCCGACTCCGAACACTGCTTTCGCCTCTCTCTCTCTCTGTCGCTCTCGCGCTCAAGGGGCGCGGGGTGCGAGAGAGACAGAGCGGCAAGCTGGGAGTGACTCCTCCGGTGACTCACCCTGGCCATGCTGCGCGCGGCGGCGAAGTTGTCGCGGTGCGAGTCCCAGCGCGAGATTCCCGTCTCGCCGAGCAAGCCGAAGTACAGCGCGCCGTTGCTGTCCATGATCATGCCGTCCGTGACGGACGTCTTCTGGCCCAGGTCGTTGACGGAGCCGCCGATGTCGCGGCCCGGCTCGCGCAGCACCGACGTGGGCAGCGAGTACATGCGCATGCTGGACAGCGGCGAGTAGTACACCATGCGCTCGCGGGCCATCGGGGAGAGCGCGATGCCGGCCACGTTCACCTGGAAGCAAGAGAGGCAACAGTGTGGGGTCAGTCAGGCCACTGGTGAGTCCACTGGTGAGTCCAGGGCGGCGGGAGGGCCGCGATCACCCTGGCGGACAATGCGTGTTCTGCAATGCTTTCACTGCCACGGGCCTCGTGGACGTGGAACCCCTTTGACGAACACACGCGCACACACACACACACGACGCAAGTCGACACGAATGAATGGGCCCCGCGGACTGGTTGTCGTTCTATTAGGCGAAAGGAGGGGGGGGAGGGATAATCTCGCGGACGGGGCGCCCCATTCATCCGGGGAGGCAGAGGAGGCCCCCCGGCTAGCCGCCATTGTTACAAAATTAAGAGGACCGCGCCGTGCCTGGCCGTGCCAGCGTGAGGGCGCCTCAGGGATGGCGACGGCGGACTCACTGACCCAGAAACATGGGCCGGCACCCGAAATCAGCGAATGGGAAAACGCCGACTAAATAGTACTGCGAACTTCCCCCAGCGGGGTTCGAACCCGGGACCAACCTGGATCTCAGCGCGGTCGCCGTTGATGGTGACCGAGTCAGTGCGGGGGTCGGCGCGCATGGACCTGGAGTCGCGGACCTTCCACGACCTGCTCTGGGCCAGGCTGAAGACGATGATGCCGGGGTCGGGGTCGCTCGAGTCGGTGATGTAGGCGTACCTGCAAAACCGCGCAAAAACCAGTTAGAGACAGAAACAAAAATGCTAAGGAGTTTGCATGCAGCGTCATCCCCATTTTGGGCAGTCGTAATACACGCGGGTTGATGGCCAAGGCCGCCGAGGAAAGTGAAGCACGCCAAGTCCGCCCCGCCCCGCCCCGCCCGGACGCGTCGTCACGCACGCACGCCGCGCGTTTGGCGACGCACGCACGGCTGCGCCAAAAAAATGGTCCGCGTGTAACACCATGCAGAACCGCAGCACCACCGAAGCCAACAAGTTCGATTTTCGAAAGGACGGCCCTTCGAGGTGCAGCCCCTGTCAGTTCAAAGTCTTTTCGCGGGCGAGTGCGGTTTTCCCTATGTACGACGGCGTCCTCGAGGACAGACGACGGCCGCGTTGGCGTCGCAAGGATGGCGGCACGGCCCGAGGCTAGTCCAAGGCTGGTCCAAGGCTCCACCAAGGCTGGCTGCTTCATGACAGGATATGATCATCACTTGCCGCGGCGCCGTCAGGCATGAGGTCCTTGTCCCCGACCGCACTGCAGAAAACTCAGCCAAAGAAACGAAGGAGACCACTTCTAAATTGCACATTCGCCTCATAATGTAGCGACGGCACGCCGTAAAAGTTAGTTAATCGCTGCGGACACCCGCGCGGCAAAGCCGTTAGTCATCCCGACGCCCTCGAACGACAGCGACGACGCCGCCCACGCCGAGCTGGACGCGTGCTGGCTGGACGGCGACGGCGACGCCTCAGGGAGCTTCAGCCTTCAGGGAGAAGGACCAGAAGGACGTCCGCCCAGTTGGCGGCAAAATGGGCGAATTCGTTGGACGCCCTCTTCCGGTGCACCGGTTCTGCAATGCTTGGGTGGCGCGGTGGCGCGGTGGCGCGGTGGCACTGCGCGTGGGAAGCGGGGGGCGAGCCTCTGCCCCCTGCCGGGCGTCGCGCCGTCCCTCTCGCACTCACAGGACTCCCCGTGCGGGTGCGAGAGAGACAGAGCGACGAACCGCGCTTCTGAAACAGCCGGCTGCCGAGCTGGACGCGGTCTAGGAGGCGGGCGCGCAACGGACGCTCTGGCAAACTGCCGTCGCCTGGCCCGATAACAACCAGCACAACTCGAGCGATATCTGCGCGAAATTCAGGACGTCTGGGCGTGCTCGGACGAAAACCGGAGAGCTGAGCAGCCCTTCCGATTCTGATGGCGTGGACTCGGTGACGAGCATGTCCGAAAAACTGAGTCGTTCGTCTGGGATTCGTCGATTTGGTTTACCATGCGTGCGTGAGGTAACTCGGTGCAACGTCCGGCCGACACGCCGCCGCCCCGCCAGCCCCGCCAGTAGCACGTGCCCGCTAACACGAGGCAAGCGCTGCCGGGAAGGGTTGGTCGCGGTGGTCAAGACGGTCAACAGAATAAAAACGAAAACCAGTTACACATTCGTGGCGGCCTTGCGGGGTGCGGTGCGTTGTCGGCCAGTCGTTGACCTTATTCTAGGGCGGCCACGCCCTTTGCCGATCACCCCACCCCACCCCACCCCGCCCCACCCCCCACCCCACCCCGCCCCGTGGCGCCGCCCCTCGGCCAACAGCACCCCCGTGCCGGAGGCCACGCATGCGGACAGTCCCATTCTGGCGTGCATTTCTCATCGTGTTACACTGTACGGGTTCGCTGAGCGTGAAGCTGCTCGGTGCGGGCACGCCCGGCCCGGGCTCGCCGTGCACGGGCAGGACCCTGCGGTGCCCTCTTGCCGCCATTTTGAACTGGCCGTTCAGGACGGCCCGGGCGAGTGCACTGCACGGCGTGCTCGCGGCGGCCCGCCTCACCTCTCCGCCCCGCCCCGCCCCGCGACTTGCTCGACACAAACGCCCTCCTGGCCGCGCGGCCCCCGCGGCCCCCGCGGTCCCGCGGCGACCCGGTGCCATTGACCCCGGGCTGGCTGCGCTGGCGCAGAGTCCTGGCAGAGTCCTGGCAGCGGCTCGGCTGCAGAGCGCAGAGCGGCGCAGAGCGACGTGCAGAGGGAACCAACGGCGCGGTCGGTCGGCGGACTGGAGGCCTGGCAGCATGCTGGCAGGACTGGGCTGGGCAGACCACGACGCGGCGCGCCGTGCTGCACGCCGTGCCTCTTCTCCCCTTGGCCCCTCGCGGCGGAGCGTGGCGTGGCCCCCGCGCACTTCGGCATTCCAGGACCGAGGACCGCGCCGTGGAAACGCGACGTGGTTGGCAGGCCGGGGCACAAAAGGCGGCCCAACAGACCCACAGGCAGCCAGCAGTGACAACAAGGGACGCCTCTCCAGAGGCACGCTCTGGCCTTGCCTTTCAGAGCGCCGCGCGAACGCCGAGAGGCTTGGAACCAAGTTTACAGTGGCCGGGACAGTCGGGACAGTCGGCAGCGCTAGCAGTGCGCTAGCCTAGGAAGGGAAAGGAACGCCGCAGTCTCGCTCGGCCAGCTCTAGGTCTAGGTCTCGGCTAGACGCGCCTAGACGCGCCTAGACCACGCGAGCCCCGCACGCTAACCAGAAGAAAGGAAGCGACGACGCCTCATCCTCATTCGCACGGCGTTGCCCAACCCGCCAGCGTCACCTAGCGCAGCAGCGCAGCCTGGCGCCACAGTTCCAAGGCGTTTATTTTTCATTCTAAAAGGTCGGTAAGGCTTTGTTTGCGAGCACCGCCACACCGCCACACCGGGAGCACCGCCATCCGCCGCCGCCGTGGCGTGGCGCCGTGGCCAATGGAGACCTAAACGCGCCGTCACGCTGCCGTGTGAGGGCGCGGTGGGGCGGGGCGGGGCGGGGGGGCGCGGGCGGGGCGGGCGGCCCTCAGGACGACGATTTACGCGACGGCGACACGCAGCACGCAGGGGCGCCAACCGAAAACTTTTAAAGTGACTCGTCGCGACAAAATATACGGGGACAAATTAGTGTAGTTTTTCCCGAAGGGTTATGCCGCCGCCCGTCTTCCTGACAGTAACGAACGAACTTGCGTGCGCGTCGGTAGGAGTGGGGGAACGTGAGGAGCACCTCTCTCTCTCCATTCCGAATGCTAATGCGACAGAACGAGATTTCGTTCCCAAAATTTGTATTCACAGCTTGATTCGCTGCGGGGTGGTGACGTCTCGGCCCCCTGCGACCTTCACACCGGGTATGACTCGCGTGTGAATTTTTGCTTTTTGACGCTTCGCGTCCGGGTGCCTTTAAGTGGGCCGGACGCTCGGCTATCAGGCCGAGATACCCGAGACTTTGGCGGCGTGTGGCGTGGTGCCGAAAGAGTATCGCTCCACGGCGACAGCTTGCACTCGGCGACGCCCTGTGTCAGCCAGGCACAGCCAGTCACTTCCTTTCCGGCTGCACGCGCTGGTTCCAGATTCGGATTCGTCGTGGCGTGGTAAGGCGGGGCGGGACGGGGCGTCGCGGCGGCGGAGCGCATCGAGACGCGCAGCATGGCGGACTTGCAGACGACCTTGATGCAGGAGCCGCGGGCGATCACAAGACCAGAAAAACGGAGCGGCGGCGTTGCCGCGCGCGGGTTCCCCTGGTGACACTCTAGAGACGCTGTAGGACTTGGAACACCTAGCCCCGCCGTGCCTGAGAAGACCTGAGAAGACGCGCGTGTCCATTATGACAACACGGATTGCGCGAGCCTGAGTCACCGCCGAGCCCATCAACAGCCCGGCCGCGCTAGCCGCGCCGTCCCTCTCGCACTCATGGAGCGACCCAGGCGCGATAGAGACAGCGGCAGTGACTCAAACATGCATCACGACCTGAGTATAGCCTGCTCCGGATAACCTTGGCGGCGCGGCCGTCCGCGGAAGCCGAGCGGTGGACCCGTGGGTGACTCACTGGGCGCCGGCATCATGAAGTATGAAGCCGGCAGAGCCGTGCCGAAATCGAGTGTAGCCGAAACGGAAATGTGGGAATAGCTTTCTCCGGGAGGACCGGCAGGGCAGGCCGGCGGCGAGTATGCGACGCGTCGCGACGCCGTCGTAGCGGCCGTCCCTTCGCGACGCGACTAGCGTCACTTTCCCCTGGTGTGTGTTCGGGCTCGGCCGGCCCGCCAAGTCACGGGTGTGGGCTAGAGTCGTACACACTGTGGGACTCTAGTGTAGGTGAGTGAGTGCGTGAGTGCGGCACTGCGAGTGACAGGTCCGCCTATCTGCCTGTACCATCGGGCGGTATCCGGCGGGGACGCGTCGCAGCCTTTTCGAACCAAAACAATCCAGGAAAATAATCTGCCGCTTTTTCCAGCGGCCCTGCGGTGCACGGCGAGTGCAGTGTGGTGCAGTGTGGTGGGCTGCAGTGCAGGCCGCGGCACGCGGCGCAGCCTTGAACTGCTGGCTCGGACTGGCCGGCGCGGCTCGCCACGGCGCGGCCCGGCAGGCATGCGAACAGGTACGAGGGTACTCGGTAACGCCGGTAACGGAACGCACCGCCGTCGGGCCGTCAGGCCGTCACGTGACTGCATGCGGCCTGCAGCGGCCGAGGCGGCCCGAGGGGAGCCGAAGCCGCGGCCGAAGCGAGCCGAGCGCGCCGCGCCCACTCACCTGGAACCCTGGAAAGCGGGCGGGGACCGCGGGGACCGGCACTCTTTTGTTTGCCCTTTTACCTTTACCTCTGCCTCCGCTACGGCCCCTTCGGCCGCTCCAGACCCCCGTGCTGTACTACGACCTGGACGGGGCGCCAGAGACGCCGTCGGGGAGGGTGGCGGCGAGGCCTTGGTGGCCTTGGGCCTCGGCGGGGGGAGTCACGGTCAGTGTCAGAGGGAAGCAGAGTTCGAAAATAACTCGGGAGGCTAAAACGTGCACGGGGCGGGACAGTGTGTCACGCTTTGCTACACCAAATCCGGGCATCCCGCCCCGCCCCGCCCGCCCCGCCCCCCGCCCCCGCCCCGCCCCGCCCCGCCCGCCCGGAACCGGGAAACGGCCGTCCGTCCGTCCCTAACGACGGGCCATCGAGCCGAATTATCACTAAAGCGGCTCATGCATATGCGTACTTGTCATTTTACAGTGTACA